GGTGGCTTGGGACTGGAAGTGTAGAGGTACTGTGATTCGCAGCCCACTGACATGCAGTAATATTGAGTCTGGGATCCTTTTGGAAAGATCGCCGAGCGAGCCTTGAGCGAGATCGCAAGGCGCGTGAGGGCGGAATAGATTGACAGATACAGCGAAGTCTCGCACGGCCTCTCTATAGGCGTCATAACCTTCAGCAGTAAGGCTTCGACAGGTTCCCTTGAAGGATCGCAAGCCTTGCCATCCTGGACTTTCTCCCTCGTAGAATGGTACGTTGAAGCCAGTGCCGCTGTAGATGGGAACAAGCTCCAAGTACTCTGTATCAAGCGAGCGGGCTATGTTGAGTTTGATCTCTGGGGGCATCTGTTCCAGCATGGCACGTGGGGCGGCCATCGTTGTGTTGTTTGGTCGACCTAAACAATATGCTCTTCTGTCTCAGACGTAGATTGATCGCTTTGAAATATGGAATGGCCATTTCTCCGGATGCAGAGAAGATCATGAGGTTGAAAGAATAAGTCTTTGTCGGGCGTGCGTCGACTCCTTTTGTCCTCTGGCCGATGTCACCCTGCGTATGTCAAGACATTGCTCTTTCGGCAGTTTAATTGGGACGACGAGAGTCTCTTACTACCCGAACGATGGTGGGCTCTTTGGCGTTGATGCCTTTGTGGAAGGTGTTTACCTTGCGGCTTGTCGTGTTTACCGGGACTGGAGTCTCGTATAGGGCAGAAAGCCTTGCCAGTCGGGAGTCTCAGGCTCATATGGAGCAGGAAATCGAAATGGATCAGCGAAGACCTCCAGAAACTTCGTGTTCGGAAGAGGGCCAATCCCTGGTTTAACCTCAGGAGGTAAGTGTTATAGTATTCAAAGTCGTCGAGATATGTTGGAGTGAATGGAGGTCGCTGAGGGATAGGAAGGGAGACTTCGAAGTTGCAAACTGCTGCGGGTCATGRTCGAAGGCCATCGTGCTCGCTGGATACTGTCGTGGTGGGGAAACGTAGGAAGTTCTTTGTTGCCGGGACTCTGTTATTAGTCTGAAGGTCATGGGATCCTCTGAGCTCGAGACTTCCTCATGATATCAGGTTATTGTATTGCGGATGCGGCAATATAATTGGAAAGGCCACCGGTTCCACCCAAGCTGACCATGTAGGTTTTCTTCTGGGTGTAGGCAAGCATGTTGGATTGTCCATCCTGCGCTTTTAAGTAGGGGTCTGCTTGCAATCATAATCTCTGCTGAAAACGCACAATGAGACCATTTGAGGAGTTTGCTGTTCCAAACTCTGATCCTGCTGAGGCACACCGGGCCAGAATTCTGCTCTTCTCTGAGGTGTTCGGGGACGTTGAGGCCAAACGGCGGACCGTGCGATAATGAAGCGCACACTGATGGAAATCCGGTAGAGCGTGGCCTCCTCCATGCTCACTCACGTAGTATGCGCGGCGTGAAGGAATGAATATCCTGTACAGATCGGGGCTCTGTCGTGAGGTTTGTACCTAAGCCTGCTTGTGGTCTATCTGTACTAAACCCCAGAGTCCTGTACGCACCAGCAGGAGGAATTCGAGGCCGAAATCTCGGCCCTTCCCACACACGTGACGCGTCAAAATGCATCCCGCCATTCAAATTAGCTCGAGTCTCACCAACGACACTACATCCTCACCACTAAACTCTCTCCAAAACACCACAATGTCCGCGCAAATGGACGAACTTCCAACAGAGCTCCTGTGGTCCATCTGCGACAACCTCGAGCTGACATACCTCGACGTTCGCCTCTTCCAGGTGTCCGCATTTGAAGATTTCGAAAAGAACACCTCCCAAGATCCATCCATCGTCTCGGTTGTCGCGCTGGCGGCGGTGTCAAAAACGTGTAGCTCGCTCCGAATGGCCGCTCTACCCTTCATTCAGGCCATGAAAAAGAACACCATTGTTCGCTTGGACATGCGCAACTGCAACGAGCCTCGATTCACCATGGACAAGCCTCATGGCGTCACGGTGTCAGATGATCTATTCAAACAGTTCAGTCAYCTCGAGGTGATTGTTCCATGCATGTTCACTCAACACCGCGAGAGAGAGCACGATCAGACCAAGAACCTCACCATGAAGTTCGGTAGGGTTGAAGGAGGTCGCTGGGTGATGAGCTCTCTGGTCTGGGAGACTGTACTTCCTCCAGCAATCTTCAACTACGGCTTGGTCCGTTTGGCGTTTGCAACCGATGTCATTACCGAAATAGCCATGGAGCTTGCCGACGAAACCCTGAACACAACCATGGACGATCTCGGCCTGCCCAGCAAGCTAGAGTGCTTGTGGGAGGATCTCACTATTCTGCCCGATCATCTCCGACACCAGACTTTCGGACATAGAAGTGACGGAACGCGCATTCGGCCACGACAAGCGAGGCCTTTCTCGATGATGCCAATTGCGGAAGCTGTGGAGGAATGCAGTGAGCATTTGGGGGAGACGAAGCCACTCGAGCGTAAAGCGCACAAGAAGCTGGGATGGCGCGGTACAGATTGGAAGAAAAATGTCCCGCTTCGGAAGTAAGGGGGAACACCGAATGGAGGAAACGATGATGTCGAAGCCGCGGTAGCTGGGGAGAAGCGGAAGTGACGGTGTGGAGAGGGTTCATCGGCAAATTCAAGCAGCCAGGGTTCAATCGTTGAAGATGTCTATTTGGGAAAACTGTCAACAAAAGCATGGCTTTCCACTGCCCTCTCCTTCATGTGGTGGTACGATCTGCTGATATTCAAGGCTTTAGCAGCTCTAGAACTCTCGATCATGCACAGAGCGCGCGGTCTTCAGACTGTCCAACATGACTGAGGGTATCTTGTCTCGCTGTTTGATCCTCATATCAATAGCTTCATAGACTCCTCAAATGGATGCTACTTTCAGCCTCGTCGCTGTCACATCCCGTCTGTCTCTCAAATCTTGTGATATGAAACATGGAGGGAGATGTAGATGATGCTAAACGATAAATCATCAGCATTCATCTGAGTCAAATCTCAGCCGGCAAAGCATGAAAATCCTCAAGATCACTATCAYCTGTCTCCCACATCGCGTCCTTCTCGCTGGCAATCCTTTGATTAAACGATGTCCTAGATCCTACGCAAACAACGCCAAAACAGGGCCCACATCTGGCAAATATGCCACATAATGGTCTCCTAAAGATGTAGTAGCTGGTCCCCATGGTTTAGAAATCAATGCCCAGCTATTCCCATATTTTGATCGTTCTGGCCAGACTGTAAATGTACATCGACTCTCAATCATGACTACTATAGGCAAGGCAGCAGACAAGATGTTCATCACCACTTCCAGCCATTGAATCCGCCGACTTCGGCATGTCCTGATGAGGATTTCTAGCACCTCATCAACATTTCCACGGAGCTGTCGATATGAGGATCATTCATCAGGACAAGGCATCTTCAGTCATGTCCATGATGTCTGTCCGAAGGCCTTGCTCTCTATAGGCTCGATGTTTGAAAGCCTATTAGAATCCCTACTACTAGCAGAGTGGCCGTTAATTAATCGAGAGAACAGTTCAGGGCGCTCCTCTTGTTCAAGATTCCTCATGTCGACAGTTCTAGATATGAGAATCATTCATTAGGACAAGATATCCTCAGTCATGTCCATAATGTCTGTTCGAAGGCATCGCTCTCTACGGGCTCGATGATTTGAAACCTATTAGCATCCCTGCTACTAGCATAGTGGCCGTTGATGAATTGAGAGAACAGTTCAGGGCGCTGCTCTTGCTCAAGATCTCCTATATTAACAGCTCTGCATTTCCACGCTGCCCGAAGGCCTCGCTCTCTATAGACTCGATGGTTTGAAACCTACTAGAATCCCTGCTACTGGCAGAGTGGCGGTCAATCAATCGGGAGAGAAGTTTAGGACGCTGCTCTTGCTCACGATTTCTCACGTTGAGCCGCTCTGTATTTCCACACTAGCAGATACCTGAGGCTCCTCCYGCGTGCCGCCTAATTCTCACTTCTTCACAAAACAGCATCACTTCACCACGCTCTCTCAAACAACAACAACAATGGCCTCGCCAATGGACAGACTATCAACGGAACTCCTCTGCCTGATCTGTGAGAAATGCGAGCCCTCTCGCATCGACGTCCGCTACTACCATGCCACAAAAGCCGCCAGAGCCGCCGCCAAACGCGCGCCTCCACCACCGGAGCTCGCAGCTCTGACCGCAATTTCTCAAACATGCAAAGCGCTCCAGCACGCAGCTGCGAAGTCCTTCAAGAACATCCAATCAAACGTCATCATCCGCATCGACATGCGCTTCAGCGACACGAACTTTTGGCCGTCGAATAGGCCTTTCCCCAAACACAGCATCCCCACGACGATCCTCCAACAAGCCCAGTACGTGGAGGTCATCATCCCCTGTCTCTTCCGCCAGAGCTACGCCACAGATCCCACAAACGACCACAGACAAGTCAAAAACCTCATCATCAACTTCCACAAGAACAAAAGCAGTGGCGAATGGAGCGCAACCTCTCGTGTCTGGCAGACAGTCGTTCCCCCGGCGAAATTCGATGCGAGTCTCATGCAACTCGCATCCATGATGGATGCTGCAGGTACCGCTGCCGTCTTCCTCGCTCTTGCAAGGCTCAATACAGGCGGTGGAGCAGAAGAAGCCGTGGATGAGATTGCCAACCATATGGTGCGATTGGACGCTATGGCTGATTTCTGGTATTCTGACACGCGTTCGGGAGGAGATTTCGTCATGTTGTCTTTGCCGACGGACTCGGAGGTTCGGGTTGTGCGGAGGATTTTGGGGGAGAAGGGTCTTGGTGGTGAGGGAGATGCGAGGCTGGGATGGCGTGGAGGGGCTTCGGTGTGAGTTTGAAGTCGTGTATGATTAGCCGAGCACTGTGGAGAAGAAAGGGAATCTTTCTGACAATGCGCTGGTGAGGCTCTGTGGGCATTCAGACACTGCTTTTCAAGTGCGCCTTGAAAGACCTCGAGTGGTGAGAAGACAAGTAGGTAGATGACAGCTCAGATACCAACCCATGCTACACAGAACTGTCGACACGAGAAAATCATTAACAGAACAACTCTCTCCATTGTATGAATGGACCACTCTGCTAGTTGTGAAGAATCTAGCAGCTCCAAAGTCGTCTATTCTGCAGAGACTCAGGCCTCGAGACGTCATGATAACAACCGAGGATTTTATGCCTCGATGAAGAATCCTCATAATGACAGCTCTGATTCTACAATATCTCGACATCCGAAACTTGCTTTTGCGGACCAAGTGAGGCGAAATCGTGACAGTGAGGAGTTCATGCAGAGAGACAGTGACAATGAGGTTCACGATGATCAGAATGGCGAGGTAGAAGGTAGCGATTAAAAGAACACACTCGATTGTTTGGTTTATATAAAGACCCTCAGCTTCTTCCTCCTCTGCCTCACTTCTTGACCCTGCCCCAACGCCCAACGCCCAACGCCCAACGCCCAACGATAAACCTGCAACTTGTCCGTAGAGATACGGTCATCTCCCTCGTACTTCATCTCCATCCTGCTCGGCCACTCTGCGATTTCCTTCTTGAACCATCCATGGTGGAGTGGGTTGGACAACGGCGAGCTTGGCGAGGCTGTGGGTGATTGCCTTTGGGGTACAATCTTTTCAATGTGAGTCATGATACAAACAGAGACAGGGTGATAGTGTGAACATACCGGAGCCCATCACGGTGGCGAGTTGCTTCAGCTGTGGCTGAGAGACCTTGACTTCATAGACCGTGAAGATGGCGGCCTTGAGCTTTGCCTCAGCGTCGGGATAGATCGCCGGAGCTTCTTCTTGCTGATAGAGATGTGAACGATGCCAAGGTTCAGAAGCGGTGGGCGGCCGCAAGGCATCGCTCCTGTCTGGGGATGTTGTGGTCGGCTCGGGCAGTAAATACCTCTGCCGCCAACTCGCTCCCGCCAATGGCGTATCAGGACGGCTGGGGGCCATCGCCGATATATAGCCAATGACGATATGCATTAACATCACCCAGACAGTGCTGTCTAGAGATGTGGTGGTCAGCTCGGGCAGTAAAAGCCTCTGCCACCAACTCGCTCCCGCCAATGGCGTATCAGGACGGCTGGGGGCCGCCGCCGACACATAACCAATGACGATATGCATACACATCTCAAGACCGTTCGCTCCCGAAGGTGGGTATTGCAGCCCTAAATCTGCGTCCACACCGACGATATGCTCAGTGGTCCAGACAGCTGTGTCTAACAACGTTATGGATGACTTCAGCAAGTTAGGCTTCCGTCGACCACTCGCTCCCGACGCTAGGTTGAGGTACCACCACGTGATACCTGTATCCCAGCGACGATATGCATCGACGTTGTCAGACACGACCCGACAGTAGGGGTTGCAATGCGTGCGTTGAGATGTAGGGCTTGCCACACCGCGTACACTCACGGCAGCATGCATTCCTACTGTCTCAGTGGGCCTTTTTACGTCGTGCCCGGGACGAAGGCCCGCAGCTGTTGTCGTTGAGGAGGTTGCTTGGGTCGGCTTGAGTATGGTTGAAGTGGTCTTGCTTGTCCTATTGGTGCATGATGAAGTGGCTTGGGTAGACTTGWTCTTGCTGGGCTGTGGAGCCTGGGCGACTTCGAGAGTTGATGACTCGAGTTTGCTTGGTGGGTTTTCTTGAAGTGATCCAGGTATGATCGCCCTGTACCTGCCGGGAGGAATCTTGCTTGCTGCCATACCCTGTCTGGTGGGTGGCGGGTCCGGTGGTTCCTTATGGTGAAGGTGAGGTTGGATTGGTGCTGAAATGCTTCGACTGGAAGTCGATGGGCTATCGATGCTGCAGTCGATGATGACATCCTGTCGTGGCCATGTGTTAGAGACTGCACTGACGGGGAAGAGATGTGAAGTGCTGTATCGATGGAACAAGGTTGAGAAGTTGTGAAGAAGTGGACGAGTGAAAAAGTGACGCATCGCCGCCAAAATCACGCGGCGACGGCGACGGCGAGCTGTCGGTATCAGTAACTCACCATTTTTGTGGCGGTGTGGTTGTCGCCGCGAGCTTGAAGCTGTTGCTGATGTGATGGACGTTGATTTGATGAATGAGTGTGAGTTGTCATGTTGGATGTCGTTGTTGTTGAAGAAGAAAAAGAAGCAGTATTGCATCAATTGAAGACGTGGGCTTTTGTGCTTGCGCCAAGCCGTAGACTCAAGGCTCCAGCCATTTTGACGAGATCCTCACTGAACTCACTCCCTGCTCAGCCTTTACGAACCACTCTCCTCAGTGCAACAGTACTTGAAGCACAACTTGTGCGCCGCAGCCCTCGTTCCGGCTACGTAAGGTTCCATGCGATGCAGCACCTTCAATGCAGGACGAAGCGGCGGTATGTCCTCCAGTCTGCTGAATGCACGTTTCTTCGAGAAGTCCGCCACGCTCAAACCTCCTCTGCTCATCCAATCCTTTTCAACAGACCATGTGAGTGTGATATGCAGGCTGGACTTCTGATCTCCTTGGTCTTCCATCCTGTATTCGTACGACTACTGGTTTGAGCGTCAAGTCCTGTGGTACTTCGTTGCTGCGAGCGTTTCAGCTCATGACGGGACGGGCTCTGTATCGTCAGAGCATACAACTGTATTTTCACACTTGATCTGGATACTTCATCCTGCGGAAGGAGACGCAGACCTCAGAGCAGCATTGCATCATTTCGGAAGCGCGTCGCAAGATGTCGAACMGGCGCAAACACTCAGCTTGGTTCTTCAGTCCGTGTCGGAATACAGCTTTCAAGGCCGTCGCTCAAGTCCTTTTGGAAATTCCGTCTTCTATTTGCCGGATCTTTCCTCGCTACCAGCGAGATGCGGAATCGAACACAAGGACATTGCCATTGTCCCTCATTTCTCCAAGTTGAAGAACGATCACCTGGTCGGCGTCCCTCTATCCTCGTTTCCTTGTTGGGCGCTGCATCAGGCGAACGGGCTATTCCTGAAGAACGGCCAAGGAATCTTGTACTCCCGCCTCGATTTCGACCTGAGCCTGCAGCCTTGCGAGCGCCTGGGCAATACCATCGATCGGCGACTAGCGGCATACAAGGCAGAGCGCGATAAATCCCAGCAAAACAAGAGCAGAACGCAACTGATGGACGCGAGAAAATGCCTTTCAAGATCTTCAGTCTTGGGCTACATCAAGGGCTGACACGCATGCAGGCCCGCCGGGGGATCGCTAGAGGCTGTCAACATGGTATTAGAAGTCTTCGATACCGTCTGGCTATCCCAGGTTTCACCCAAGCGCTGCTGGGATCTCATGAGCTCAGACGATCGTCCTCGAAGCCAACATGTCTACCAGACTCCGCACTGCCAGTAGGAAAAAAGACCGAAGCTCGACCTGAGGCAGTAGTGAGGCCATACACTCGCCTGATTGACGGTTCGTCCAATTCCCTGCTGGGGAGAACACGGCGTTCCGCCAAGAGATGGCGAGGCTTGCGACGCGTCGTCGGGAGTCGACGGTCTGCTGTCTAAGTGGGAGAAGGAGCAGCTTGAATCATGAAACTGTACTGGACGGAGGCAACTTTGGCATTGTAGTCCGAGGTATTTTTCGGAACATGACGCTTGGTTGGCAGGCAGCAATGCTTGTCACCGAGGTCATCACAGACCGATGGTGTGTAGTAGGCCTGCAAGGTCGCCCGGACGGCTGATTCCTTCTATTACATCTTGTTCAAGGACTGAAACGAATGCAGGAGGTCTTTGGGGTTCTTCCCACTCAAACCGATAGTCATCCCGATATTGCCATTATCAGCGCGCGGGACGGCATTCGGAGATCCAATTTGTCTGACTGGCTCTCACGGCTCACGGAGGTAGTGTTCGAGGTTTCCATCTTTTGCATCGATTTCTCGGCTCTCTTCGAGTCCCAAGGGGTCTGCCTCACCAGCAAGGAATTAATCGATGGTCGCGTACGCAGTGGAAATGAGTACTMGAGGGGGCTGAGTGTGAGCTTGCGCTGGAAGATTGAGGAGTGGTGGATCTCGTGCTGGAGCCTCTTGATGGTACGAGTATGTTGAGAAATGATATGATAGTGCGGTAAAATCCGTAGTCGGAGCCTTTTGACGAAGGCGAGATGTTGCTAGAACCTCGTACTGAACAGAAGTTAACCGCGTTTAGCAAACCAGTGGTCATGTAGATATAGCCAGATCCTCACATAGGTGCAACAAATCAAGTGCTCATGTTCCTTCCACATTTGACCTCTTTCTCGGATCCCCTGATTATATCTAACTTGAGATTATCTATCCATTTCGACTAACAGATCCGTCTAGTCTCGAGATTCCGGGCCCCACTTTTCAATGCGCATGACAACCCCCGGTCCCGTCCCGGACCGCAGCCTTCCACCTCCACTTCATCAACTTCTTCAACTATCTTCCACCGCGTCAGCTTCTCCGAGGAACAACACCATTGTACTCCTTCACAGCAATCTCAACCGCCAATCATGGCGCCAACCAGCAAGCGCAAACGCAAGCGGGCAGAGAACACTTCCAGCCAGGTTTGCACCTTCCCTTTTGCTACTTCTGAGAGCCCACTAACGTTGAGTCTAAGTCGAGTACTGCAAAGCTGACCAAGCGCGGCGCGAGAATTATCACCACGCGTACTGCTACCCAAGTCAGCGCGCCGGAGCAAGTTTTCAACACAACAGAAATGCTTGAGGCCATCCTCCTCCACGTCGATCGCAAGGAGCTTACGGTGACGCGAGGTGTCTGTCGGCGCTGGAAAGCGGTGATCGATCTTTCACCATCCCTCCAGACTGTTGTGCTCACCAGACCCGTCGCAAGGATCCCTACAGTGCCTTCTCTTGCCCTCGCCGCAGATTCACAGACACCTCCGAGATATGATAAGTTGACTGTATCGCCACTTATCAACTACCATCACCTCGTGGAGGGTTCTGACTCTGCCATCCGCATCCCTACCGGTCACAACTTGCATGGCTTTCTGAAGACGGCACTGATCCCTTATAACAGAGAAACCAGGATGCATCTCCTGGTTGACATCACCTACTTTATCCAGGGAGGGTTCCCGCACCCTTCGAACGATAGTTCAGCGCCTTTCTGGCAGAAAATGTCGTTCGCCAATCCCCCAATCACTTCAACACATCTAAGGACAAGCTTTGACAACTATGGTGATGAAGGTTACACCAACTCTGTGAGTGTCTGGAACCCAAAGGGCGTCACCTGGGAAGATGTTCTGCAGCATCGCAAGAGTCTTGCCGAGCAAGACGGCCCGTCCGACCTAGTTATAGTCGAATTGCAGACAATGATCTATGTCATGGATGTGCCGCTTGTTTGGGCGATGCATTGGTGTGACGGCAGCAAAGACCGGGATGGCAAATGTGCGTGCGTTGCCGCCATTACTGGTCGACGAATGAAAGATAACACTCCCTATTCTGCGGAGACGGGAAGGCTGATGTTGGGTTGACGCCCTAGGAAGGCGAGCCAGGGCGCGTAAGTCTTGGATTGATTGGCGCTGGACTACGGAAATGAACTGCGGAACGTCGAGGCCGTGTATACGTCTTTGAGCTGGCATGGAAGTGTGACACAACACGATAACCTAGGGTAATTCGACGTACTACGCTAAACCTACCCTTCTTAAAGATCGTGCATACCAGAGTGGAGCGAATGATCCCACCGACGCCCACTCGATCCTCTCTCACTTGGCCAGGCCAAGCTCGGTGTCCYGTGGGTCCAGCTAAGCCCTTCAACGATGGAAGCAGGTTGCGGCACATTTTGCACTGCAATTCGGCAGAAGCTGGATTCAAACCAACAGCCGCCGGGAAGTGGGAGCCCGGTACTGATGTCCACCGAAGAAGAAGCTGATGCCGAAATCTTGGAGCATTCACCGCCGAGAAGAGAGGAGAAGAAAACTCTCGTGAAGGTTTCTTATGCTTTGCTGTCACGGTGTTCAATGCTGAAAGGAACATATCAGCAGATGCCATTTGACCGTGAGTCCTACACCCTGTGATCATATCATGACTTGCTCAGAAGACTTCTGTTCTGCTGGCCATACTAACTCACTGACTTGACATTAAGTGCCCTCTCCCTCCGACCTCCGACCTGATCATTGAGAACAACAATACATCTAGTCAAGTCCAATAACAGTGCAAGAATTCACTAGACTTACTCATGTCCTCTCCAATGGATCAAGTCATCAACACGACAGAGCTTCTCGAACAAATCCTCAGATATAGCCCGCCAATCGACCTCTACCGCCAACAACAAGTCAGCAGATACTGGTACACGCTGATACAAAACTCACCCTCAATCCAAGAACGCATGTTCGCAAGACAAACAATCCCAACGATTCTATCAAGCGACACACTTCTCGGCGACACCTGGAGACTACAAGATCCCTTATACAACGAACCACTCGCGTTAAATCTCTTGCTAGTCTCAAGTTTTCGAGGCCAATCGCGACACCTGGTACCTACTTACGCTCATACCCAGGCCGAATGTTCCTCACCTCCCTGTATGCAGGTCTACTGTCAGCATTGCGAATATCAGTTCCCCATCGGTCCACAATGGCCACATGCTACTCAACCTCGATATCGACTGATAATCCATGCCTCCCTTTCATCAACTTCCGTAGGAGGGATACATCCTACATGGTGGGATACGTTCGTTACAATGCCTCCGATCGAAGCCATTGAAATGAGAGCAGCGCGGTCCGACCCACCGACTTTCCGGGTCTCGGTTACGGTATGGAATAGAGATGGGTCACGATGGGGTGATGTGATGAGGATTCGAAGTCAGTTGGTGGAATGTGATTCTGCATTGGAACTTTTTATGATTTCTTTCCGCTTGGGAGAGGGTGCTGTACGTATTTTGCGGGATGATCATTATGAGGGTCTTCGAGATGGGATGTGTGACTGTGCGTATGCTTCCATTTGCTTGAAGCGGTGGTAGAGGGTCTTGGAATAGCTGTCCATAGGAAGATTCCCCATCATTTTGAGAATTTCAAGGTCCGTCCGTATCGGTTAACACGGCCTTTGGGTTTCRAGGTAAAGGGCTTCTATTGCCAGAACTGCTCGTCAGACCACCGACACGATCTGTCGAGGGTCGGTATCTCCGAGAAGAACGCACATTGACAGCTCTGAATATGATTCAAGTTACAGAGACGAGGCTGGAGGGAGTCGTGAGGATTGAGAAATCATGGAGAATGACAAGAAGATGYTGCCTACTTCTCATGCCCTCCTCCGTGGTCTAGGATTAGGGTTAGGGTTTAGGTAGTACCCTCTTTGTACGTCTGTGACAATATGGAGTTTCGAAGGCTAGGTCTTGCTTATATATATAGATTGAAAATTTTGGTATATTTTTGAGAAATACCATGCAGTTTCAGAATTATCTCTAAATGTTCAATATTTTCCATCCTCCGGCGGATTTTTGCACAACCCAATAAGCGTGAGTTTGCTGCCTATGAATTCGGACTGCGACCTATGCTTTCCCCCCTACGCTCGATCTCCATGCCACGTACTCGGCCGCATCTTGTTCACTTGCGCCTGTGTGCTTAGGTGCTGTTTGCGTTGATTGCGTCGTTTGCCATCGTGCAGTTGGCAATGTTTGTGTGGGCTGTGCCAGAAGAAGAAGTCCACGATGGCGAGCTCAGGTTTCAATGGGACGGTATGATCATTCAAATACGCAAATACACCGGTGTCATCTTCTCTTCGTCGTACCTCCTGTCCCTGTCCGGAAGCGTCGGCACGAGTCAGGCAAGATCGTAATTCGCGAAGCCATGCTTTCTTGGCGTCATTCCGTGGTGCTCCTCACTATTTCTAGCTTCCTACATTCTCTCCGCCCGACGCTTTCACCACAGTCGCTTTCACTCTGCTGTAGACGATAGCACGCCTACCTCCGCAGCTATGCGAGCACATCAACTCTTTCCTCCGACTCCGGCCGAGCTGTAGCTCAATCGAACCGCTCAAAACGACAAAGTTGAAGCTTTGCCCGGCCACCGCTACGTTGGCATCCGCTAGCTGGTTGTATGCAGACTGAGTCTTTGCCAAAGTGAGACGATACACCATAAGTTGTGTCCCTTATTGGCAGTCTCACCATGCCGAGGCTCGCTGGCAAACAGACGTCCGGATGATCCTGCTGCGACACTGAAGGACGGAGCATTCCATACAATGGCGCTCCAGAGACTTATGGCGCGTCCGTCGGTATCTGCTTCCATCCCTTGACACCTGTCATCTCTGACGAAGGCGAATCGGCAGAAGTGCAAGGAAGAAGATGCTTCCGGCCATGGATCTTCTCAGCTCACGCAATGGGTTTTAAAAGATAGCTTCAGCACCGCAAACCATGACTATGGCAGCATGAGGGATCTGCAACATCAGCCCAGCGGCACCATTTCTTCCAGATATGCTCAAAGGTCATCCGGGGAATCAACTTCCGGCGCACCTTGCCCACTCAGGAAATGTGACTGGAAGACTTGTCGAATGAGATTTCAAAGTGTAAATATGATTGCAACGATTGGTGAGAGTATAGACCAACCAGGACTCAACTCATACGGAGTGCTCCTCTGGAGGCAGTTCGCGACGTCTTGCTCGGTGCCCGCGCTCGAAGATGACACAATAGTGAGCGTACTTGGTCGAAGGGAAACGTTTTCGTGTCGTCTTCGCACAGTACACCGGTCCACCGAGGTCGGACTGAACCTACAGGAGAATCTTGATCATTAACGTTGTCCGGTCTGAGTAACCTGGACTATGCGTCGCTGGAAGAATACGCGAGCGCAAGCTGGATCAGGTGTATATCAAGACTCGGGAGGACAGCGACTTCTTGGAGAGCGGGGCTGTGAGCCACCGCGTATGGAGCGTTCTATGCGTTGATCTAAACTGGGCATTTCTCTCCTCCCACCACCATCTTCATCTGGAAGATGAGCTACACATGGAGTCAGACGCGCGCTTGCTCAACCGGCCAGTCCTCCTGGTGAAACCTTCGACTCGTGATTCGGATGCCTTTCATCCGTGAGTGTTCAGACCTGGAACTCTTCCGTGAACTGCAACAAACGCTTTGAATCTTGGACACGAGAGAGGAAGTGAATCGGGATTTGACCACTTTCGGACGTGGAATTCGTCTCGACTCTTTTCTTTGACAGAACATGCGACGATCCACACTACCATACAACACTACCTTCCCAACACCGACGACTGGCACTCGTCGTCGCCAGATCGAAGTATCGCTAGATCGGAACATACTACAAGCAGCGCCCTACCATGATGGCGCGAAGAGCCAAAGTCATTCAGCAAGGCCATCAGAAGCGACCCGCGGATGACGGAAGAAAGGTATGTACCACATCGAGACTAATCTCCCCAACCGCGTCAAAGACATCCTCTAAACTCTCACAGAACGCCAGCGCGGCCAACATGGCCATCACTAGGTCCGCAACAACCTTCGCGACCATCCGCGCAGTCACAGATACGCCTGAGTTGCTAGAGATGATTTTGATGAACTTGAGCGCAAAGAAGACATTCGAGTTCCAGCGAGTAAGCAAGCGATGGAAAGCGACCATCCAAGGCTCTTCCACTCTACAGAAGCGCATGGTGACAAGATACTATGGACCGACTCTTGCTCCACAGTCACACCCGACGATGTCGCCTCAACACCAGCGACAGATGTACCACTGGACGCCAGGCCTCATTCCTTCCATCATCTACTATCACGCTAGCACCACGACTCACATCGGCGTAGAGCAGGGATCTCCGCAAGACATCATCGGCACCGTGGCAAAGACCACCATGCCAAGTGTCGCAGGCCAGCAGCGACTCCTCGAGATCCACATGAGATACATTATACCGAAAGGCGTTAAAAACGTCTCATGGGGTAAGCTTTACATCACAAAGCCCGCGATCAAGGCGGTCACCATCAGGATCGGGGCGCTTGCGACCATCGACGAAGACTGCATCAACTCATGCACGGCCTGGAACCCAAGCGGTCTCATCTGGCAGGATGTCTTGGATGCAATCAAGGGAATGCGAAGCAACGATGATAGCGCACCGATCAGTATTGTTGAGTTTTCGATGACGGCTGAGAAGAGCGAATGGACGAAGAAGTTGAGGAAGTGCAAGGGAAAGAAGGGGTCCATTGGGCGGTGTACGTGCATAAAAGAACTCCTTCGCTGAACCATGGCCGCAGTGTGGAATACGGGGAGAGGGGTTTGATCACGCGATGCATATCGGTGTCCAAAGCATAGATTGTACCAGTGCCACGAATGGAACCAATTCGAGCCCGGATCTCCACGTCACTCCGCCCTTCCTCCGCTCTGCTGAACTTGTAGCGCTGCGCCAGGATCCGTCGATCGACTTCTCTCTGCTCTTGAAGAGCCAGATGCAGGATTTGTGCCTTCGCTCAGAAAGACGTTCAAAGACTCAACATGGTAGGCTTCTCCAGCAGGCCGTATCTTCATACCATGTCCAAACCTCACGGTTTGACAATTGTCCACTTGATCATCTTCACGACCGGGACTGCTTGTTCAAGTTCGGCTAAACCTACGAAGCCTTGAAATCCCGCTAAGCCACGCAAGCATCTACTCAAAGACGGAAAGTTGTTTGAAGCCATCCCACTTCCGGCGAGAACAAAGCGGTGCCTTATAGCCAGTGGGTGCGCCCCACTAGGATTCTCTGTGGATCATACGAAAGGTCTGTTACGAAAGCGATGTACTTCGCGTCTACGGTAGGATTCTTCGTACTTTAATCCATCTAGAGACAAAATGCAACCATGGCTTCAATCGCGGGTGAATGGTCCCCACGACTGCCCATTCAGTACCGAACATGGAGCATATTCCATTACACATGAACATTGAAGAGATATGCGTAGTGTATCGTGTCTATTCCTTCTGGCGAAATCTCATAGGCAGATCGCAACTAATAGAGACAGAGACGATGCACATTGATTCGATGTCCCTGTAGGAGATGAGGTCTCAAATGCTCCTACCTCCTTCTCAGACCCTGCATTGCCGCCCGGTCGCTTATGAATCGGATTTGGCTACCTTCCAAGTTGGCTGCTTCACAAAGACCTTCAACCGTACGTACCTACTATACAGATAGGCAGTGTAGGGACACCGCAGCTACGGAAGTAACACGTACACAGGGAAATCGCGAAGCGGCTGAAAGAAGATAGGAATTCCCGGCGATCGGGTCGATCATACGAACGTCATTTAGGGTCACAACTTTCAAGGTTGTCAAGATCGCGGTTCAAACCTTTGCACGTATTGAATGCTTCCCATTTCTCCTTTTCCGGACACAACAAAGCAAAGGGGAGACGTCGAGCTGGAAACGGATTGCTCGTTCTTTGACCTTCCTGTCAGTGGGACGTGCGCATTCAGGCTCCTACAAGACAGCTCATCATCAGAGCTCAATCATTCCCCGAGCTCGTTTCTACTACTTGCTGACCAAAAATGGCGTCTACGTCCACCGCACCTGTCCAAGAGGCACCTCGGCGCCTGCTCGAACAATATGAGATTATGGAACAGGTTTTGTTGGAGCTGGAGGTCGAAGAGCTGTGCGTCGTACAGCGTGTGTCGACCTTCTGGCGAGATCTAATCAAACGGTCGCAACCCATCCAAAAGAAGATGTTCCTCTTGCCAGAAGGACCGACCCTGCAACCCGACCATGTCTACATCCGCAACGAGCAGGTGATCAACTATGCCGCTAGACTCCGCGTTAACCCGATAGTTGACGCGATCCCGTACCATGTGTATGCAGGAGGAACCTGCGCTCCTCACCCTCGTCAAAGGAGACCTTCAAGGCTATATCCCTGCCCGGTGACGGTAGTAGTCGAGGGAGACGGACCCACATACGCTGCGGACGATGAGGACTTCTACGGTACTGAAGTCTACCAGCCAGTGTTGGCACGGGCGACCTGGCGGATATATGTCAGGGTTCTCATGGGAGATCCCGTACGGAGTTGTCGGGCATCCCATCTACACCGTGTGGAGTACCCCGAGGCTGTTACCAGGCCGGAGGCGTCGTGGAGGAAGATGATGATCACCCAGCCGCCCATTCCGGCAATCGGGTTCGCAGCCTGCTTCCGGCCGACTATGAGCCTTCGAAACACCAAATACCTCACGTTCGGGGAAATGGCAGACACTCGGTCGAACTTCATCTCCGATGGGCTGGAGTTCGACGACAATGACAGGTTGATGTGGAACTTGAAGCAATTCTTGGATGAGTGGGTATTTATTGCCCCACTCTTGTTCGCCGGCAATGACGGGTTTGGGAGAGTCTATAAACGGTGCCGACCCCGTCACGACCACGAGGAGGGAGGAAGCGAAGACGGTTCCCAGCAGCTTAGCGAGACGCATGGATCTGAGCAGGGTGTGACGTCTAGACGCAACTCTGACGCGCCATCGGACTCCAGCTACGCGGAGTACGATACTGAGCGCGACTATTGTAAAGCGAATGAGGGCCTCTGTTCCTGTCAGGAGCCTCTGGAGCAGTCCTTGCGTGGTGTGAACTGGGTAAGCGACAGTCAGCGTACGAGACCGTTTAGGAAATTTCCCTCTGAGTGGCCGGAATCGACGCACTCATCTGTATCGTCGGAGCTTTCTGACCCCACTTACTGGCGAGATCCAGACAGTGACGAGGAGGAAAGAGTCACCGAAAAAGATAGCGAGTACTACAAGGGCTCTTCATCGTACCACAAGGAACTCAGAAAGATGAAGCAAGATTGGCCTTTCTAGTTGTTTAGAATGTCTGTCCACGATGGCTGCATTTTGAGTTTGGAAATGAACGGCGCTGTATAAACAGAAAAGAACATTGCACACATTCTCTTTCCGATCACCAATCGGAGACGGAGGCAAACTTAGCCATCCTATACCTCTTCTATCCATCCCTGTTCCTGGTCAAGAAAATCCATGTACGGCAAAAAGACTGTGAAGCGGGATTAGCCATCGCTCAGAAATCCCGGGTGAGATACTCGCCCATGAAAAGGTGATTTTTACTAACCACACCTCGCCTCGTCTACTCATGCAACATTGGTCTGTCCCACCATCACCAAACTCCCCTTGTGACAAATAATCGTAGTAGCAGGATCATCACTCAGATCCGCTTTCTTCCCCAAGGCAACGTAGTAAGCAGTACGGCTACAATATGGGTAGTTCTTATCCGTAACAGCCATGTAGATTTGGCAAGGACGGGAGAACTTCATCGCCTTGGCCATTTTTGCCATTTCTCCAAGCCAAAGACCAAATTTGATGCCGTCTTCTGCACTTGTGTCGTTGCCTGCGAAATAGAACTCGAGTTGTAATTTCAGGGTGTTAGGGAAGTAGGCCTGGATGCTGACTGGGTCCGAGGAGAAGAGTTCGGGGTGGATGGCGTAGTTTTCGCCGCCGACGCTGCAGTTGATTCTGGCATGTATGATGTCTGGTTCGTTTCGGGGGCCTGTGATTGTGATGAGGGAGCCGTAGAGGATTTCGAGGGTTGTGGCCATGATTATTGGTAGGTGGGAATTGGAGATGAGGTTGCTGACTTTTGAGAATGGTCAAGACAGGTGCGCACGGCTTGCCGTGCTTGTAATCTTTGGAATAAGACTTAAATGACCAAAGCACGGTTTGCTTTCTCACGAAGCAAACTGCATGAGATACGAAGAGCTTGCCTGAATAGACATGCAGACTTTGACTGCGTCAAGAGGATAGATCAGTTTATACCAATTAGATAGCTCACCAGCAAAGAAATCGTTCAACTTGGTGGACGCCTCATTTCTCCGATCGCATTGCAAAGGTTCAGTCGTCTCCAAAGGCGCTTTCGCTTTTGAATGTCTATATTTCTACAGCAGAGTAATGCTTTAACAGGAGTTCTAGAGAGCGCTAGTTTACTTGTAGTTGGTCATACCAACATGTACCAACCTCCCCTTTGCTCCCATAATCACCACTGCGGGATTATCTCCTCCATCTCCATCCATCCCAAGCGCAACAAGATCCCCGCCCCTATCCGAATACAAATTCGCAGAGTCCGTCACCGCAACAAACACATCGCAAGGAGTTGCGAAATCCAGAGCAAGGGCCGCCTTGACCATATCTCTGATCCAGTTCCCGAACTCGACAGCTCCCACGTCTTCCCAACCCGTTGTCTGGTTGCGGAAGTCGAATTGGAGTTCCAGACGCGAGGTGTTGGGGAATTCTCTCGAGATGCTGCTTGTGCCGTTTGAGAAGAGGGCGGGGGGGACGCCGTAGTCTCTTTGCTTTGCGAGGTTGCATGGGACCTTGACGCGCACGATTACTGGGTGATCGCGCTCTCCGCTTACGATGGTCAGTTGGCCGTTGATGACCTCGACCACGGCAATGTCTTGCATCTTGATATAGATTGTTCTTTGTCTGTTAGTATGGAAATGGAAGGAGTTAGAGGGCCAGAGTACTTACGTTTGTGTAGTTTGTAAAGTGTAGAGTAATGTCTCGGCAGAAGCGAAGGCTGAAAGGAGGTGTGTGTTGAACGGAATGGTGCTGATCTGGTGTGGTATTCCAAAGTGCAAGGCGATGTTGATGGTGTAAAGGAAGAGTTATAAGCTGGTGAGGACTGTAGTATTTAAAGAAGAAAATGTTCTCGGGTCTCGGATGATAACCGAAAGCTAAGCCAGTGTTGCATATGCGCTCCGACGATCGTCGAGGTCGTGAGGTCCACTCGTGGCCCCTGCAAGGCCCAGGAGCGTTCGCGGGATGCGGGGAAGTGGAGCTCAGGGCCAAGTGAATACCGATTCTGGCGGAATCTTGCTCGCTGATTGGCAGAACGAGCAGATCGGCAAGAAACGTGGCTTCTTGTGCTGCATTCTTGTTCCATGATCACTCTGACTGTCATTGTAGCGCTTCGAAATAAGCAAGCATTCTAGCGGCGCAGCGTAGTGAATAGAAGCGATCTGCAACCACGTGCAGAGCGACACCGTCCAGCAGCGGGATGTGGAGATCAGTGTAGAATGAGAGCTGCCACATTCTTGATTGAGGAAACGTGCTGCATATATAGAGATGATCAGTTTGCTGTCATACCTTAGGGTGCTTTGTCGTGGAGCTGACTACACGAGAATCTTCTCGTAGACTGGGGATTCAGCCATAATCCAGATGTGTTTGCCAGCAGTTCCTTTATGCAGAGCCACAGATCCCGAAGGCTTTAACCCGCACAATAAGTTGGATGGAAAGAGACATCGAGTCTGTCGTGACAAAGACACTTGCTCCTCATCTCAAGACCTGATAGACATGGCAAGATGAGCCAGGTCTCATCCAATTCACCAGCACCTTTGTCACTCGGAGATAAGAGCTCTTACACTACGCTGTCGGTCGCTTTATGATTGATGATTGTTTGTCGAAGCAATCGTGTAGAGCCGTCGCTTCGTTGATCGCAGGCCAAACCATTATTGAGGCAGCTTCCGCTTCGACCATACTGAGATCCCATGTCTGAATCTCCCAATGACGTCCAAGTCCGCGGAGCTCAATAAGAGCTAGTTGAGATCGTTGAGATCGTTCTAGTGGTCGCAAGATTCGCGTGGCGTTTGTCCTTTTTGTCGGCGGTAATTGTAGTCCTGTATCACATCAGACACGCGATGCTTCAATCAGAGACGCGATGCTTGGTCATGTCCACCATCTTGGTTTTCGAGACTTGAAGTTTTCGCCGCAGCCCGACTACTGAAGCGATGTCATCCGCCCTGGTAGACACGAAGGTCTCATGAGTATCTGCAATGGCTGCATGTAAAGCACCTCGAAAAACCCCGCGATCGACATGAATGCTACGCAGTTTGCTACGGCAGTTGAGTATTATGACCTTCCTTGGTCCTCGTTGTAAGTTGTAGCTGCGCTGTGACAGTCATGTAGCCTTGATTGGAGACCTTCTGCCATGGCCCGTACGGACGACGTCGCGTCTTCTCTGTTGCCTCTGGTGAAGATCGGCAGTCTACTGAGGTCATGTCAAACCTACCGCGTTTCCTGCGGCGCTGGGCTCGGAGGTAGGACTTTTCTGACCCTCCGGGCTCCCTGCTCGTATCAAGCCGCTTCTCTTCAGTAAAGGCCGGCAAGTTATCGCTGCTGGCCCGATCTCGCTTGGCGGTCCGTTGCAGGCGATTCCCGCAACGCAGTAGTGGACAGGCACGTTGCACGGTGCGGGGGGCAGCCGGAAGATTCGAATGAGTTGTTCCCTAGCGTCACTCGGCGGTGATAGAGGCGGTGGTGATGATGAGATCGGTGCAGGTGCTGTGCCGTACGTGCTAAGCTACGCAAAGCCTCCAAGCCCTATGCTCTTTGAGGCTTTAGTGGCTTGATGATGAAGGATTGACCTGGCGGAATGTAGTAATTCGAACCTCACTGGCGTCGATAGCCGCCGCTGCATGATCATTGTTGTGGGGCCGCTGAGGTGCTCGCTCTTTTCGCTGGCCCTTCTCAACCCCCATGCTGATCTTGGTCCTTGACGAACGCGACGAGGAGGAGCTGCTCAGAAGAGACAGTGACAGAGGTACCGAAGCGCGCTGTCACCCGCGACGCTGGCAGCCCGTCGACGGTGGACGCTTCAATCCCGATCAAAATGCTTGATCTCATCACGACAGCACCACACAACAACAAGACAGCTGAGACAKACGGAGAGGAGAAGCAAGCTCTTCTTCAAGCTCATCGCAAGCGATGAACACGATGAAAAGGTGTGATGACAAGCATCTATTTTTTTCCAAAGATTACCTGCCGAGTCGAAACCGAACAGGATCAGGTCGTTGATAGTTTTCAACTAGCAAAAACGCGGGCTCGGACGAATCCTCATCGCCTCGCGTAAGGCCCCTGCTGAGAGGAAGTCAGTATGGTGATTGAAGATGAAGGAAGTTGGAAGATGGTACTTACCACTTAGACTTTCGCCTGGTGGTATTGAAATGAAGTGAGTGTGAGAAGAGCAGATACTTATAGGCGGCGAGAGCTGTCTCGGCGCTAGCGACGGCGTGCTACAGCTCGCGCATCTAGTACAGTACGTACGCGTAGGGCGGGGGCCCTAAGTCGGCGGTGAGCATCGACGATCGTTGCGGATCGTCCCTGAAGGGCTGACTCCTGTGTCCAGAAGAGGGGGGGGGGGGGGGTCACTCTCTGCCCCATGCAGTTCGGACAAGAGGGCTATCTGTCCAGCTCTTCGACTGTTGATACCTGAAGACAGTTTCTCACAGTGCTCTTGCCTCTTTTCTTTCCATGCCTCTCAGGACAACTGCATTTAGCAAGGACGGGAGCATTGGATGTGCCAAACAGCCGCTTCGAGGCCAGTCCACGGGCCGTCTCCAAAAGACCTCAGCTACAGTATGGAGTCTGATTGGAAAGGGGAGACCAGGCAGTCACTTATGGATCAAGTACCATCCATTACTAGGACAGTCGTGTTCAAAATACAACTCATCTGGAGACTTCGTTCCTGTTCCCATAACCCATCTAGATTGYTGATTTCGTTCCTGTTCTCAAAACCCATACAGATGGTTGCAAGCCGAGCGCGGGTCGCACGCCTCAATCATAATTTCCTACCATCTGGAGGATAAAGCCTGATGGGGGAATGATAACAGCCCGGAGCGTGACAATCCTTAAGGCTGAATGGGGAGCCTGAATCCCACCCAGATCATCAAGCAAAACTAAGAAGCACAAGGGAATGGAAAGTAATCGACGCGAATGTGTGAAGGCGAAGCACCAGTGGGCTTGCAGTGCCGCCTTCTCTACACCACGATAACTATCCAGAGTTGTCCGGCTTGTAAAATCGAGTCGTTCAACCGTGCTCAAGAACATAAGTGAGGACGCGCCGCAGACGCACCCGTGTTGTTTCCAGTGCAGCGTGTGCACGCTTTGCTGCACGGTCGCTCATAGCGATGCGCCAGCGTGGCGAGACTCTTGCTGCAGGAAGAAAAAGCGTCGGGCTTGTGTTTTGGTAGGGATTGTCAACTGTGCGCCCTCGTTGCGGTGCTGACGCGGTTCACAGGTTTCCATCTATCTATAGGGTCGCGGGAACGCGCTGGTCGTCTTGGCCGACGCATACCGCAATAAGATTGTCCGCGTGGAGGAGGGTTTGCCGGAAGGCCTCTTCAAACGTCGCTAAAAGAAGTGGATAACTCGCGAAGTTCGTAGCKACGAGGCCGCCGTAGCCGCCGGTACGGAGCTCGTGCTGGCGCAGCTGTCTTACAACACCACTCTCCGCGAACAGGAGATGGAGGCGGCGCGCATGGGGGAAGACGTCCGACAGTGGCACACCCATCGACCAAACTCTGATCTCGTCGAGACAAGACACTTCTAGTCGGCTTTATGATGGCTTTACGCCTTACACTCCGCAGAAACGGCGCTTCTAGAGCTGCTAGATTCTTTCTCACTGTCAGAGTGCCCCGTGATTTAACGGAGAGGGCAGTTAGGGGCGCGGTTTATTTGATGATTCTCCCATATCGACAGCTCTAGGGTTCTTTTCGGACTCCAAAAAGAACCCGTAACAAGATTCCGTCCGCAAATGCCGTGAAGATAACAAAGCTGACGAGGAACCAGTACATGTCGATGACTTTAGCTTCAATTCTGATGAAATAAGCAATGCAGTATAGCGTGTACCAATAGAAGAGTACCGGGTGAGTCGCAGAATGATTGGAAAGCATACCGGTCTTGAAATTTTATTTGATCTTCTCACTGGGGTTACGTAAAAGCAGCAGTTCTGCTCTATGGAGCTCGGTGGTAAACAGACCACCGCCGCCTTTGCTGAGACTCTCGCGCCGACGATGGCATCGCTATTAAACAGTCGAGAGCGCCATCCATGCGCGTTGTCGGGGATGAATCTGTCGAGTGACAGTTCGTATGCATGTTGAACCTGTTAATGTATTAGTCTCTCATTTTATTTCGCCAAAAAGGAATCGAATCTTACCAAATCAGCTCTCATCTTAACACTTCAACAGTTCAAAACATGGCTCGAACGGGCAAATGAGGTCGCGCGCGATCGCCGAAGAGAGCCCCATGGCCCGCCAGGAATCTTCGCCAGGAGCGCGTACGGTGTCTTCCAACTCCTGAATAGCCCGCGTCATCCTGTAAAAGACGCCTTGCATTTTGAGCAAGTCCCGTGCCGGGCCAGATTCAAAGATGATGTTGGCCGAGATTCCTTCGATGACTGGTAGTGTGCTGTGTACTACGCGCTTCCAAACGTGCGGATCGAATTGCATCATGTCATTGTCGAATGCTTCAGCCTCAAGCGTGTCTCCTGCAACGACCCATCCATTTGAGGCCCGCCTGGCCCATTGCATTGTCCCCAGGCCGCAAAACTGCCAATCTTCATGCGGGTTCCTCTGGTAATAACAAGCAAGTCGGTGGACTGTCTCCGGCACCATACGCAGGCCTCCGCGTTCGCAGTAGAGGCACAATGGTACATCGAATCGAATGAAAATGAATCGATCGAGAAACTTGTCGCTCACAACCAGGCAGGTAGGCTTAGGGTTCCCAAGTGATATTGGCCCTGCGGGGTCAAGATTGTCTCGTAAGGTCACCACCAAATTTGATGCTGCTCGTTGAGCGTCGAAGTCAAGCTGCTTGGTGACCAGTTTGTGAAAGGCGGAGTTCAACTTGAACAGAGCCTGGACATCGGCCCAAGATTCATCATAGGAGACCTTCAAAGAAGAGATACCCTGCGGAGATACTTCGACGGTGCATTGCAGATCACTCTTATCGTCGCCATAGCTGTGAATGATGAGGTGCAGGAAGCGAGGAATGATGAGGCTGATGATCTTGTTGAGAATCTCCAGTGGGAGATCGAGTATGTTGCGCGGCGCGTGTTCTTCCGCTCCCACTTCACTTTCGCCGGAATTGCGATCGCCCTTCTTGTCGGAGTCCAGCGCCATTGTCGTCAGGAGATCAGTGAGCAGTGCGGCATTGACACCGGTGGTATGCTGTACGAGATCGTGCATCATAGGCATCTCGGTGGAAGGTGGCGAGTTGGCGGACGGGTCGCGAGCCGACGACGCGGCGGATCCATCTGCTGCATGGGGTGTTGATGTCGGAGGTGCGACAGACACAGAGGGTGGTGAAGCAGAAGAGCTCATGACCGAATGCTGCATATGCCTGGTCGGTGATGTTGGTGATGAGGTGAACGTGTGAAAGGAATTCCGGCGTTGCCTTGTGCTGTGCTGGTGGAGTGAACAGGTCAAGCTCCATCATTGGAGACGGTCTTTCCCGGGGTCCGTAGGCTGCCGCAGAGCGAACCGAAGCAGCGCTTACAAACGGCTCTTTGCTCGATCGACACGCTGTGAACGTGGTGGCACTACGCTGTCGTAGCCAGCAAATCATCCGCGTTACTTCTCATGCCTCTACGACACCAAGTGGACGTATTACCACACCACTTCATCTTCAAGGGCTGTGTTGAATAAGAACGATGATAACTGGTATCTAGCCCAGCCCAATAGCGATGTGCTACAGCCCGAACATCAGGGAGACATTGGGAAACAGTGAATGTTACGAGCGACGTGTTAATCATTCACGTTGAGCTCATAACGGCAGCAAGCCTTTATGACTGCAGATTGACTCCGAAAGAGACATTGAAACTAGGAAACCACAAGCAATGATACAAGGCTTCTTCCCTGTCGAGATCCTTCATCGTGCCTCGAATTGCACCGCCTGTCGTTTTCCTGTACGTCGTACCTCATCTGCAAGATCCTCGAGCGTTCGTTCAGAGCTTACAACCTGCACATATGAATTGCTTCTCCCGATACCTCCATTGCTGCCATTCCTACCACGAGTGTGCCCACGACATTCGCTCCTTGAACCACCCACTTTCCATTCCTGCTCCACCCAGTAGTCCTTTGCTCAATCACAACGCCGCCAATCATGCTATCAGTCCATCCCCTAGCTCGAGCTGCTCCTCAGTCCCAGCGATGACGGGTTGCTGCTCAAGGCCTCCAGAGTTTGAGAGATCTCTGCGCTCCCCATAAACGGTCGACATATCTCTGCACCTGCTCTTTGGTATACGAACATCCGACTACGTTGAGGTCGACGTGCATGAGCTGTGTAATGTTGGAGTAGCTCATAACAGGGCTCGCTCGCGCAGTAGTGGCATCGGACAAGTTCTCTTCGTTTGCTCTAGACATCTCTTGGAGACATTCAACTACTATTTCGAAGGTCATTTGTAGTTCCTTGTCGATCAACTCGCGTTCGCTTGGCACTTCAAGGTTTTCGAGCCAGTTCGCGAGCTGGGAGACCTCGTCACCTTCGAGTTCTTGGTCTTGACGTCTAGCGTCAGCGAGGATGCGGGAGCCGCGCCAGCCCAATTTGATGATCTTTGGCTCCTCCCATCGACGAGCCTTGATCAGCTCCGCACAGGGCCTCCACTTTACCATGAAGCTCTCTCCATCTCCCACAGTCTTCGGCTTGTGGGTCGGTGGGGCTCCATGCCAACCAAGCTTGAAAGGCATGCCGTTCAATTCGGGAATTCTTTTGCGCGGATCGCATGTAGGCAGAACTTGTCGCAGAGTCCACCAAGTCGCTAGCGGCGCGTAATTCGGCCATTTATCAGGATCCATCAGTGCATTCACGCCAAGCACCATGACCAGTTGATATAGAGAAGCCGCCGAGGTATTCAAGCTGAGGGCCCTTGCTGTGAGTTCTGATCTGAAGTTTGCCTCGACCTCATCAAAAGTGACGGCGAGAGGAATAGCGTCACGGCAGTAGGTGAGCCCGGTGTCTGTCCAAAAGCTTGATTGCCTGATTTCGGCGAGCTCGTAAATGATTGCTTCGGTCGACTTTTCGAATGTGAAATTGAAAAGTTTGACCTGGATATGTTCATCCGGAGATTCGACCGAGACGGGAAGACAAAATCGAAGGGACCGGAACATTGCCAAAATCCTGGGGGGAATGGGATAACGACTCGCGGGAGCAGGTGGGAGTCGCAATGAATATGCATCGATATCCTCGGGCAGTTCCTCAACTGCTGCCTTGCGGATATCGATAACGATCTGTCTATCTTTCTGCCAGGCGGCCCATTGTTGCGCGTCCTGCACGTGTTCTCTGACTCTCTTCGAGACCCGTCTCTTGGCCATCAAGTCTTGCCAGGCGCGCGGGTTGGATAGTACAACCGAGAAGGGACGGTGCCACCCACTCGCGTCAACACCTGCTTCGTGAACTGCCACCTCCAGATCTTCGGCGAGGTAGGAGAATATATGGCATAGGAGCTCAGGCGGCAAGCTGAGCAGACGGGAGGGATTCTTCTTGCGCTCTTGGGATTGCCAGATCTTAGAGAGGAATGTGAATCTCGTATCAATAGAGAAGGGCTCGTGCACCCCATCGTCAAACAGGATCTTATTGTGCTGTTGCACTACCTCCACCTCCAATCGCCGGGGTGTCGAGGGCCAGAAGGGCTTGTTCCAAAGGCGCTCGGAGGGACCTCCATCGTGCGGTAGGAATGTGAACCGAGAAGGATACTTCGAAGATCCCGGAAGAAACAGGCGCTGCGGGTTCCATCTGCGCTTCTGGAAGAAAGGCGGCTTAGACTCTCTGTGTTGATCCCCGATACAGGGCGGCAACAGAGAATCATGTTTGAATGGACGCGTAAATTGCATTCTCAATTTCTTGCGTCGGCGACCGTGCTCATCCGCCATCGTTGGTGTAATATCAAGAAGCTGTGTGATATCAAGAAGCTGTGTGATATCAAGAAGCTGTGTGATATCAAGAAGCTGGCCTTCGTGTTTGTTGAGAGTCTTGTCGAGTGCGATGGTTGGGGTTGGAGTCGTGTCTACATGTTTACGATCCAGAATTTCGGGTGATCCGGGAGCCCCTGATTACGTAAGTACACTCGACTGTCGATCACCACCAACTCGCGGCTCTTCAACATACCGACAACACGGAGCTCGAGGAGCCGTTCACGCAGTCATGTCGGACATCAATCGCCCAGCGAAGAATATCAAGCTTTCCCCGGTAAGTGACAACACACTGCCACTACAGCAGACTGTCGACGCTCATATTCACCAGACCGCTTGCCTCAACTCCCTCCCGCGTGAGCTCAAGGATGAGATCATGTCCCATCTCCCGATCGACCTTGAAGTGGAATTGCGTTCCACCATGCTCCAAAGATACCACAGCATCAGCAACACCGCGGTTCTCGTGCGCAATGTGGAAGAATGGAAGGACTTCCTCGCCCTCTTCCGCGTCTCGTCGGGCTTCAGCAGAATTCTTGAAGGTGCTCTGACCCGCGAAGTGCAGGCAAAACGCGTCAAGGTCGTACTTCACGTCATCGACGCCGATGGGAGCACCGATGAAGTGACCGGCGACACGTGGCCTAGCCGCATTGACCGCGACAATACTGCACGATGGGTCCCTGACCGCTGGCTCGATCGCTTCAGACTGCTTCAGATGATCTCAGTCCACGAGGTTCGGGATCCTGCTGGGGGAGATCAAACCTCTTGGTCTTCAGCTGATGATCAGCGTGCGTACACCAAACCACGCTCGTATCAGATGAAGCTTCTCTACACCAGCGTCGATAAGGATGACACCAAAGGGGTTGGCATCGGCCACTGCGCCATCAAGAATCGATGGTTGGAGGTAACCCCACAGCCAAACAACATGAAACTTGGTCTGCGCTTCGCCGATGCTTTCGACGCCATGACATTCAAAATGCAACGCCTATTGGAGGGGGCTCCTGGGTTTCCGGCCATCTTCAATCCACAGATGCTTGGCCTTCTTCATCACACCCTCGTCAACGTTCTTGCTCGTACCCGGGTATCCGGGGTTCTCGGTGTGGAGTATAGAAGTGTCTGGTACCACCTAGACTACGAGTACTACTTCCAGGTGAAGGAACGAGAGGAGCCAACGACGCTTAGACTGGGCTGGCGTGGAGGTGCGGCGGCGCGGTACGCGGCGGAAAAGGCTGTGGCGTCTATTGAGGAGACGAAGCGTTGAAGGAGTGAGAGCGATGTTGGGCAGCGGAACGGAAGTGGTTTTCGTGGGGTCATAAGCAAGGAAGAAGGAGTACTCAACGACTATTCGGTCAATCTTGTCAACGCTTCGGCAATGGTGTTACTTGATCATGCGTGTGGATATAAAGTTAAGGCGGAGGGGCCCACGAGTTTGGGTGTCGTTCTCGCTTTATCTACAAGGATAGGAACGCGAAGTTATAAAATGACAAAAGAACGGGTCCAGTATGTATTTGTTCTGTCTCTATCCAATTTTCCTATGCTGTACCGTATTTGCCACCCACTTACACAATCAAACCGCTTCGTAGCCCATCGAAAGGTCCAAAGAAGTCCCTCCAAGTTGACATTATCTGAGCTTTCGAGCCCAGGCCCTGATGTCATCTTCCGGGGCTTTACGAATTGCTGGTGCGACCTACTGCCGACATTTTGCTTCTAATCCCCGACATTCAAGAAACGCGGCGGCAGCATTCCTCCTCGATCCTTAGCACGAGCGCCTACTACCGCATTAACCTATGTACACCGCTCACCATATCCACACGAACTCGCACGAACAATGTCGGGAATACCTGCCACGAACAACGCTTTCCGCATCAATCTCAGCGATCATCTACACGAAGACCTCTACCCCGACCGAGATCCAACGCCAAAGATCGGCGCAGCCCTCGAGCTCTCGCTCCGCAATGCGACCACTTCCGAGTACCGACCTGGATGGGACAGACCAGTGCTGAAGTGAGGAGCTCACATTCAGACAGATACGCACGTATGGACCTTGCATTCAACCGAATGGGATGAGATGCCCCTGCTTGAAGACTCCGTGGACTGTTCCCTCTTCGCAGAGTTCTATACCTGCTAGCGTACGACAGGTCTTCTTGCCCTATTCTGAGAGAATACATCAGCGCGATACTCAACTTTCTTAACCATGGAGTCCTCCCATCGCACTTGCCACTTCGCAAGAGGTGAGATGTCCAGAGTTCCGCACGGTGAGCCGCCCGAATTAATCCGCAAAACGCGTCCGATCGGGCAGTTGACTTTCCTCTTCCCCTACGGGGAGTACCATAGCTCGCGTGGAAAGACCAGCAAGCCCGTAGTGGAAGCAATATTCGAGCTCGAATGGCCTGGAAATGATGCTTAAAAGTATCAGGCGCAGTTGTTACGCCTTCTTGTCAAGTTGGATTGCAAAAGCTGTACTGGGATCCATACCAACATATCTGGGAATCCTCTCCTCATCTCAGCTCAAGAACGGCTGCTTTTGCGGGAAACACACCCTTGCTACACCCCAACAGCACTTCCAATCACGCTGGACGTCCATTCAACTCACCAGATCTATTGTATGACCAGTGGTTGCCGCATTCCTCCGATCAGAAACTGATCGACGCTTTGAATCTTGAGCGACTAGCACTCGGTCTGCGCGAGACCTTTGCAAGGAGATAACCGAATCGCGAAGACACACTTGTAATCTGCTTCAATACCTTGGAAGTTACAGCCAACTTGACTTACTCTCACAACGAAGATTCAATTTTCCTGGCCCAGTCTTTGTCTGCAGGCCGGTGAACCTGCCATGAACTTGGATGGGAAGCCGACGGGAAAAAGACCAGAAGGCACACTCCTACGTGCTCCATTGTTATTATCCTCAGATAGCTTGAGTGATCAGCCAGTCCCGGTCGTCCAGGTAGTCTGTTCGTTACTCGGGTCATGAAGCATATCGCCAAGCAGTACTGGCCAAGACTCGGCGCTGCTACGGTAGAGCAGCTACAAAAACACGTCCGCATGATTGTGATGCAAGCAAAGAGAAGGACAACAAGATTTTTGCGGGAGGTGGAGAAGGCGTACAGGAGCACGGTATCTCATCTCTGGCTAGTGGCGAGGTTCTCTCACCAGCTCTTAGCGAGATTGACGCGGTTTGGGATGGAAAGAATCCCAGATGTTGGAGAAAATGACGATCGAAGAATGGGAAACGAACTCTGGGGAGTTCTGGGATAGTAGTTCTGCGTCTCCACGGAACGATGATGCTGGGCGGGAGGAGACTTCCAGTAGACCGAAGAACTGAGGGAAAAAAATCGGAATCGGTCTTGAGCAAGCGTCTGAGAGATTGAAGCTGTACAGTGTTGGGTTGATACCACTGTCTGGGAAATAGTAGCTGGCGTGACTCCAGGTTCCGCCAGGACTCCCGGTCATTCTCCCGAGTCGGGATCTTCGTCCAATCCATGTACCACATCATTGAACAATCATGTTCTCAGCAACCTGCAACAAGGCAGTTCCCCTCTGGCGACCTGTCAAGTTTGTGGATTTAAAGGGAGCGATATAAGATGAAGAACACGATTTCGAAGCACGCGTAAAACATGTCAAACATAGATATGGCAAGGAGGGATGAATCGTTTATCTTGATACATCACCGCTTGCTCATTCTGCTTTACAGCCCTTTCTGTCTCTCTCTCCTTTCCAGGCAACGCCCTCATGCTTTTGTAGGTCTTTCTTGGCCGACTCATCTTCCACTGTCAATACCCGTGTAGACTTCCGCACACCACATATGCCTCCTGATATTGCTCATCCACCACGCCAAATGAGTCCTCCAAGCACTCTGTCAAACAGCTGTCTCCCGCGTAGCGACACTCTGCACCATCAAGCAGAGGCAGCCATACAACGCTCAACACCACCGTGATAGCAACGACATCGAAAAAATGAGCATGGCGACAGTGATACCCAACAAGACTCGCGCTTGACTCACGATTGCAACCGCAACGAAGTGCTTTGCGTTGTGAGACAAAACACGAGTCTTGCTCGGTGCCACTGTAGTCATGCCCATCTCCTCGGTGTCGTCGGTGTCACGATGGTGTTGAGTTTCGGATGGCTTTAGTTGGCCTCTTTGATTTGCTTGATGGTGCGGTGCTTGTTGACATTGGTGAGTTGCTCGGATGATGTGCTTGCATCGATCGAACCGCCATAAGCATGGTCCTCTTGCTCCGGAGCTGACTTCGAGAGGGTCATGCGGTACTTCCTTGACCATTGAMGACTCTTCTCTCTTGGTTCGAGGAGCCTGTGTCCCATGGAGTGTACTGCGTCTTGAGCGTCTCTCGATCCTCTGCTGCCCCACTCGCGGAAACATCGTCTGAGAGCTGATCTCTACCTAGTTCTGTTTGCCACCGTTGCTGAGTGGACTGACATTGATCGCCAACTTTCATGGTTCCATGGCCATGTTGAGAGAGCTTGCTGCAGAACACTGGTTGGTCGCGATGAATGGGGTTTTGTAATGCCGCTGCGTGTGGATAGCTTGCGCCAGTCGCTTCTTCGCTCTGCCTTCGCCTAAGGCTGAAGAACAGGAGCTGCTGTAGCTGGATGTTATGCACCGAGTAATCCGCTGAGCACTGCAACGATGAAAATATAGCTTGAAATGCCGTGTAAAGTCTGACGACTTCCGCTAAGGTCATTCGGTGCCAAAGACAATTGGTCGTTCTGGTTTGCGAGTGCCTGCAAGGATGCTGTATTGCGGCTCCGCGGTCTTGTCGATGGCCTAGCTGAGGCTCCGTAGCTGGGTGACGAGACTCATGCTTCGATGAAAATTACGCGCAAAGCATTCTCCGCAACACCGTAATTCTGCGATTGTGCTTGAGACGGCGAAGAGCTCGTCACAGGTTCCCTGCTCTTCCAAGTGGTCCAAAAAAGCCTGGAGGAGGCAATGTGCATTTGTTGGTGCTGAGATCTTGATTCTGACGTATCGATCCAAGTCAACGTGGTGACTGGCCAACGTATCCTTGAAAAAGGAAGATACAGGCAGCCCGGAGTGAATGATATGGATACTGTGACTGGTTAGCAGTGAAGCGAGTGGTGCGACAGTCAGAGAGGTCGCAACTTGCCTTGAGGTTGCTCACACTTCTCAGTTTTAGTGGTTTGCGTGGATGATGGCAGCGGCGGCCACGACGGTGCGACTCGCGAACGTTTGTGGCGTTGCAGCCGACGGGATTCGCGACGTCGTGGTCGATGGAAGGAAGGATGATGGGGATGATGAAGATGATGATTCCATATTGTGGTGAGTTGATGACAGGTTGATGAAGGTTCGAGGCCGGAGGCGGAGCCAGAAGCGCGGCATGCAGATCGATGACTCCGTACTGCAGATTTCATCTCTCCGACTTGAAAAATGGCCGCCACAGCGATCATTCAATCAACATGGCGTGGACTGGAAGACCTTGCAACAACAATTCATGCACTTGCTCATGGGCTTAAGCATGTCATGCCGAACGAAAGAGAGATCGTCGGGAAGGCAGATCGCAGCGCAGAGGCAGTGCAGAGGGCGGGGACAATGAGGCAAGGCGAGACACTCCCGCCAACGACATGGTCACGTCGCAATAAACTAACCGGTCTCAGCCGACTACGTCCCAGGTAGAATACTCATACCTCGCACTGTGCCAAACAGTCCTACAATGAATCCAAATCACCTTGATCTTGCTCATCTCCACGATGGTGTCGGCGATTCCACCCCCTCCTCTCCCAGTGTCAGGATGAAGCGTATCCGGATACTATCTATCCCTGAGCCTCCTCAATTCGCAGCTGTTCCCTCAAAACCTCGTACCTCTCGACCGAGGTCGACGGACGATCCGATCCACGCCGCCTTTGTACCAATAGAGAACACAAGATCCGTCCCACAACCATCGCTGCAGGCTCTGAAGCTTGCAGGTTGATGGGGAGATACGCGCTGCATGCCATTTCCACCACCTTTCCGACTCCACGGTCCTTAGGTGCAGCCAGCTTTCGCGTTCTGTACGGGTGAGGAATGTCGTAGTGCAAGAATCTGGGCTGAACAGCGTCCCAGTGACCATCGCACTTCTTCAGCCGTTCAATCTGCGCCGCGAAGGAGTGTTTAGCCGGTGCAGCTGACCAGGCACAGGTGTAGGTGCAAGGGTGGATGTTGAAAGAGTTGCGCCGGGAACATCTGCAAGTGTATATGAAAGTAGTTTACACGACAACTCAGCGGTCGGCTTCCGTCTACACGACGAAGGATAGGAAGTCCGTCATCTTCTGGCACTGTTGATGGCTCCACTCAGATCATCGGACGCACTACTGCCATTCTCGTCGAAGGAGCTGGCCTTCCGGGGCAGGAAATTGTGGTACGAAGGAGTCAACAGTACCTTGAGGAGGTCATCCACTGTGAGAAGTCTCTGGTGTAGGGAGGCGATTTGATGGAACCTCGAATCCGTAAGAGCTCATAAACAAATTTAACGCGGCCTCCGACCATCTTATCTTGTCGTCATGGCACATTCGAAGATACTGCCCCAAGACCCGCCCTCAGCACTCGAGTCGAGAGACATCCGCTGACTATGCCGAAGACTTGACATGCCATCGTTGGAGAAGTTTCTCGGAGGAGCAACCGCTCCTGAACCCAAAGAAGGAGGCGGTGGCGGCATATCGCTAAGATCATGCGGAGCTGTGGGTTGAACAAGGTGATGTCATACCACAGAACACTTGCTCGATCGCTCGGCATTTGTGTCCCTTGCTCAAAAGGCCAAGGGGCAAAGTCTGAGGTTCGCGGCATTAGGGACTGTCATGCCAACATTTTGAAGCTGCGCCAGCAAGGGAACAGGAGCTTCACTGCTGCGAGTCTTTGAGCACAAGGTCAGAGACACTAAGAACTTCGGCTTCCCTTAGCCATTCGATCCTCAGCTGCAGTCAACTCAATCATGTCGAGCTCCGGAATGGGACGCTGTGCAGGAGTCGCGGTCAAAGACTCGCTATCGCGAGCCGCCACCAACTTCTAGGAGCAATGAGAAGTTGTCATCGCGAGCTGCGCGAGTCTCAGCTCATACGACGCAGCAGCAATGGCCTAGTACGCCTGCTAGAAAGCTTTGAAAAGCTTTGGATGGGGCTCCCGCGGGTTCTTGAGGGTCATCGTTTGCATTGGCCTTAAACTTCCCGTTCAGATTCCTCGAGATCTTGCGCAAGTCTTCAGAAAGCATCTCAATACCGATACGCCAGGCCAACAGCTTCATCTCATTATCAGTAAACGCTACTACCCGCGCCTGCAGTCCTGAGGATGGATCACATACTCCGACAATCGGTATCACGGGTACCCTCTCTAACGATCAAGGAAATGCAGGAGCGAGTTTCGAAGAAGATTCAACGGTGAGTTACATTCACGACACAACCGCCGTAGCCACAACAGCAGCATCGAGCACGAACTACTTGCCCTCTGCAAAGAAGTTTGGCACGGTCAAGGGAGGGATGCCGATCATGGTGGCGAAGTGGGTCAGTCCGCTGAGTGACCACGTTACCGAAAGCCAGTACGGCGAGGTCACGGACTGGACGGCTTCGGCTGCTCATGCTAGCAGAATCATCTCCATACCCAGGGCTTCGTGGGTCATGAAGGCTCAGCGTGATCTTCAAGCTATTCTTGGCCTCGTTTTCGGTAGGATACTCCACCGTTGCATTGAGACTGAAGTCCAAGCCATACCCATCGGAGACGGCCTCCGCTAATTGGAGATTGATATGAATGAAGGTAGTGACGAACAAGCATGACAACGAGAACACAATGGATAGCGAGACAGAAGTTCCGAAGATGTCCCGTCTCATGGCTTTTTCTTTCGTACTACAGGAGCCTTTAAATCCCAGCTCTTCCTCGACAAAGGGACCGAGCGTTTGGCTGCCGCGGAGGATGCTCTGCGCGCGATGCAGGCCGAACCTGAGCATCTTCAAACTGCGGTCAAGGTCCTCCGCAATCTGAGGTTCTATCGCAGTCTTCCAACGAGAATCCTCTGGCAAACGCTCACTCATGACATCTGGATAGCAACTTTCCGCCGGGCGCAGGCTTAGAAGTTGATAGTCACAAGATCAGAGACATTGATGAGGGTGAGTKACGAACGTTGGATGGAAGGAATGTCTTTATCCTAACATCTCTAGGTCATTGAAGACTCGCCCAGCGATGTCTTAGAACTGCCCACACTCCCTGAAGATAAAGTGGCTGCTTTGTTTACTTTGGACGATACCATCTATCGTGGAGCACAGTCAATGATAGAGGATCAGGTTAAATATGCACTACCTCGAGCAGCTGTTATGCAGAGCCATATTCCCTTCCAAAAGAATAACACCATGAAGTCCAACCATCCATGGGAACTCTCAGGTGAGTCTTTGATCAAAATTTCAATTTCAACTCATTGTTTCTGACATACGAATAGAGTTCAAGAATGATCCATTGCTCTGGGCCCGCTCTCGTTTGAACCATGAATATAATCCAAAACCTGACGTTGTGGAGCTGAATGTGCTGGATAGAGCATGTAATGTGTTATTTGAGTTCGTWTACACTCCTTCTCAAATTTTTGGTCAACAGTACTTACCCTCGACAGGCACTTCGCGCGGAATATGACCGGTGGCAACGAAGCCCTGGCCGCAGCTATAACAGAAACGTGGACTATGTCTTTGCTTTTGAAACCTATCGAGAATGCTCGTCCTGCCAGGCCAGAGACTTAGGACCCGTCGCATATCCGGAAAGCGTTCTATCGTCTACAAGGAGTGATTGAATTGCCAAGCTCCGAATATCAGATCAATCGACAATTTCAATATCTCCCCACGGACGAGCACAATGGTTTAGCAGAGTTGAGTAACATGGGCGTTTTACGATACGGCGCCGCAGGTTCCCTGTTGCAGAAGTTCTGCGAGAGGACTCCTGGGCCACAGCGAGCGCAGCAAGACTTTAAATGGCTGATGGAGTCCACCGCGGCACGCATATTCTGGAGTTTCGGCGAGAGATTCTCGCTGTCTTCCGGGGAGATATCGCGCAGGACAAGGAAGAAAAAGATCCCGCAGTCATTGACGCATCATGGGAGATCCGAATGGCAACTCTGTTCCTCAGCGAAGAGATCCGAGAGGAGTATCAGCAGGAAATGGAGAGCATTAAAGATAAAAGACAATTCACTGCGGCGTTGGACGGTCGAAGACGTAAGGCAGCTCGCCTCCGCGAAGTTACCCATGGGTTCGTGTATAACAAGGAGTAAATCAATAAGAGTGGAGCGGTCTCTACTGCTGGGGTTAGAAAGGGTAAGAGGAAGAGCAAGAAGACGGAACTATCACCRAAACCACCGCCTATAGATGCAACTACCGGAGCCTGCGTAGGTTTCATGGATGCATTCAGTTTGTATTTCGAGCAAGGGATGCCTCCTTCTCCTACCTATGTCTCACCACGCTCGGCAAAACGTATCCCGCTGAGACAAGAGAACTACGATGTTATCTCACGACTCTTCGCACCCGGTCCAGGGAACAAGGCGTCAACAGGGAAGTTCACCTGAAGAAACTTCAGAGATGCGATGAGAGAAGTTGGCTTGGCATCGCAGTGCATAGATGGATCAAAATATGCGTTTCAGATGAGGAATCTACTGGACAGCTATGCCAAGGTGGTTTTCCATGATCCCACGCATGGTAAGCGACGACAGGCTATGCCTGAAAGTGTACTCCGGAGGAATGGGAGGAGGATGACTCGGGTATGTTTTGCGTCTGATTGGATTGATTGGGCGAATTGCTGACAGTCATGCAGCTATATGGTTGGAGGTTGCACAACTTCGCCGTTCGATCGAAAGGGAAAACATAAATCATCTGTAGTTCTTGAATTGATGTCGAAAGAGCAAAGGGGTATCTGATTTTGAATCTTTAAAAGTCTTGCCCCTATTACTCGTGTCGCCCCGTAGTGTAAGCACTGCATGCTATCCGGAGCTTTGGTCCGCTGCAACAGAGGAACTCAAAGTGACTCATGCTTCTTGCCTTTGTATCGTGCTGTGCCCAACTACAACTACCTCAAGGGCGATTTTCGCCTTGGAACGTTGCAAAGTCGTCCTTGCTTCATTGTTTTTAAAAAGATGCACGAGAAAGAAGTTGAATCTAGTAGCATCAGCAGTCTTGTCGTCGACCTTGCTGTACAACGAACAGTGTGACTCCACAGAGAGGCTATGCAGGAAGCATTCCATCTGCTCTCCCTGTACGAGGATATGCCGCGTGCCTTCTAAGCCCTCCTAAGTAGTTCGATGTTTGGCCTGTTTGTCCGTTCACCCGTTGTTAGCTTACGAAAGTATATGAACATAAGAAGGATATAGGTCTCCCACGGTGGATAGCTCATCATCACACAGACACTTTGCTATAATCGTTCATCACTTCCCGCAGCTGTCGCATCGAGAACTTCGACAAGATACTTGTAATTTCAAGATAATAATTTATCGCGGCCTATGCCATCCCTTGCATATCGTCCTTGTGCCTGAGTTGAGCAAGAGGAAAGTCGAGCAGTGTGCAAGAACAATGAAATGAGTTCTGCTTACAAGGCATTGTCAATAGATTGGCCATTGCTAGGCCAGATGAATGGCATTGTCGAGGTGAACGAGCAACATATATATACAACACCACGCTTGTCAACACTCTGTTGGTACCACTTTCACGCAGCGCGCCGATTGAAAGTGACTTACACTGCCGTTCAAACTTTCTTTGTTCAAAGTTACGACCAATCCAAATCCAGCCTAAATTCATTTTCGCTGGAACCACTACAAATCAACAACTGCACAACAGTCCTCGCGCAGTGAACCACACTCTTTCATAACAACAATAGCAAACATGGTAAAATTCGCGGCATGCTTGACCGCCTGCAACGCAAACGTCGTCCCAAACCCAAAAATACGGGTCCAGCCTGCCGCAGAGTCTTCCAAACCATCGAACTCCTGGAGAACATCCTCTCACATCTCCCAGCACCCGACCTCTTACTCCGCGCACAGCGCGTCTGCCATCTCTTCAACCGCACCATCAGCGCCTCGAAGCGTCTCCATCTCCAGATGATATACCTTGGAACAGACTCACCTGTGAATAACCCCGAGATCTACATTAACAACTTCCTTATCAGAGAATGGCAACGAAAGATGAGCAAGACAGAGAGACTTCTCGCTCGCATCAATCTCCACTTATTGCCCTGAAAACCACTTCGCACAACAGGACCTCCCCGGTTGTTTGAAACTCCAAACGAAACAACATACCTCCCACCCTTCTCGCAACGCGAATACGACCGTATCGAGTTTGTCATTCAGAACATCGAAGAGGCCCAGCTGATCTACAGCGATCTGAACGAATCCTGGGCTTCGATGCCTCTCACTCAAAACCAGAGAGCGGAGGACTACAGAGTCTCCCTCACGTACACCATCGTCCGCCATTCTGGGATCTCTCACAGGCACCGGGAGGAGGTATGCCGTATCCATGCTGAGATTCGAGCCGCAACGATGGGCGATCTCGTTGGGGTTCTGATGAAATTGGTGATTCACCGCGCGGAACTTTCGGGGACGGAGGATCGATGGGCGATGGCGGAACATACTGTGTCTCGTGTGAACCATTTCACAGACGAGGAACTGCATCGTATCGTTGTTCCACCGCGGTACTCATACTMGGGATGATGCGCGGGTTTGTGGACTTTGGCGTTAGCTGCTAAGACAATGGTTGTCTTTGCAGGAGTTCCGTTACCAGACAGAGAATGGGAGTTTTGGCTTCAAGAAGGACTATTTGTGTGCCGCCGACTGCTGAATTGTCAGTCAAGAATCAACAGCTGTTCCATATGATAGTATCTTAACATTCAATGAACGATCCCACCTTGAAGTGCGTCACCTCTGTCTCACGGTAATCCATGAAGTGCTCCACAACGTCTACTCGATGGAGAACATGCTTGCCGGTAGTTCCTCTTTGCTTACTCTGGCACCATGTCTTCTATCATGGCGAGGGAAGCCGATTTTTGAACGGTTCAGCTCATGCTGAGCTCTAACTTTGCGGTCGCCCCTTGTATCAAAGAGACTTCCTTCCTCGCCACGTATGAGTTTCTAGTGGGTGTGTGATAACTTTGTGTCCWTATGTCCTGCTCCAACGTAGTTGCAGCCGCAAATGTGACGTCGTATCAAGTGTGGCGTGGAGTATCCTTGTGCTTGAAAGAYCGACAGTAGCGCTTTCCAGTCAGGTCATGCCTGTTAGTCCTGTTTCGTAAGTCTCACGCGGTGCGTACAAACTTTCCGTTGACGGTCTTGACCTCCCGACACTGGCTGACTGAACGTAGTTCATCAGCGTTCATGAGGCTCGTGGATGCAAGAACGCATGTGCAGACGTATTGATCAATAGTCCTATGAAGATCTTTAGAAAAGCCTGTGGGGTGCATTCAGTCGGAGATGGACTTTCAGGTCTGTGTCGGACTGGTGGACTCTCCACTGCATCGTCTAGTCGATGGACTCTCCAGTACCATTGTCAAGGATCGATTGCACAGAGTGCGGAGTGTCGTTTTCCGTCTTGAGATCCATACACTCATCGGCCATATGTAGGACTATTGATGCCCTCATCGATGGTTGGAAGTCCGAGAAACCCCTTCTCCCAGGCATCCATGCGGAGCAGGGTAATTGCGTCGGGTGAAAGGATGTAACGGCAGGTACTCACACACGATGACGATTGATTTGTCCTTCGCGAAGCCTAGCAGCGCTAAGTGTTGAGTGTAGCATATCTGACGGCGGTACTCTACCACCCCCATGAATTGACTGCAGGAGGGAGTTTCTCCCGCTCCAGTCAGCGTCCCATTTGCTCGAGCTATTCTCTCACTCCATTCTCCGTCTCAGATCAGTGCCAGTGGTCAGTCGCACGTTGAGAAACGCCTCAAATCGAGTCGATTCCGCTGGGGAATCGTCCGAGGCCGGCATCCCTCTCACCGAGAAGTCGTTTGCATAAGACATGCGGATCATGAGGGTACAGCACCTGTTCGCAGGTGTATTCATCTCTACGGTGGGTGTATTTCCTACACTCTGGCTGATCCTGATTTCCTCTCCTGCATGCTGGCCAATGCTTGACGGAGGCTACTTGACAGTCTTGTACTTTGCCCAACAGATCCGGTCAAAGCTAGAAGCTCTCTTGCCAGTGCATTCAATCACGTTGCCGTCGTTGTATCCATGTAGCACTTATTAGACGCTGGGAAGCTCGGAGGTATTGACGCTTGTACCGGAAAGACTTGTTGTCCTTGTGTAGCTTTGCATGGACGCCGCAGAAGACGGCAAGGAGCATCAAGCCGGTTCGAAGACACGTGCAGTGTTCTCCGCCGGCTCAATTATGGTGTGTAGTTGCTTTCGATTGAGGACTTGACCTGACGAAGTGATTGGGTCTTAGTTGATACCCGGGACGTTACCTGCAGATACTGCGAACAGATTTATGGCAATTGCTGGACTGTGTCCCTCCGGCAGGTTTGCAAATGGGATCTTGTAGTCTCCGATAGACGTTGCTTCAGCGAGCGGACTGACCTGGGCTGCCTGACTGTTCGCTGGATTCTTTAACTATGATGTTTTCAAACACAGCTGAAACCTATCGTACTGCAGAGACATGCCGTGTATGTCAAGGCAGGTGGGTCGAAGCGCATGGGCAACAAGTGGCATTCGCTGCTCTGCATCCTCGACGTGGCGAAGAGCCATGATGGRGGCAATCATTCGCACTGTGAGGACCGTGCAGGTAAACTCCAGTGCCATCGAAAAAGGATAGGAGATTACCCAGTAGAGGTGCAAAGCGCTAGACTGGCTTGGTGCTGTAGATGACCTTCTGCCGCTCCGGGACTGACCAGCCCTGCAGAAAGCTAGCATGGCTCTCAAGTCCTTTGGCGCGCATCAACACAGTCTACTTGTTTTGGTGATGATCCTCTCCGGCGCTGACGGTGGGAGTCTCTGATCCAGTGTGGAGAAACGGGCGGGGCCGTAAGCGAGGACGTAAGACATCGAGGAAGGCTGCTGCCCAGCAGCACTCGCCTCTCTTGCGTCAATTCCCCTTGTTGGTTTGGACCTCCTCGGTATCTCCCACCGATATCTTCTTGCCAYCCTTGTCCGCGTGCTTCTGATCTTCAAGCGGTTGTGCGTTCGCCACCGACGCGTAGCGCGCAAAGTGGCTTCGTAGAGTATGGCCACCGTGCACCAGCATATTCGATGCTATCTGTCACGTAAAAGGTGTGCTTCCGAGTCGATGTCCGTAGGTCAGTGTTTCGTCGCCTGCCTTTGGGGGATTTGGAGATGAAGGCTGTCGTCGCCACTTTCCCTTCGAAGTTGCCTCGCGCTTACCGTGGGTATCTCGCCGAACCGGCAAGTCAGTTGATCTTGGATCTTGAATCTTACAGCTGTATCTCCGTTATCCTCCTCCCTTTGATTGATCTTGAACCGTTGCGAAAGCGTCGTGGTGAGGCCGTGTGCTCTGCTTTGAGAAGGATCCTCAGCTCTGCTAGGTCGTGGTACCKGAGAAGGACATGCGCCAACCTGTTCTGATTGACGACGGCGTAGAGTATCATGTTATCATCCTTGTTGATGATGGTCTGCTCGATAAGACCGTGCCACAGCCGTCGTCGGAGCATCACTGCTGTCGGCGCTCTGCTATACGGAAACAACGTTCTTGCTGGAGCCGGCGTGCGGGGGTTCTCTTTATGGAGCTGCGGTAGGCCTCGTTTGTAGCAAGCGGTAGAGTTGACGCGCCCGGAGAGCATGGCGGATGAGGCCGTCGTCGTCGTCGATCGACAGCCCACGTCCAGGCAAAGCTGTAGCAGGCATTATTCCGCCCTACGAGATGTGCAGTGCTTGTTCAGCGCATCGCTACTTTCCAAGAGTGCCATGAAGCTCTTGAGGGCATCCTGGTGAGTTCGCTAGCTGAGCATGCGAAGTGGTGTTGTTCTCGGGGGTGGAATCCAATGGTGATTGACAGCAGCCAGACGCGTCTCCACAAATCCTCAAGTCCTCGGTTTTTTTGAAAACACGGCAGCAGCGTGTGAAGCCATGCAGCATCTTGCAAAAATCATTGTTCATCCACAACACGTCTATAATTGACCATGGTGAGTGTGAAGGGATGAGTGATGAAGGCCTTCCATTGCATCATGGTGGCAATATTATAGGAGGAAAATGGCGGTCGTGGAAATGAAACGCGTCAACTGGTGTGGTATTTTGGCAAAAAGAATGGTCACATTGAGAGTAGGGCCTACTTCGCCAGGGAATCGTTGACCTTGGCTCCATTGCCACTGATGGGCCTGACTTTGACGGGACCACAACACCCTCTCCTTCCATAGTATACGTAGAACAAGGCAGCGATGGTAAGATGAGCTCTGCAGCACCCAAATCCACCGCCAAAGTAAGACGTAGAACCTGGGGCCCAGCCCAAAAAAGAAGCCCCTCCCCGTCCCAAACATCCTCCATCCAAAAGACAAAAGCTCTACCCCCGCGACTCGGTTGAGTCCGGGGGTAGTGAAACGACCATCGGATGATGTCTTTCTTTGTCGGCATAGCTCGCTGTTAGGAAGCGGGAAGGAACACGTTGCACATGGGGAAACGGGGGAGGGGATCGAACGGACGACTTACGAGTTTGATCACACAAATTCACACCACTCGGCCAAGGAGGRAGGAAATCCCCGCAGGGTGTACAAAGCATGGAGATTGGAGATCTCCGGGGATTTATCTGCGTGAAAGAATTAGGCGCCGAAATTGTGCCTTAGGTGAGATTTAGGCGGTTGGTTTCGTCCTGGAATTTCTGCTTTTGCCTGAACTCCTTTCCTTTCCCATTGCTTCTTTCACCTTCATCTATACCTTTTCCTGTACAACAATCCATCAACTGGGCAGCCATCAACAACTCCCTCGACGCCATGATCTTCAACACCCTCACCAGATCACGCCGCATGTCTACCGAGGCCGTGGTGAACTTGGAGGTGTAGATGGAGCTGGAGGTAATCATACCGGATAGCATGGCACCGCTCATCCCGCTCATCCTACTCTTCCTTCTCCACGCCATCGGCCTTGCCAACGGCGAGATATGAACGAGCATGTCTCCATCGCCGCGCTGAACATGCTTCTCCTCCCGCAAATAGCGCCCGATCTGCCATCATTAGCGCCGCCACCCACCTTCTCCTCCCTCATCTCCGGCCCCATATTACCTCCCTCATCTGCACAGATCCGCAACGGTAGGCAACAGGAAGCTCATCCCTCTACAATTGATTCAATGAGCGAGATATTGGAGGAGAGATCGACACATTCTGAGAAACATCCACCTCGACTTTGACCTGAATCAACACAAACACCCGGACGATATGATTCCGATTGCGCCGCCGCGGCGGACAATACCAACGACATCTGGGACCGCCACTGGTCTTGATTACATCTAAGAGCTCCGAACGCTGGAACCAAGCTCCGAGATCCCTCTCGATGGACAACTTCGTGGCCATCATGGACAGCGCGGCACCCACGTTCCGAGCTTTGGAAGATATAGCACAAGACAACGAAGACGAGGACTCGATCGGAGCAGCCGACTTAAGCAGGACCGCTCTCTTGCCACGGCCAGAACCTGATGACGACGGAGACTGACGAAAGCGTGGTAAATGAGGATACTGCGTTGGAAAGAGGTTCAAACCTACGAAAAAGTGACTAATGGGGAATGCGCCGCGAAGAAAAAAAGGTGAGCATTCTAGGGAACGAAGACGGAAGGGACATGGACAGCGCCAGCACCGGTCGGTCGCCGAWTCGTCAGTGCCGTGAGCATACTGCTCCGCTCATGCCTGCCATTCTCAAAAGACTCCACGTGGATGCTTCTCCCTCCACTTCCCACCCAAGTCGGGTCTCCATGTCTCAAATGTCCGCCACTGCAGGCCGGAGGAGGCTGATACATCTACGATTTATTCAACGAGCGGAACAATGGCAGGGAGGTACTGGCGATTGGTCGCCACTCACGCGTCGTCAGGCTGATTACGGCGGTCAGTAACATTCGACTTCATCCTCTCATATCTGGCAGCATTGGAATGATGTTTCCACTGAGCTGAAGTGCAGAACCTCAAGCATACCCCATCGCCCTGCGGTCATGAACGACTTGCCGCTTGTACGATAGCGACCGAGAACGCCAACACCAAAGTAGTCTCACGTGCGCCGTCTACATTCACAAGTCGCTGAGAGGACGCTGCGAGACCAACAGTACTCCAGGATGATTGCCACGCGTCCGAGGGCGGAAGCGAGAGAGGACCGAACATACCGAAAGAGCGGTGGATATATGAAGAGCATAGCCGCCAGCGGCCTGACTCTTGTTATAAAACACCCGCCTCCGCGATCGCATTCAACACGTCTGTCACCATCGCGCGGCCCCTGCAGTGAGATATCGCCGGCATCTGGATCGCCACTCCAATGCTCCTAAGCGCAGCGTGTAACCCGCCAGTCCGTCAACGCGCAGCAGCGCGCGTCCTCAGCGGCAGCGAACATCGGCAGCAGACACCATCACGGTCAAGCAGAAGATGTCTGCAATCCTCATCTCCGACAGCAGTAGTCCAGTCGTTCCTACCAACGCCGATCCTCAAGATCAACCAATATCGACATCGAACAGACCGTGGGGACGCAAGGGAAAGGTGTGTGATGCTTTGGGTGTGACGAAAGAAGGGTGGAAGAACTGGTGGAGGAGGACTCGATTCGAATATCATATGTCAGTGGCTATCGAACGTGCGGCTGGGCATTACCTTCCGCTTGTCAAGGGTGGACCTCGCTCTCATGGTTCGCGTTCTTCGCCACGCGGATACATCGAGTCAGTCCACAAGGATGCTGAGCCTGGGTTCTCTGAGCACTCCTCAACAARGGCATGGAAGTTGGAAACAGACGAGTCTTCCTTTCGGACACGGATAGCGTAGGCACCGATTCGGACTGGAAAGTACCGCAAGACACAGGGCGCCGGAGTGAAATCGCGCGAAAGTGATGTAGAATTTGGATAAACACCTTTTGAGCCACCAGGTTCCCAAACTATCACGGTCATCGACCCCGTCCTGTGCCAGACAGCTCTTGCGCATCCCTGAAGGACCATCCAAAAAGATGAATGTAAGGCATTACGGTCATGGACCTTCGCTCACAAAGATGGATTTAGCCGGCGGCGACTCACATGATGAACGCCTTCTCCGGCTGCCAGCAAAGGGATATGGTTCACTGGAGAGGTCGGTCAGATGCAGCCAGTTCGACGTTCAGCAAGTGATGACCAAATTGAGTTACAATGAACAATGCCGTGGGTCTGCTGCTGAATCTGGATGTTTTCGTGAGCGTGTACACCCCACCGTGTTGTGATGGAGACTTTCTCCGCTGTGAGACTACAGGTAGTCTTTTAAACTGGTATGGAAGCGCTTCGACATAGGATGTTGAAAGCAGTGTGTCGTCGACCTTGCTTGGATCAAGGCGCTACGAGGGTGTGAGCAAAGCATCCGGGTCTGTACAAGCAGGCTACGAATGACTGTAGCCCGGGGAAGATGAAGTATGGAATAGCGTACCGGTGTTTGAAAGTGCGCCTGATCTGATCTTCCCGCCTTGTTGGGGGAGGTATTCCATACAGTTGGCTGCTGGCCCGCTGCCATCTTGACCTACGCACAATGAATGAGTGGCCGTGCATTGGATCGAGTGAGTGTGGTAGTARCTAGCGGTCGCTCTGGGTTTGTTACTGCACTGGTCCTTGTAGCGGCAATGTGCAGCACAAAGCAGGAGATCTCGCCATAAAGTATAACATGCATGTCAGGTTTGCCAGCTCTTGTCTTTGTCTCGTAGCAAGCGTTTCACAATTCAATATATTCGTGACTCTTCTCGGGTTGTACAGCCTCTTTCCTACTCTATCGATTAGACACTTCTTGCCAGCCCTCGTCATCTCGCTCGTGATTTCCAGCAGCCATGTCCCTGACGTTCGTGACCCCGGACTCACTAGGCCAAATCCAGCCGCCCCAACTCGAACTTTCTCCAAACACCCATTCCGTCTACTTCTCCTCCCAAACATCATCCCAACGATCAAAAATCGGCTCAAAACACAAGCTCCTCCCACTCCGCGAAGGTCACTCCTACTACATCACCATCGAAACCCTCGACTCCTCCTCCACCTCCTCTGACGGAGACGGAGACGAAATGTTCCCCCCTCCCGTCACCAACGAACCAGATGCCAGCGTCCTCTGCGCGCAAATTCCCCTCCTCGCCCGCATCAACGTCGCGCAAGCCTACAAGGAGAACCGCACCATCGCTCCCGCCGCCGAGATGACGCTTTCCGGTCTCCAAGAGTCTGAAAGCGAAGCTTACGCCGCTCTGCTCGACGTCTACGCCATTCAATACCAGCGCGTCGTTGACAACCTCGAGGAGTGGATCGCGCAGATTAGACGAAGAGCACCAGTCAAATACGACATTGAGAATCTCGTGCAGCTTTGTGGGTTCTTGGGGGCGTATCAGGCTAGTAGGGATAGGAAGTCCGAGGTTGCGATGGAGAAGGCGGATCGAGTGGAGGATGTTGGAGATGGGGTGCTTGAGGCTGCGATGGCGGTTGCGGAGAAGAAGGTCGAGGAGTACTATGTTGTTTGTGCTTCGCAGAGGTTGTGGGAGATTGAGAGCGCGGATAGGGTGGTTTTTGGGGAGGATATTGTGCGGGTTGAGAAGGTGGAGGAGGGAGTTCGATTGGTGATGAAGGGTGGGGAGGAGTGTGTTGTTTGTGAGGGCGAGGTGGATGCTGTTGAGTACGCGAGGTTGGTGGATGCTGCGGAGAAGATGGCGCTGAACAAGGAGGCTGTTAATGACGGATCGGAGCAGACCGAGGGCCAAGATGATGGAAGCGGAAGTGCGTATCCCGTCGTCAATCCAGCTACGGCGAGCGAGAGCATGTTCGACTGACTACTGCAAGCTATATGGTGCGGCACTGTGAGMACACAAGCGARCAAGTCTTCTTCCCCGAGCTCAACTGCATACCATAAGGCTACCACACCCTGGCATACATGCGGTCTTTGTTGAGCCTGCTTAGATGTTGGAGATGGCAATTCGGGTTGAGGCAAACCTCCTGTCCGTAGCAAACCATATATCCAAAATTGTTTTCAAGCTATTATGCGTCCAGCGATCCGAAGTTGACTTCCACTGCAAACATTGTCTCTTCTTCTTTCTCGAAAATGTGGTAGCGCTCGAGTTGCCGGTTCTTTCATGTGACAAGTTCGCGTGTGGAGAAGTGGGGCTTGGCGGCCCGCTCGGGACGTTCCATAGTTGGCTTAATCGTGCCTTGCTCGTTGTATACTCAATCTTTCGTCCAACTGCAAGAGCTTTCTACTTCGTTTCTTCTATGCCTGGCGATATCGTCCGGCCGGATTRCTCTCAACGCAATTGAAAATCGATCATGAGCGTTTGCGAGCGTTCCTTCTCAAAAAGCCGAACACGAAAAAGATCGAACGAATCGCAGCAGGAATACATGCGGCCTTATCCGACTATCATCAAGAGTTCAAGTCTTGGTACTATATGACCAACATGTCAGACAACAAGATGCCAGCGGGCATGGCGCACACACGTCTGAGGATCTGCAGCAAGTTGGAAGCGGAGGAGGGACAAATCATTGGCGAAATACAGCACCCATTCCTCCAGGGACATCGACGAGCAAATGGAATGGGAAGCGAAGACCAGAATGTGTCTCGTCATTCTACACGCCTATACACATCGGTCTATTGCTGGCCAGCGCCGGTAATTCTTCGCGCAAGTATACTTCGGCGCACTTGCTCTTACATTGGCTTGATTTGCAGTGAGACTCGTCATCCAGCGATATGTTCTCAATGCGTACAAGATATTTGGCGGCCGGACACCCGAACGAGGGCTTGAGATGAGAGATCTGCAGCATCTTTTCGACAACTTGAAGCGTTGGAAGCCCGTGAAAAGTCAGGGCAGAATCCTTCGGCAGTTCCACTGCCTCCGTTACTCTTGAAACTTCCGCGGCTTCCGACAACGACACTTCGCCACCAAGCTCAACCGCGGCGAGCTACACGATGTAGTTGCGGGCCCTCTGGCCATCGGATGCAATGATTTTGTGCATCATTTCATCCCAGTAAGGTTCGTCCTGATCGTTGCAACCGTACTGCCGGAAACGGCGGCGAAGCTCCTGGTGCGTGGGATCCTGTACCTCGGCGGCAGCCGCGAACGCAGGGAACGGCTCCACTGGAGCAAGAGGTCTCTGGCGAGGAACAAGTGGCGACGGCACGCAAGACTGCGGAACCACAGGCGCAGGCGGCGGCGGCATGCTGAAAGATAGGTCGACGTTGGAGGATGGAACGACAGGGTTCGAACCTCCGGGGGCGAGGGAGTTCTCCATTGCGGTGGCCAAGTCGTCGTCCACAGGCAGCAGGGCGTTCGCACGGGCAGTCACCTGGTGCACATCCTTCTCTTGACGAGCATCGACCTGCTCGATGGTCTCCGACTGCTTCTTGGGGACACCAAGGCGGAACGGGATTGGAGTGTTCATGACGCCTCGAGCTCAGGGCACTAGGTTGCTTGCCCTGCAACGAGTCCAGCAGCGGTACCCAAGAACAAGAATCGGTCGGGCGAGCCATACTCTGACGGTCGCACGATTCCTCCTCACATTCGCATCACACGCTCAACCCTTCTCTCCTCAAGCGCCTCCCGACTGGCAAGTCAAGACAGAAGTACTACAACGCTGCTCGCGGCGTTCCTATGCAATACCGTCTTTCGCGGAACAAGGCCTCGAAGAGCGGTGGAGCGAAGAAGCCACTCTTCGTCGAGGACTTTATCAACGAGGCTGTAAGCGCTCAAGCGGAGGTATGAGCCACAGCAGTGCTTCGTAGTTGAGTTTGACGGAACCCTCCGCTGTGCAGACCGTATTGCCGACGGCGACTTGGGAGATACCAACCATCCACTCTGCGAGCAGGTTAAAGGTGAGGGTTAGGGTGGCGATGGAAACCACGGAGTTGGATGAGCTGATTGCTTTCGCGGTGGTCGTGTCTGGAACACGCAAAGCGGGACGTGATTGATGGGGCTGGCAAGGATCAAAAGTGGACTTGGATACGCAGTATCCGGATCTGAAGATACGAGTGTATCGAGGTTCGTGGAACTACTCGTTGTCTTAATGTGTGCGTTTGTTGGCTATGGCATTTGGCAATTTCCATCGGTACAACATGGGCTTTCAGCTTGGATGCAAAACTGGAAACTTGATGGTTCCCGCTGTCTACTCGTAGCCATTTTGAGATTTTATTATGCGCTGTGGATTGAATGCAATGTGCTTGCGTCAGAGTCACCATGTTGCTGCCGATTGGAGCTGCTCGCTGAATCTGCTTAGGGTTAGGGTTGATGTAGCACGACTGCTTGTTCCCGGAATGCCGCTGACCGGCTGCGATACTAATAAACGGAGTACGAAATGCTTTTGGCCTTCAGGTTGCTTCTCTGTCGGGAGTAAGCTATGTTATTTATGGTCATTGTGGTGATTTGCTGCGTTCTTCCTCGGTGAAGCCGCCTCTTCCGGCTGTTCTGGCTTGAAGTTGCAGGATGCGCTGACCATGTGAAGCCCTCCACACTTTCCGCTGGACGAAGACTTTGCGCAAAACTTCCAGGTTGTCGTAACATCCCGTCTCACCTTAGCACCATCGACAGCGTATCGAGCCCTACGAATACCGACCGTCCGAATCAACGCCAACATCATGACCAGCAGGCTACGGAGCCAAGCGCAAAAGCAATACGGGATTGGAGCGGCAATCCACAAGAAGAGCAGCGTCATACATGGGTCTCGGAGAGGTATACGTCGTCCATGCCAGGTCGTGGGAGATACTTGAAGATGGCACAACAACACAGAGACGTAGGACATACGGCAGCAGACAGCGTGGCAAAGCAGGATTCGTCTTTGATATCTCCTCCGCAGCAAGTTTGCCTCACGCCGGCGAAAGGCAGATGTCGATTGCGATGGTTCTCTCAATGAGATAGAAGCGGATACCCGGGCCTGTGTTTGGCTTCAAGCACCTTGTCCACGGCCTGCCAACCACCCGGGCGATGGCGCTGCGCAAGGCTCATGGTCGAGAGTCCCTTCTCACGGCTGAAGAAGTCCACCGCATTGCACATTGGACAGCTGATTAAGATGTGCAGGCCACTCCTCTTGTCGCACACGAAGCAAGCACTTCATCCAAGGGGATTCAATGGGTGGGTTGAATCGTGGCATATCTACTGATGAGACTTCTTCGCGGCCGCTCTGCCCTTCCATGAATGTACCAGATCCGGAACATCCGAAGATTAGTCTTGCGGATAGCCACGACACCAAGTCTCAGCTGTGGTCGACAAGTAGGTATTCCAGCCGGTGAGATATCATTCGTCAGTTCCCACAGAGCCGAGAAGGTTGGTCACCCGCAGCGATGGACTGTGAAGCCAGGGCCATGTCCAGATCTACGGTCCGGCTTGACTGGATTTCCAACACGCAAAGGACACGTTTGTCAAACTTACCAAAGAGCCATGGTGCTACTCATGAAGGCTAAATTTTTCCCAATCCGCGCTCCACCGTCCTCCTCCAGAACTAGCCATGTAGCTCACCACCAACCGAGCCAGTGCTTTGGCCTGGCAACTCATGCATCTATATTCACTCTTTGCCTTCAAGAGTATATCAGATGTCCTCATGTATACGGCTGGCTCCGTATCGCTAGTAACTCCAGAAAGCCACTTGGCATGAGTGAATATTAAGTTTCTGGCACATGCAAAAGTCAAATTCACTCCGTACCAGATGTGGATTTCGCACTCGACTTTTCGGAGATTAAGTACCTCGTCAACCTTCTTCCTCAGACATCTTCCAACTCGGAACCAACAACGTCATCCACTCTTCCATCATTCACCAACAACACTTCTTCCTTGCTCACAGCAACGACACTTCATCCTTGCTCGCCGCAGCAACACACCGCCTTCCGCCAACGAATCATCGCCAATCAAGCGAGCTCAACACCTCAACACCGCCAAAAAACCAACCGACATTCTCACCAATCGCGCATCATGGCCATGTCGATTGCCAGCATCATCGACGACTTTGAGCGCGCTGCACTCCTGGAGCCGGAGCCGTCGGCCGAGCAGATCGCCAACGGAATCTTCGCAGACATCGCGCACTGCGCATCCAAGGGTGTCACAACACAATCAGCACAGGACCTTTTCGACTTGTGCTTCGCCAGATTTTCCCGGGGTCGACCGGGCATCGATTTTTCCCAGCATGCCTTCTTGAAGCCCTCCATGACATACCTCTTGACGGCAATTGAGCAGCTCGCGCGCCGCGCACTTTTTGAGGGACAACCCAGTCGCCCTGAGGATAACAGATTTGATGTCAGCAACAATGTCTTTGCTGATCGCCTCGACAACTACATTGCCGACTTTGAGTCTCACGGTCGCAATGCGCAGCTCCTCAACTCTGGTCGTACCAACCAGGTGGAGCCCGTCGACTCGCCACGGACGGAGAGTGTGGCAGAGGAAGCTCCCAAGTCCACCGAGAGCGAGGATGACGACGAGCCATCCGAGGACGACAGCGGATCGGACTCGGATGAAGACACAATCCGGACCTTACCGCAATTCTCTCCACCGCCACCAGCACCCACACCGGCCACTCCACCGAAGTACCATTTCGAGTACATCAACTGGAAGGGGGAGACATCGTCCTCTGATTACAGCGAGAGGTATCAGATCGTTCGCAAGGCACGTGCTCCCGTTCGGATGAGCCGGGATGGGGTGACAGTCACGACGCTTGCTGCTCCCGCAACCCGACCAGCTCCGCAGATGGGCAAGTTGGTTGCCAACACGGGTGATCTGGATCGCTCCTCCAAGTTCGCTGACACTATGCCACGAACTACCAAGATGAAGGGTGCTGCCACCGTTCTGGAACTGAGAAACTCCTTCGCTTGCTTGGAAGAGACTGTCGTGGAGAGCCCCGTCGACGAAGCCGAGAGCATCTGCGCTGCCGAAGTCAATGCTGCGCTGGAGGAGCTGTCAGTGGCGAGCGATACCGTCCAGCAAGGCTCGGAAAGGGAGGAAGAAGTTTCCTTTGCGAGCATCTCAGATGACACTGCGGAGTCAGTGCCTGTGACGGAGCTATGCGCGAGTCTTCCGTCAACTTCCGACCGAGATGTCCCGGTCCAAACCTCTCCCGCGCGCATCCCATCCGCTGCGCATCAAGTAATGCCGAATTTCGATATGGTCGAAGTCGCAGACGGAGAGAAGAAGCGCAAGGGTGAGCGAAAGTACCGCTCTTTTGCAAACCTCGGCATCTCCTTCACCGTCTCCTTGAAGAAAACGACGACCAAGCCAACCATCGTCGTACTATTGGACGCTTCGAGCGATGCTGCTGTGAGAGACCTCAGCCAACTCGACATCGCTGGACAGTCTCCGACGGACACCCCAGGCGAATCCGTCCTCATTGTGAGACTTGGGTCACCCATGAAGGAAGCCAAGACTGAGCTGCGAATTGAGTCACTGGCTCACATGATGGAGACGGCAGCGGTTATGAAGGTTTCCGCGAAGAAGATGCCGGTGGTCAATGGGCCGTCGAGCAATGTTTCGGGGCAGTTCTGGATGTGGGTGGTTCTCGTCTGCCTGCTGATGGTCTCTGTCTACATGACATCCTCGATTTTGTGAATGGGTGATCTGGGAAAGAGAATTGGTTGGAGGACTGCGCGGGATCGGGAGTCGGGTAGGGTGTCTATTGCGACACTGAAAATCACTGAATCAGAGCACTGCCTCTGCAAAGGCGTTTGGGTAGACATTAAATTGGATAATTTTAATGCATGGCCGCTTTCCGGCGGCTTCCATAATGTGACTGACACGTATCAACAAGCTTTTTCTCCAGCTTTTCAGAACCTTAACCTGTACCACAGTATGACTTTAAACGTTCCATCGAACTCTGCTTGGGACGTCAACAGGAAAGACGCACAAAAAATAAAGGTAATTCGATCGCTACAAAGAAGCTTCGAAAGCGGACCGCGATCTGTGCTTTGTTCCATTCACAGTCCGAGCCAAGAGCTCCGCAACACAACGCACACCGAACACCCCCATCGCAGCGAACGCAATTCAAACCGCCCCATCCAAAAAGAAAATGTCCACCAACACCACCTCCCCCTCCCCTTCTCCCAAGCGCACCGAGGAGGACTCCCCCATCTGCGCACAATTCTGCTGTTCAGAATTCCACAATTTCATCGAAACCCCTCATCTCAGCACAGACAACGACTCTCTGATAAGTCCTATTCATCCGATTTTATCGGCTTGTTATTGGGAGAATTTGGGATATGTGGAATATAATGCTTTGCGTATGACGCTGAGGTTGGTTTCGAATTTATTGGGTTCGGAGGGGATGGTGGAGTTTGTGGGAACTGCTGTTTGGGGGGGGTTGTGGGTTGATGTTGATCCTGGGAGGGAGGATGAGGGGGAGGAGGGGAGGGGGAAGGGGAAGGCAAAAGGGGTGGTGGAGGCGGTGAGGGATGAGGTGGATGGGGATGAGGTGATGGATGGGGATGAGGTGATGGATGGGGATGAGGTGATGGAGGGACATGATATGATTTTCCAACCTGGGTTTTTTGCCAAGAGATATTATCCTACCACAGTGGAAGCCATCTGGAGGGGTTTGAAGGAAACGGAAGAGACAGTCGACCATTTCTTCTCCCGAGCCGCCCTCTTCCGCCTACCTCCCCGAGACATGAAAACCGCCACTCCAGCCTTACGAACAAAAACCAAAAACCTCCTCTTAGAACTAACCGGTCTCATCCATTTCCGCACAGCAAAACTCTCCACCAAACCAGGAAAAGGCTGGAAAATCAACGGTCGACATAAAACCTGCTCACAACCTCCCTTGTCGGAAGAATTACAAGAAAAATACCCTTGGGCCGGCGGGAAAACTTCGAGGATTTTAATCAACACGACCAATTTGCAGAATTTGGGAAGATGTCTCAAAGGGTTTGAGAAAGGGGATGTTGCAGAGATTGAATTACGCAAAGTAGAATTTGAAATTGCGGTTACGATTGTTCATGAAATCGCTCATGCGATTAATGCTGTTGTTAATGGCCATGTATTAGGGGCAAAAGTGGGATGGAGAGGAAATGTGGTTGTGGAAGCTGGATTTGATTTAATCGAGAGGATTTTCGGGGGGGTTGTGGTGGAGAGTTTTAGGAAGTTTCCTGTTCCTCAGGGTCCACATATGGGGGAGGGAGAAAGGGGGAAGAAGTATCATGTTATGAGTGAGTGGCCTTCGGGGATTACTTATCAAGGGTATCTGGATGAAGGGAAAAGGTTGGGGAAGAGGGGAAGGCTTCCTGTTACGGAGACTGTTACTAGGGTTCCTGATGAGTTTGTTATGAAACTTTTTAGGGAGGGGTTTTGGAAAGAATATGCTCTTAAGGGGAAGAGGAAGGGGGATTTAAGACCCAAGGGCCCGCGGTGGACGATTTTCAGGGAGGTGGTGTGTAAGAAGGAGACGAGACTTTCGGCGCTGGTTAATGATCTTCCGGCTGAGGATGTTAAGAAGTTGTTGGAGATTGTTACGAGGCAGCCGAGAGTTAAGAAGGCTTTGGCGGATTTGGAGGATGATTTGTTTGTGCTTTCTACTTCGAAGGATTTTTGGGCTGAGGATGGGGTGGAGGGGAAAATGGTTTCCGATTCGCCGGATAGGAGGAATAGTCGGACTTTGGATAGAGGGGAGGTTAAGCAGAGGGGGGATGTAAGGGTGAAGAGGGGGAGTGTGGAGGTGGATGATCTGGAGTGTGCTGTGGAAGGGAAGAGAAGGCGGAGTTAGAGCGGAGGGGAAATCGTTAGAGCTGTCAATTTGAGAAATCATCAACAAGGATATCACCCTGAACTGCTGTCTCGGTTAATTCATGTACTGCTCTGCTAGTAGCGAGGAGTCTGGCAAGCCTAAAATTGTCGAGCCTGCAGAGAGCGAGGCTGTAGGATATTGTAGGGATGAATGAGACATTCTCATCCCGATGAATGATCCTCATATCGACAGCTCTGGAGAGGAGGGCAAATTGTAATGGGCGTGATCTAGATTGAGGCGTGTTGATATGGTTTCCTCAAGACAACACTAAGGCTTGGTATTCTCCATTGCAGTCTCGAAGATATTGAGACAATTTGTCCCTCCAGATCGGCGTCCACTCGCCGAGCATCTATCTCCAGCCCAGGAGATGGTAGCATGCTCCCTGACCATCAATAAGAAATCGGAACCATTGGCTACCTCACGCCGTTCTTGGCTCTCGCAAACTTCCCCTCAACCCACTCAATCAGCTCTTCRGGCAGGAAGAGATCGCTCATGTCGCGCATATCCCAGTCCATCCTCTCCACTCCAAACACCGGAAAGTTGAAGAGAACGGCGGACTTGCCGAGATGTTCCTTGGCCTGCGCCCTCACATCTCCCAAGGTGATGCCTTTGTCATTGCGGATTGTCGTGAAGTCACTGTGGATCTTGATCCCCGACTGATGGATTATTTGATGATCCCTGTAGTGGCCATCACGGGGATCGTCACCTATTGGAATGAAAGACATGAAATGCAACTCGGTGGAAGGTGGCTGGGTGATTTGCATGTCCAAGCAGGTGGCCTTGGGGTCGATGTCCTTGCGCCAGGTCTCAGGGCGAAGCCAGATTCGGTCTTGGTAGGTAACTTTCCGCATCGGAGTCGCCTTGTCGTAGAGCTGCCGGTCGATGAGGGTTGCGCGGGTAGCGATGGCGGTGTTGAAGATTTTGATGGCGTAGGTTTCATAGTCGGCATATTGTTTTCTCGGCCGTGRGTCGGGGTTCGAGGACGGTCTCAGTCCAGTGGAATTTCCCCATGTCCACCATTTGCGCTCCTGGATGGCTTTGTTGGGGCCGCGCTTGAAGCGAATCGCGTCTTGCAGGGAGGAGGAGTTGGCAACGATGTCGCGGAGAGAACGGCAAGTGTTGGAAGCGTTGAGTAGGTCGAGCACTGGCAGATGCAGCATTACCATCTCGCTGATCTCCACTGGCAAGTTGTCGAGGTGGGTGAGAATAGCGTCGGGCGTTGCGTCGGTTGAGGCGGTGGCGGTAGCCATGGAGGTGGCGCGCGCTGCCATGGCGTTGATATGTCCGACTGTCGAGGAAAGATGTGGAAGTTGGAACGGTAAGAAGTGTGGTGTTGAAGTCGGGTCGGAAGCGGTAGGACTCGGATGAAGGGTCCTGCCGCACTGGAGTCTCTTCAACATCCCCGCGGCGCCGGTCCGACTTTGGAAGCCGAGGAACACTCTGCACCTACTCCATGACCAGCATAACTATGCGGTCGATAACAAGAGCTACGCGTCGCCAAGAGCTACACCGGAAAGCTCATGCCCATGGTGTTGATCGAGTATGGGAAACCGGCCGACTCTATCATGATGAAACCATGTATGAAGCCCTTAATCCTCCAAACACAGGCGATTTCGTCCTGGTGTTGCAGCCACAGCCACAGCTCTTCCAATTCAGATAGGATGCCGGTGGTGTCCTCTTGTGATGCCAGGGGGCCTTTACTAGAGACTGCCCTCGCCGCGGAGGAAACCCGCGTAGCACTGCAATCTACCAGAGCAGCTATTGTGAACAGTAGCAGAGAACTACCGATTTGCAATGACACGATCATGAACTTCCCAGGGCCGTACAGCTCCACCCACCGACAGTCCTCCACGTTCTAAGCTCGAGGGATACACTGGTTCGATGCAATATTTATCCCGGCCTTCTCTTATTTGCGACGAGCTCTGGCACCAGTCCTAGCCTCTCGTCGGAGGTTGCCAGGAATATTATAGATGAATGGTGTAGGGTGAATGTCTGCTAACGACCGAACAGAAAGTGTACCACGAAATGAAGGATACCACGAAGTGACCTCCTAATCGGATCATGGTTCTCAGGCCAGTACTCTCAGCGCTGCGAGAGCTTAGAGCATCGTATAGGTCACGCTAGTCGTTTGAAAAGCATTTTCGCCGCTCGATCACGGTTTGGACTAGCACACCAACCTTGTGGCCGGCTGGATCAGAATACGGCGAATCACGGGCTTGATCAACAGCAAAACCTGAGAAGCAAGCTCTTCCACGACGTCGCTTTACACGAGATGCGCGCCGGATCCGTTCTGCAGGCTTGCTCGAATTCCCTCGGACTTCTTCTCATCAGAAAGGTGCCTGGATCCGAGGACTAGAAGGCATGATGGCTTTGCTTCAAAGCCTTCGCTCCGCAGCCGAAGAAACCTTGATTACGACAATATAGCCCTCGGGAATATCACACCTCTGTCATCCTCTTGGTCAGGGTATCTAAGTCTTTGTRAGGGCGATCAATCGAAAGGGTCGACTTCAAGGACTGGGAGTAGTACCCTTGAAGTATTGTGGTGAAGTGGATGTATACTCTTCTTCGACCGTGATGAAGACTTATACTGGCCCTTATAACACCCTCTCCACTGGAAGCAAGAAGGACATTGGAACATTTAGCCGAAGGTGCAGAGAGGATGTAGAGTACATCATCCGGGGGGATCAGTGATTGTGAATATAGAGCGAGGAATTGCAACTAGCAAGACGGAAGCATGGTAGTTCACCAAAGTCGCGAGACCACTGTGACAGACGTACTGGGTGTTGGCCTAATAAAGGGATTTGAATGGGATGTGAGAACGGGTGAGAGGCAATTGCAAACATGGAGCACCAACAGCTTTTGYTGCGGAACAACGCTTAACGGAATTTGAAAACAGCCTAGAGGACAAGGGACACCGTTGACGTTTATCCGGCAAAAAGAGCGATGTTCACAAGCTGTCAGAATTATATCGAGTGACTGGGGATCTCTGCAGCTGGTCGTTCAACCCTCTTTCTCCTCGACCTCCGGCGAAAAAGCAAGAGGCGGTGCTAAGCAGGTGAGGATGAACGGGGATGATTTGATTGGAGTGGTCTCGTCTTTGCAACATGGATATGGTCCATCCACAATAACCTGCGACTTACGGTCGATTGTCAGTGATAGTAGCAGTTTTGGAGATTCAGTGGGGACGGAAACAGAAGCGATGGTCGTGGTTATGCTCTTAATGCATGCAAACTTCGTAATATATGGGATCACAAATGTTCATGTAGAGTCTTTGAGTGTGAAGTAACTGATTCATTTTTTCCAGCTCGAGAAGTCTTTGTGGACCGAACACAAAAGGACGAGACTGCCATTCTGAATAGTGCTCAGCAAGGAATCGCCCACTGCCCACCATACCCTCACCTTGCTGACTGGAATGTCTTCCGACAGCCGCTACATCTGAAAACCCATCACTTCTTCTCAACAGCATCAAAAATCTCAATAAAAGTACTCGCCCCAATATCCGTCTCAATCCGCAGCACACCCGGCTTCTTAAGATTCGCCTCGAGATGCTCAACCACATCCCGTACCGTGAGCCCTTCACCATCATTGTAAATGACATCCCCACTCGAGAACTTAGCCACGCGAATCTCAATCCCGCCATTGTCGTACACAGTCGTCTGTAGGGAAGTCAAATGCACCATTCTGATCGAAGGCTTCGTGATGAGATCGTCGAGACGCGATTTCAATTCCTTGGAGCCCTCAATGTCGGTGGGAGAGGTCTTGAAGTAGAGAATCAGGGTCGAGGGGTTGTCGGTTGTGTTGCGGGTACGGCTGTGGTCGAAGAGGGAGGGGTGGAGGCGGAAGCTGCGCGAGGCGCGCGGCTGAGGGACGTCGTTGTTTTCGTCCTCGTTATCCTCCATCTCAATGTCCTCGCCAGCATCATCTGTAGCCTCGAAGCCTGTAGAATTATCTTCGAGCGCCACGTCTCTCATGTCTTCAATCATATCACGGTCCGCCATTGGAGCGTGGCTGAGTCTCAAGTCCGTGGAAGCACGACGCTGACGTTGACGCCAATGCGGATTGCCCGCTGCTTTATACGCAACTTCTGGATCGATTGCCTCTACTTCTGGCTCTTCAATGGTGCTCTCTTGTTCTCTTTTTCTCTTCGGTGCTGTTGGATTCTGGAAGCCATTAGCATTGGCGTATTTGGGCGCGGGATAATTTGAGGCGCCACGCATACCTTGGGTGACATCCCAGCCGCTCCGGGTCTGTTGTCTGGTAGCATTGTGCGGTTCGTCGAAACAACCACTTGTTTCGAGCCGTAGGATTGTGTTGAAATATCTAGCACGAAGAAGATGTTTGGCCGGGAATGCAGGCGAGGATCGCCATTCGGAAGGAAGACAAGCGCAGATCATTTGAGTTTGCGCTAGTGGGATCATCCGACCGCACCTGGCTCGGGATGGGAGGTCGGGATACCGAAACTTCACGACAACTACATCGAACTAAGACGAGAGTGACTACAGTCGTTGTGCCGATTCATGCGCAGTGAATTCTACAAGTGAATCGAATCGCATACGTCGCATCCGTTTCTTTGATCCCAAGGCCTTAGTAGTGTGCCCGCGGGATAAGCAGGAAGTGGAAACATTGTTTGATGCTGGAGTAGACTGAATGTGCCTGGAATCCTCCACGGCAAGAAAGCAAAGAGCAAACATTCAATGACGGGTCCTATATATACCTGTTGGGCGAGCCCCATCATTACACTCTTCATCATACTGGCCACATCAGAAGCACTCGTCCAAAGATCTTACCCTCGTTTATTCACCTTTCTACGAAGGTTACACAGACGTGTTTCATGTGTGGGGTCCTGGAGATCCGAGCGTCAAACTTTTCGTTCTATAAAATCCACAGCTTTCTTCCCACTTGTACCTTCCATCAACACCAGCAAGCTCATCGAAACTCGACCTCTTCCGCAACTGGTAGGTAACACAATACCTCCGCGGGCTATCTCTCCTCACYGACATACCATCTCTAGCACACTGCTCTTGCTCTCGCTCCCGACATTTTTCACCCGCGCACACTAGATCAATACACGAATACAAATCGTGAGTGCGCCTCGCCATCTCTCACCTTACTACAGCATACTGACCCACCATCGCAGAACATATACGCTTCAAGATGTCAACCTCAGCAGAGATTGTCAACGGCATCGTCACACTCTCCAGCGGACCGAGTGGCAAGGCGGCAAGCCTCGTCAAGCTGAAGATCGCATGCGACATCGACAACGCCGCGAGTTACGGCGTCCCCACCGCCATCTTCGCCAACGACGCCAGAAGTATTCCGACTGTATTCCCGAACGTCCTGCGCCTTGAAGTCCAGCTAGACTTCAAGCACGACAACACTTCAGCGAGTTCGGTGGACGTGAGGGACTTTGGAAATTGGATCGGCGAAATGGTCAAGCTCGCCAAGGGACTGAAATTCAGCTTCCCGTGCGAGATCTATGTTGCAGTCACAGATGCCACGCATCTGTACCAAGACTCGAACGACAATCTCGTCGCGGTTGGTGAGGAAGCTGATCGTAGCGATCAGCCGGTGGTTGTCATTTTGGGGAATCGCGGGAGGTTGGTGCAGGTTGGACAGACTAGCTAGTGTATACTTCCAGTGATATGCACGCAATCATGGACTGCTTTTGTTCTATCGATCTAAGTACAAGAAAACACGTCTTCATTTCCACTCGCTCATCTACAAACACTCACACAGCCTCCCTCACTCCCTAACCCATCATTCCTCAAACTCCTCCAGATCGTCCAAAACCAGCGTTCCCTTAATCTCCACATACGTATTCGACCCCATAACCGTCTCAACATTCACCACAGCATCCTCCGACTCGAAATTCCCCAGCAAATGAGAAACATCCCGAACCGTAATCCCATCTCCAAGCGAAACAATAGTTTCCCGACGTAAAATCTGCCTCTCCTGACGTCCTGCAGCGGTATCGAAAGTAATGGTCTGAATGCAAGTCACTCGAACCTTCTTGACCGGACCATCGGTGATGTAAGCTGAATTGTTCCCGTGACACGTCTAGCGTGTTCGCGATCGGTGGGCACGATTGCCAGGTAAGCGACGATTCCACCTGGATAGCTTGAGGATTTCAGGACGCTGAAGATATCTGGGTTGAGGCGAATTGCTTGGTTATCCTCGTCGGAGTCTTCCGCAGTGTCGTCCCCGTCTTCTCCGCCGTCTTCTTCGTCTTCCTCGTTCTCATTACTCTCATCGCCGGCAGCAACGCCAATATCCTTATAGAATGAATGAACGACACGGTACTCCTTCGTGGAAGCGGGGAGAGCAGCGGGATTCTCAAAAGAGATGGTCTGCTTGTTGCCAACAGTAGGGCGCTGCACAACATCATCCATCAAACGATCACCTCGCGCGCGATTGCTGCCCTCCCCAGTCATGCTGCGAAAGCCAGGCGTAGGCGCGACTAGCTTGCCTTTCTTCTTGCTTGCCGCAGAGGTCGCGGGTGGGCTTTGCGCGGTCTACCTCCTGTCAGCCATGAATCGCTCGACATGGTCTTCTAAAACTTACGTCTTCAGGAGGTGGCGCTTTGCCATCTGGTCTGGCTCTTGTGATTCTGCCCATTGCTGCTGGTGCGTTGATGGGCTCGATTGTTATGGGATGGGCTGGAGAGTCGCGACGGGAACGCTCGAGGCGGGAGGTTTGGAATTTGTCGCACAGACACGCCCGGGAGATCGCGTTTTGACGCGACGGCTGCGGCGCAGAACGGGTTGATTCTAGGTTTTAGAGTTTGGCGGGCCGTGTTTCCGAAGTTTGTCCGGTAAGTGAATCGAACGCGAAGACGGCTAGATGGACTTCTCTGCAGACAGTTCTTCGCCAGTCGTCTATCGTTCCATGAATGTATATTTTCAGCACTTATGTGGTCTTCATCGCTCTCGATGCTCAATTTCATCATGGTGCGAGTTACATGGAGTTTCCCAGCAATTCCATCCTAGACCATTCTACGCGGCCGTCTCAGAGACGAGTACTAGAAGGCGGGATCTGGGAATGAAGTGATTGTGGACACTACAACTGAACCTTGCATCGAAGTAGGCGATTCATCTTTCTCAAGGCCTACGTTCCTCTATATCTACCTAATCTCACAAACCCTKACAAGCATTCCCCGCGCGAATATCCGGCAACCCAATCCTAACTCTCCCCTCAACATCCTCCCCAAGCACCTTCTCCCAAAAAACACTATTAATCCCCTTCCTAACAACCAACTGCTTCTCAGCCTCCGACAAAGCCACCCTAGGCAACCAAAAACTCCACCGAGAATCCCGACAAGTACACCTCTTCTTCAAAGGCATACGATTCTGCGCCCAAACACAAGCAGCTCTATGATAAGAATCTATAGTAGCATAATTCAAAACTCCCTGCGATAATTCCAATAAAGCGGCTGCGCGTTGAGGTATAGCTTCCGGACTTCCAATGCCGTATTTCCCGGAATCATAGGTTACGGCTGCAGCTTCTGTGGTTTGGAATGCGCCGATGTTGAGGGAGAACTCTTGGAGTAAGGTCATGCGTTCTGAGAGGATGGAGGCTAGGATGCTGAGTTTGTAGTCTGTCCATAAGAGAACGATGAATTCTTTTTGTAGCGTCTCCATTCGCTTTTGCACGGAGGGAGGAGGTGTGGAGAAGACGTTCCAGAATTGTCTTTCATTGGCGGATTCCATTTCGWTGGCTTTGAGCTTTTTCATGTCTACGTCGATGGATTGGTATGCAACGCGGATGTGCTGTTCGGCTTTTCTRATATCTTCCCGGACCGGCGCAATATCCTGGCTCAGACTTTCGGCCCAGGCTTGCACTTTTCTGGTTTGTATGGTGACTTTTGCCAGGAGATCTCGAGGCGTACGCGAAGTGGAGATACTCGCTAGACTGGCGCTTGCATCGGATATGACTTTTGAGTGGTCCACCGGCTTCAGCTTGGAGACTTGGATGGCTGTTTTGTTGATGGAATGCAAGACTTCATATACGCGGGGCTTGGATGATTTAATCTCAAAAGGCGTCGTCCAAATCGAACCAGGATTGTATTCAGGCTGGCTCTGAATCAAATCTTGCAAGTTCCCACTGGATGGGAAGCCATTCAGGCCCTGTTCACCAAAGACAGACTGGTATTGAGTTGGCACCCATCCTGACGTGATGGGGTATCCTGAAAGGCTGTTGTGGATTTCGCAGGGCTTCGTTGGTGCGGAGGTGATGAAGGATAAGAGGTAAACAGCTATTAGACCAGCGGCTATCGTTCCTAAGAAGTACGGCGTGTTGGTCAGAAAGCTCTCCAGTGGTGTTTCTGTGTCGTCTGGACGCTCTACCAATRGCTGACCGTACGATCGTCTCCGATGGGGTCGTCGAACGCGAATCGGTGGGAGCTCATCTATCTCCTCGTAGAACTCATCAAGATAGCGTGTCATGTTGGCGTATTGGAGACTGGAGATAATCTACTTGCTACTTGGAAGAGTGTCGAGATCCCAGGTCAGTTTGATACAGCTTCTTTTCCTTTGTTTCGTTTTTTGCCGCATGCAGAACGGGGAAAGATTACTGTCTTTGTCACTCAAGGCATGCAATCCGCCGCATTGGGAGAAAGGTCGGAAAGCTTTCGATACCTGTAGTATGTCCATAATTGGCAGAGTGGCTTGTGGGAGTAGCGTGCGCTTCGTTGTGACAAATACGGGGAGTGACGAGAAGTTTTGCTTCAATTAAATCCATCGTTGGGGCAGAAGTTGATGTACAGTTCCTACCGTACATCAGCATCAGCTTTTGGAAGATGAGAAAACCCTCGTAGGAACAGCTCAGCTCTTTCCACGCCATTCGACTCTCATTTTACCAGAATTCCTGTCATCTGTAGAGCCCTCAGCAATCAAAGCAGATTTATTCCACAATCAAAATTCCACCCCGTAAATCCTCAATCCCGAAAGCTCGAAATCCACCACGATTTGAAATGCCTTTCCAAATTGCGTCTCAGCGGCCTTGGCCTGTGCCTGAAACATCTCATCAATCATCCCCCACGTCACACCCACTCCGTTCTCCTTCCTCAACTCCTTGATCGCATGAACTTGCTTCACAGGCATCCCCCAATCTTTCAATGGTTGGAGGGACAAGGTAGCCCAGATCTCTACCGTAGTGACCGGCGGCTGAGTGATGTACATATTCTTGTACCGATTCGGCGCGTGGGCGTGATGGAGAGGCGAATGCTTCAATCTCAGCATCATTGAGGTAGATTCGCCCCGCTTGAATAGCAGCTGATTGTAGGTGATGGGTATGGCGGGTGGGAGAGGCCTCTGTCCTCTTCGGCGTCCGAAGGAGGCCCCGTTGATTTTGTAGGGGAACATGCGCATTGTGTGAGTGAATGTATTCATTCCAAAGAAGTCGGTGTTGAGGGTGGAGCGTACGGGGAGGAAGAATAGGGCCCTTTTGAGGGCTTTCGATGGGTTCATGATGGTGCTGTAGGTTGTTTTCGACACGCGGCGGCAGGTGATGATGGAATCTGGCGGCAGAAGCACCAGGATCATCTCGAGAAGTTCGGGCGTGCCGAATACCGCTTCGGTGGCGCTCTCTGAGCGGGAGATGGTCGCCATGGTGTGAGGATGAATGGAAGAAGGGAGGTGGCGGTGGACGTAGGAGACAGGGAGGATGAAGCAGTTTCCAAGTTGATAAATTACAAGTGGGAATCTCCGGGTATCCCGGGCCGAGTGGACCGACCAGCATGTGCTCAAGAACATAACCTTACTTATGTACATCCAGAAGTCGGTAGGGAAATGTTTCCTTGCTTGTCTATCCCCTGAGATCCGTCGATGGGCTCTTTCCCCACAGAGCATATGGAAGATGAGATTGAACCCACGGTATGGAATGGCAACCTCTATCTCACGACAACAATTGTACCGATATTAACGTATGACTACAATTACAGCCCGAGGCCGATMCGGAGAGGAAACGAGCGGCTCCATGTCCTTCATCGCTTTCGAGGGGGATGATAAGAGAAGAGAAGGAGACCACTCGCTGCGGCGGAAGCAGGTGAGGGTGCAGCCCGAGTTCCTACAATTGGAAGGAGTACCATCTAACAGTCGCCTTCACCAAGCCCCCTCTTCCGAGATATCATCCCACGATTCGCACATTGTTCACGCCATCCGTCGAATCTAAATGCCACCTCCTCCGCGGCATGCAGCTTTCCCGCGCTCGATGACTACAGTACGAGTGGGCACATCTTGCTGCAACAATACTTCATGCCCATTGCTCCACCATCGAGCGTCTTCGGCACCATCCAGGACATGGATGCCATTTTGCGGAACATACCACACAAAAACCTCATTCGCGCGCGATACGTAGAGTCAACCAGGCATTTGCAACACCGTCGATRGACCATCCCGGACCAGCATGCCTTCAGCACGAGCAAGAAGGACAAGAATGTCCTGGCCATGTTATGCTTCACCACAGTCTTCAGGTACACGATGCAACAAACCCGCGAGTCACGCTTCTCTCTGTTCTCTTCGCTGATCGTTATCATGAACAAATACTTCATAACGGAGCTCAGTAGACAACGTATCATACACCATCTAATGCAGGTKCTCGAGCCTCACGTCGRCAAAGACGTCGGAGACTTTGATATGTTTCGTTTCGCGAATGGAGTGATAATACCACTACCTCGTGGTCAGGGACTACTCTTTCCAGAGCCTTCGATAAATCACTTATCCATGCTTTGGACCACGCGGCCAGGAAAGTAGGCTCCAGGAGGCGAAGCGAGATAGGAGCGTAGCTGCTCGACATGTGAAGATCAAGATGAAGAAGAGGAATGAAATGGATCTTGAGCAAGAGTAGATGAAAGCCTGGTTGAGAGAGGAAGCGTTGCGGCTGCGGATCCAAAGGACGCTGATGTGGTGCTGGTGATGCCATCGATATGGGCGGATATCTGTGCGCATGAAGATGATGTAATGGGGTGAAAGATGACGGAGAATGAGGATAAGAACCTTTGGTATGGACATAATAGTGCGCTATTCTCTGGAGAGCAAAAGACCAGCAACATCTTCGACATGAAAATACTGCTTCTCAAGGATGATGAGCAAATTGTCCAAGGACGTACCTCGATTATGCAGGTAATGCTCGTGTGATTCTCATCACGAAACTGATTCCAATCATGAGGGACGATTGAATCCCGGGAACGGCAGCGTACCCAATGTTGGGATTCGGTTTGGTATTCTGGGCCCAGTCACGCGAGATATGGCACTACGATGGGTAGTGGACGCATGGAGAAGACATCGGACGGATCGCTGTCTTATTCAGAGCATATACTTTCATGCTATGAATCATGCTCAGCCACGCTCCTAACCATTCAGTGCAGATTCGAGTTTAGCTCCGCAACTCATCGAGMAGAGATGTAACAGCGCGCCAGTCGCATGTGATATCTACATGCTGGCGTTTGGAAAGGACCGCACGAGCTTCGTGTTCGACAGACCGGGGGAAGACGCTGTCGAATTCTCCATTGTTCCGAACTCTCGTTGTACCAAGACTCTATACAAAGCATCTCTTGAACTGGCATACGCTGATCGAATGGCCAAGCCGATCGAGCATCAATTTCAAACGAGAGCGATCAGTCGAACTGCAGAGGAGGAAACGAATGGCGATCTTACTCGCTCCAAGTTCCCGCTGGTATTCACGGCCTGGGAACCCATTCCTCAATATGTTGGTCTTGGAAAGATCGGCTTTGCACGGTGCGATGAACGAGCAGTATCTCATGAGCGGCAACCACTACATTTGCAATCTTTTCCGCTTATATGTCGTTCGTTGCTTGGAGAGTCTGGCGACAAGTGAGCTTACCTAGTCTGAGAGGATTCGATGAATCATCTACATAGGAGCCAGTTGGCTATGTCTCGGTGCAGTATGTCTGCAACAGCTCGGATTCTTACGGGAATCGTGAACTACGACAGCAAGGCCGCCGGGATACCCTCACAGCTCAAGTCTTTGAAAAAAATGATCGCGGTCTCAAGGCTTCTCATACACGATCCTGGCTGCTGACAGCTTTAGGAAAGTAGGCGAATATTTATCTAGGGATACGAAGGTTTGGAGAGTGGCCTTTCGCGGATATCGAGGGGCCGGCTTCTGAGCAGCCTTGAGAAATTAGCGAGGAACGATGTAGAAAGGGTGCAAGGTAAACTAGGAAAGGATATATGGGAATCTATAAGTCGCGATGACAGTAGTGACYAACTCCAAGTGTACAGTCTTCTGCTGCTGCTATCTCCCTGTATGACTTGTCACAATGGCAAGGAGAACTCATCTGACACTTTGACCTGGCTAATTTATCTCTGGATTCGGTCCCATGGCTTTGATCTCCAGCTGGGAGCATTTCTCTTCTGCTTTGCCGCCTGTAGTCAGCAAGGCTTCGGGGGCTTTCTAACGCTCTGGAATGACTTGGTAGAGCCGATCCTTTAGAATGCGACGTTTTTGAATGCTGAAGGTTCCTTCAGCAGTCTTGCTCACCGTCGGTGACCTGATAATCGTATGTTTAAAACAGGACGTCTTCCATAAGAATCTTCTGTGATTTATCCATGAGCAGGCGTACATGTTGGCTACAAGATACGCTTCTGGTCGAATTGGCTCGGTTACGAGAAGCGAAGACAAAGTGTAGTAGGYGTGCTGTTTGCGTGCCTACATGGTGTGAAACATGATTGTCTTCCCTGTAGACTTTGGTCTTTGCTTCTGGCAAACCGTGGACCGGTCTCTATCGGCGTAATTCCAGTTCAGTGGGCTTGTTGGCCAGAATTGAACTGGATCTGCACCCCGTACCAATCCATCCACTGTAATATCCAACGATTCTAATGGAGATCCAGTCCGAATATAAGAGTCCAACTATCAGCCAGTAAGAGGGATGCCCTTCTGAAAGTTGAGGAAGATGCCTCTAGAAGCGGGTGAAACCCTATCATTCGAAGTGTCCTCCCATCATCTAGTGAGCTTTCAGCACTATATGACTTGAAACGGATCGGGTCCAGGTGTTCATCTAGCCGTTGTACTAACCAAAAGTCACCCCATCGAACGAGCGCCAGACCCCATCAGTGTTAACAAGGCTCCAAGCCAACAAGCTCGCTGCCCCCTTCCGATGGGGGTGATTTTGTCAACACCAATCCGAACTAACGACCATAGCATGGAAGGTCTCGACCTTCTGGTATGGCTTTATGACATCCGACTTCTTCTTCTTCTACCCGCTGTCCGCGTGGCTCGATGAGCATCTTTGTCTTTCATTGAATGCAACCAAGATCAGATTGCCGTGAAATCGGCGGCCGACTGGATTGAGTATCTGGTGGAATGGTATTGCGGTGTTTCCGGTCTGCGGGGGCCTCTCCAAYTATAAACATGTATACCTTGGTACGTGAACGGTCTCCGGAAGACTCGCGATGGGGCCACAGTGCGAGAGTCATGACTCATGACCACTCGTCAGGCGATCACGTCACTGTCGGAAACGGGCTCAGCCGTGGTCACGAACTGTCGCTGGCCACCCTTGCGGCCCGCTCAGCCCTGCAGTTCCGTCGATTACAACAAACTCGACATCGATTTTCCCGCTTTTCACTTACACCTCCCTCATTGGCAACCATGTCTGCCACCCCGCGGACCTTCGGAACGCTGGAGCTACTCCAGGACATCCTGCAGCATCTCCCACCACCAGCCATCGTCCGCTGTCGCCAAGTCTCCAACGCCTGGAAGGCTGCGGTCGACGTGCCCTCGCCAGGAATGAAAGTCGCCCTTTCGCTCATGTCCAACAAGGGGGTCATCGACACCTTCGGCAGGCAACGTGTGGCGGAGATATTAAGCGAGGGCTCTGTCAAATTCACCGTCGAAATGAAGCCAGTCATCCCCTTCACTGGGAGCGAACCTCTTCAAATGATCTTCCACCGGAACTCGTTCGGCCTCAAAGATCTTCGCCGCGAGATGCTCATCACTGATCCACCCATCAACTGCATCAAAGTGTATCAGCATGACAAACAAAGCTATCCCAAGAGTGAACCCTTGCAGTTCTGGGTCTCTGAATATCAGCGCCCAGCTCAAAGAGGCGAGGTGGTCGAAAAAGACGGAGTCAAAGTGAAGCACATCCTCAAGTACTTCGAGGTCGAGAATGCTAGGAAGGACTTGTGGGGGCGTGCGATCGTTGGTCTATGGTGACCGAGCGGCCGGGAATAAATTCAAGGCATGATCAGTCAAGTGAGTTGTTCTCACAAACGTCCGCGCGCTCCCACCGGCTAACCTGTGGATTTTTAGCGAGCGGAAAACACAACTCAGTCATCGAGCATCTGTCGAAGAGTTTCCGCCTCTCCTCGGCAAATCACACTGGATTGTACGAAAAATGTATCGGTGGAAAGACTGTTCATGTTCTTGATAGTGGGAGCAGAAGGTGCAGGAGATTGCCAGATATTGTGCTCTATGAATGGTAGAACCTCAGTTAATACCTTCAACTAGACACGAACATGTAGCTAGCACGACATAACAGCATCAAGACCCTCTCACTCCTCCATACGATCATCATCCTCCTCTTCATCATAAATCTCATCATCCCCATCATCAAATTGATGTCGCCCCTCAAAAGCATTCCTAGACCTCTGCCTCCACCCCAAAATCCACTCAGGAACAACAGCATCATCAGGAACAACCGAATCATCCACCAAAATCCTCGACCTATCCACATCAACTTCCCTAACAGCCCCTATCGGCATAACCCACCGATCAGCAAACCTCATACACCTCTTCACAAGATTCCCAACTCTCACACCCCTGGCATTAGAAATTTCAAATTCCGATTTCGCTTCTTGAACCCACTCCCGATTCCCTCTCGGATCAAAACTAGCCCATTCAACCACAATCCGAAACGTCACACTCGTGCTAGGAGGTTGTGTAATATACGAAGTATACAACGCATGATCCTCCTCCATCAGTAAAGGATCATACAGGAAAAAAAGCGGTAGTTCCCATGTCCCAGTATCTCCCAACTGAAAAACAGCATCGTTATAAAATCTCGGAGTCTCTGGGACAGCGAAGAGTTCGGGTACTGGAGGGATTTCAACATCTCTGAGGTCTGGTTTGCGATATAATGCTTTTTTGAAATTTCGCGCTTCAATGGCTGTTCTCCATGAACCATTTACTCGTTTTAACTCGTAGATGTTTGCGGGGGAAAGGTATTTGAGGATCATGTCTCGAAGTTCAAGAGTGTTGATGACTTGGTTGCAACCCTCTATTTCGTCTAGGATTATTGGAAGGGGTGGCTCGTAGTCGTCTCCGTGGCGGATTGGGTCGGGATCGTTGATCATCTGATTCCAGACGTCTGGCATTTCATCATCATCGCTGTACTGGGCTTCTGGGTCTGCTTCGGATTCTTGTTCTTCGTCGGGGATGAATGGGGTGTTGAAGATGCATGGGTGGCCGCAGGTCGCTGGCTTGCAGAGCCAGTATGTGCAGCCTCCTGGAGATGAGGACATTGAGAGGATTCGTGAGGTGATAGGTTGAATGATAGCTGTACTTGAGGTAGTGGCTGTTTTAAATGTATTGCACGAAGATCATTGCTCGTGCAACTATCTTTGATGGGCAGTGATGGTTGACGAGGAGGTCGATACGCCGGATGCGGCTAAGATCCTGGAAGGCGAACTAATACCAACTCTTTGTTCTGGATCTTGAGCACTCTGATACGATTTGAGGTCTGCAACGGATCCATCAATCGACGGAGAGAACTTCAATGATTGCTGCCATGAGGATTGAGGTTGACTTGCTTCATTGATACTATATACCTCAACCCAATCTCTACCAATCCTGATCCATATCATAGTCTTCATCCGCCTTCAAAGCCCCCACCGCCTCTCCACCAACATCATCCACAGTCTCCTCGATCAAATCTTTCCCTCCAACCTCTCCAGCACCATCCTCTTCCTCTTTCCCATGCAAACTCTCCTTCAACTCCCTCACCCACCTAGGCGCAGGCACAGGCAGTATAAACTTAAACGCACAATCCAAAAGCACCAAAGACCCCTCCATATCCACCCTCGTAAAATTCGGATCAAACGTCCTCCCAGGATTCGCTTCCCAAAGCTGCTGTCTAACAGTCCTGAACCTCGCAACAACATCCTTCCACGTCACACCTCCAGACACCGAAATCTCCAACGCATCATGARAGTTCTCCCTCTTTTCCTTTCCTTCATATAGAAAAGTTCCAGGACTAAACATCTCTACCCGAATATAAACTTTCTCCACTGGAGGTTGTGTGATGACCATCTTCAACATGAAATCATCATGTCGGACTTGTAAGGGATCGTGTCGAAGGAGAAGTTGTATGGCATCTGGATACTCGCGTTTCTCATAGAAAATTAAAWCGTTGTATTTTCTCGCCACGCAGGTTTTCCATTCCCATCGCTCTCCTCGAGTTTCATCGGGGGCGAGTTTTGTAGTATCTGCTTCTAGAAACCTCACTTGTTTGAATTTCGAAAGGGAGAAGAAGCCGGCCCAGTCATCGTTGTTATTGATGCAAGCTTGGATATCTCTAGGAGTTAGATGCTGTAGAATCGTCTCCGTGAGTCCTCTGAGCGGTATGAGGGGCAGGGAAGGAGCCGGTGTATGGTTATCATCGGGCGATGAGCTTCCTTGTCTCATTACTTTAGCGGTTTTACGGATTGAAAGGGATGCTTTGCAGCATTTGTGAATACAGGTTTGCTTGTTGCAGGATTGGTGGCCTATGCATCTGGGTATTAGAGGAGCAGCGGGTGCATAGTTGTCATCGGGTGATGAGCTTTTTTGTCGGATTTCTTGGGCGGTTTTACGGATTGGGAGGGATGCTTTGCAGCATGCGTGGCTGCAGGTTTGCTTGTTGCAGGATTGGTGGCCTATGCATCTTGGTGCTGGAGGGTTGTAAGGGGTTTTGGTGGAGTTTCTGGGACGCTGGAGGCGCTTCGTGGACCTGGCCATTTTGAGATGAAGGGTGGATTAGAGGRTAAAATAGTGATCTGTATGGCTTCTAGGTAATGCTGTTGATGAGAGCTCTCAGCAAGAATCGGACGTCTATGATGTCTCGCACACGATCGAGCGGATTGCAATAAGAGAGGCGACCATAACGGGGAGTGCGGCGAAGTACCAAGGTTGCGTACACACCGCATTCGGAACCAGCATTGTATCAGCCCATTTCCGGCGTTCGAGACATTCCTCAAAGAGTTTTGCCGGTCTGACACTGGGCATCCTTTGTTGATGAGTTGTCATAAAGAACTGCTTTGATGGGCCATGCTTCTCAATCCGTGGGCGGTATTGCGTCGACACTCACTGACATTCATGTCTCGTAAACAGGTGCTTTGGAACAGCGCGACGGGAAGATAGACTGGTATCTGGAAAATACTGCTCTTATTTTTTACACCCACGTTTCCGGTCCAGAATTTGATCCGTGTGCGGCTCCAGTGCATGCGATATTCCTCGAAAGCATCTTCAGAACAGTAAGAATCCGTCTGCGTTCCATGATGGCCAGGAGACTTCCAGTCCTGAACCACCGTACGCAATTCGTCCACAATCATTCTTGATCTTTGGAACGACATCCGCAGTCATGTTCCGGGCGACATACAGCTCGATGGTAAGCATAGTGTCTGCGATTGGACGTCAAGTCATTGGGTATGAGAGACGTAGGTTGTTGTCGCCGGCTAAAAAGACATTAGCTTCGAAGCAAAGCGTTTTGTCGACGGGGCTTTGCACCGAGCGACGGTTCTTTGGAATAGCACGACGTCGGTTAGACTGATCTTTGACTCGAGGAACGGAAAGTTTCCCTTGGATGATTCGACCCCAGGTCATCTTGATTGTGGTTATTCTTGCAAGGCTTGTTGGTATTTAAGATTCTAGCATCATTTCTTCGATCTGAGCCACTTTGGGACTTGGGCCCCTCGTCCTTGCGGTTCTGGTTTTGGCGCGGCCAGGGATGGCACAGAAGGTGCACCCACAACTTGGAGCAGCGAGCTTCGGCTGAGGCTCGATATTCTGTGCCAATCCTGCGTGCAAGTGGCCTTATCTTTCATCTCATGCCTGCGAGGGTCCCTGCGCGATCGATCATGCAGGACGCACCTCCGCTGGCTACGAAGAGCAAGTTGACGGCAAATATGTGCAGCAGTAGAATGGTTCACGAGCTGCAGTGCCTGATCCAGTGCAGCATCATGGCGTCGACTGTAAGATGTTTGTTCATTTGCTGTTCTGTTCTTTGGTGATCAAACCTCCTGGCACCAGTAAGGTCTAGAGACGGGTAAGAGGTGGGAAATTGAGGCTCGCAAGCTCAACCGGTAGTAGGTTGACGACTCTGCTCGACAGTCGACATGTGCACTTCGGAGGAAAGACAGCCGGGCGATTCGATAGGTAGTTGGAGCATCACAAAGGACGATGCTTTTCGCTTTCGTGTTGCAGTAATGGCGATCGGGTCGATTGTGACCGGTAAAAAGGTAGTCTCCAGGCTCCATAATTCTTCGTGCAGTGCAGTACCACGGTATTTGGGCAAGGTGTAGGAGGTCGAATAATGGAGCTGTCGAGGAGCATGCTGCATGCCTCCTCCTTGAATCAAGACCGGGCTACTGAGCAATGCCAAATGTAGCTGGTTCCTCGGACCAAGAAGGCTRCAAGAGAGGTCCCTGCTGTAGAAGCAGGCTACATCACCTGACGTCGGAGGAGGAAATAAGTCTCAAAGAGATTTTTAGGTGCCGTCATTACACCTGTGTATCTCTTTTCGATTCTCTAATTCCACCAGACCATCACTGTCCGAAGATCCCTGCACTGTCCCTTCCACTCCGCGATCCACTCCGGCTCCGATAGAAGTTCAGTAACAAACCAACGAAGGACAATGAGCGATCGGATCCTGTCTGTTCTCGGTTTAGTATCGACCAGTTTCATGTGGTCCTGCTAAGTCATTTTCAGGAACTCCTTCACAACACCTTGAATCCAATCCCGTCAGCCTCAAGGAGAGTCAGGCAAGTGAAACATTTGAGGAGTGTTGCCATCCGGCCCTCGCTCGGCTCAATCAGCGCGGAAAACTGCCTCTGAGCATTACTGAGCGGGCTGGTAGTTGAGTGAAGAAGCATTCCRTGCTCGCGTTGTCATCTCTGGCCAACAAGGGACAGTTGATGAATTCAAGGAAGCCCTCGGTCGCAAAGCGTTGGTGGGAACTCATCTCCGCCTGGTATAGAGCATCATTACCGATAAACGCTTTTTGTGGAGGCATTTTACTTTCTTCTGGCCAGGCGCGTACCTGCTCAAGATCCAGCCCACGGTCGCCAACGCTATCTTCAGCGTCCAAGAAGAGAGCCTTCCGCAGTACTTTGTCTTTGAAAGACAGGTTCCACTGCTTGCTGGCCACCTTCAGTCTGTACAGATGGCCTAGCGGGAGATACCGCAAGATCACTTGTACGAGCTGTCCAATCTTCGCAGTCCGAGTTACGCCGGTCCGCTCGGAAATGGATACTCCAGGCCATATAGGTGTCTGGACCGTATCGGATCCGATCAGTCGCTGTCGCTGGTGGTGGAGGGGACGGTGGCGGTGAGGAAGTGATGTAGAGTGGCGATATCATTGCTGGACGTCCATGACCTGGAGAGGGGGCATCTGGTCTTGAGGCCATTGTTGATGGGTCTGCAGCTATGACGATGAATCTGCAGCAGTCATGCTTGCGCATCGGTTGGTCAAGGCAGCTCTGGTTGCAAGGATGAAGCCTTTGGCACAGACCAGCCATGAACAGAGAACAATAATCCCTGCGGAGCTCTACCTTGGCGAGCTTTTCCCGACGGCAGTGACGGTCTTCTGGTGGTGGAATAGACCAGTCTGATATTCTGGGGTTGAAGAGAGAAGTCGTGTATCATCAAAAAAAGACCCTGCATGTCCAATTTGCGGCGCGGCCTTACCGACCCAGCCGCTCTTATAATCGGAGTGAGAAATAAGAGAGATCCAACGGCGAAAGCAAGCGAGTAGAATAATCATGCTTTCAATCCTCAACCACCCTCTGGGCAGAGCCATTACTTTGGGAGCTACTGCAGCCGTATATCTTTGCAAGACTGTTCGCAACCTCACCGAGAGAGCTGGCGATCCAAAGAGAAACCATGTTAATTGCAGAATTCGATTGACAGCTAGTTCCCTGCAAACATCGAGCTGATCCCATACGGGCTGATTCATCTCGGTTCAAGCGCTGTATTCCAGCCGCAACTGAAGTGCAGTGGAGAGTCTTTGCTCATGCATCCAATCCACCACAGTATATGATTTTATCCCTCGGCCCGAGGCCTACGCCAGTTCTCTATTCAATGAGCTAGCCTTTGGCAGCCACTTCTCCCTCACTTCATTCCTTCTTATCCTCCTCCTCCGATGAAGMCTTCGGTGTCGGGAGACAAAGATGTGCAAGTACCCAATCACCCAGCGACTGCCACTCAAACTGATCTCCAACTCTCCGACGAAACTTGCCAACGACATCGCCCAGGGTTATGCCATCATCGTTGTGAACTTTTCCCTTTAAGTATCCCAGGTAACGTTCACCCGGGTAAGCGCGCCCCAAAGTCTTGAAACACGCGGCTGGAGTGGCTCTGTCGCGAGAGATAATGCAGACCTCGAGATCGGTGCAAGGCGGCTGTGTTAGGAACATCTTCAGGCGGATGTCCTTGGGGTGCACCTGATCGGGGTCTTCGATGAAGTTCATCCGGAATTCGTCTAATGGAGCTTTGGTATAACGGATGACCAGCTGAGGTTCTTTGAGGATTGCGTCGTTGTGAGTCCATGTGCGTGCCTGCGAATCGGTGTTCTTGTTGGTCTTGCCGGTCTCTGCCTCGAGGAACAAGGTCTTTCTCATGCTGCTCCCCTCGATCGTCCTCCGCCAGTGTTTACAGACTCGCCGATGGCGCGGCAGAGTTGCTGGGCCGAAGTATTTCAGCGGCATCTCAAACAGCTCTTGGGTCGACATGAACCTTTCTATTGCCGAGTATGCTTTTCCGGTGTCTGGGGCCTGCACCGCATCCTTCTCGCAGTCCAGCGGATCTTGAGCATCGATAGCGGTCGTGTTTGGCACAGCTTCACCTGCTGGCGTCGGGATGCCTATGAAGCAAAGAGCGGAGAAATTGTCGTGAAGAGCGTATGCGTCCATGATGATGAGTTGCTGAGTGGTGTGATCGGGCTGTGTGTGAGGGTCGGTATCGAAAGGTGGATAGTCCAAGTGCCGACGAGTTGATGTGTGTTGGTGAGGGACTGTGGGGTGAGAGTGGTGTTGTAATGAAACACGCGGCTGATAAGTCGCTCTTGAAGATTACAAAGCTCGGTTTTCGAGGCGCGTGACGACGATCCCTCGTGACGACAATTCCTCGAGCTCGAGCGCTCGTGACGCCGATCTCTCGATCCGTAACGCTCGTGACGAAGATTACTTGGGCTGCGACGCTCGTGCAAAAGAACAATCATCCACCATCCCAAGGCAGCACCCATCGTGCGACCACCTCCTAACAACTCATCGGACACCTGCGGTAAGCGCACGTGGCATCATCAAGTCGGCTCATCCATGTCGTATGAGTGGACAGACGGTAGCCATTGGATCATCTTACACAGGGTGCTTGTTTGAGGTATACTCGAAGAGCGAGCAATAGTTATCGGTGCCCTTCTGGTAATATCTGAACTAGAAGGAGCTATCGAGATAGCCGGGATAGTGTCAGTACTCCATGCGGCGCAGACGGCGCTGGTGAGCCTCTCCTGATAACATTCTCCGGACGGCAACAGGATCAATCACCAGTCTCCGGCGCATGAGGGAACGAGACGGGCCATATAGAAGACTGACGGGCTTCTCGAATCTGAACAAGCATAAGCAAGTCTGAGTGGATATACTTTCGAAGTCTGATGGTAACTGGCGGCAAGAGCTAGTGCGAAGGAATAACATGAAAGAGGGTAGGGGCTTGCCATCACGACAGATCTCATCGCACTGGGAAAACGTTCGCAAGGTCAGTCGGCTTCGGTGAATCGACCATTCATCCTTTCTTGGCCAGGACATTGCTCAGGCCGTCATATGGTATTGGCAGGCCGAACAAACAGAGCACGGTTCGCTGATGCCTCGATGGCTTGATGATTTTGCCAATCAATCAACAAACTAAGACTTTTCAAAGCTCGTTTGCCAACCCAAAGAAGCTGTTTGAGAGGATTCTATCGCCAAACTGCCGTCGAACCATACTGGGCACACAGGACTATCAAACCGGTTTGGCTGTTTGATCAGTCAATCAAACGACCAGATTCGTCAGATGCGGTATGTTTGCTTGTGGAGCACACTGTATCTTCCCAGCGATGAGACCTTGTTGCATGCGTACAGGGAATGCGGTAAGCCTTGGCATGTTGAGCTTGGTAGACCTGGAGCAAGGCATCGACTAAAACAGATGGCGGGATCTTCGGTCTCGATAAAGCTCATCAGATGCCGATACACGACACACTTTGCAGGTTTCGCAGACTTTCTTGCGTCCTTAAGGACAGATTGGACTTGTTCGTGGCTCTCCCACATACCAGCACACGGCAATGTTTTGCCTCGAGGCTCAGCTTCTTTTTCAACAAACACAATACGATATGGTTGTATGTACTAGGCATCGTCTGTGATCGAAGTGTACTCACTTGGAGTTTGCTATCCAAACATGTACAATCACTGACTTCTTTCAGATCCCGGCTAATCAACTGTGGCAAGCTAGAAGGCCGGAGTTCTTTCAAGAAATCTTTTCTAGGGTCTTCCCTTGCCAGATTAGCAAGTCAACGATCACAGAACTACCTAGAAGCGTCTCGATTGACTCAGACAGGCTGGGCGCTGATTGAGTCGTTTGCTGCCAGCTGTTCAAGTAGTATCTGCGATCTTTCCTCCAGGACTATCTGGGAGCACAGATCTTACGAGCTTCGACGAATGTCTTCTTCAACCTACTCCCCTTTAGATCGATACCCGAATACATCAACACCAAACTGGCTACACACTCTACGATTCCAAGACGGAGATGTAATCATCAAGCTACGATCTGATCCGAGATCTTGGCTGTTACTCCACAAGAGAATTCTCATCGAACACATGCCCGGTCTTGGTGGCGGCTTGAAGGACGGATATCTCCATGACGGAGCGTTCCAAGTCAAAGATCCCGCCACAGGATTGAGCAAGACCATCTTCATTCTTTCAACCGGCCTTGTCGAGAACACCATCATGCTGAAGCAAACCGAGCATCCGGAGGAGAAACAAATCCTACGCTGTCGCAACTTAGTCCACTTCTGCAAATCCGATCTATCTGATGAAAAGGAGAAAGAGCTTTTCCGCGATTGGCGAAACACGTCTCCCAACGTTCACACTTGGCACCGCGAATCAAGCATTTTCAGCCCAGAAAGCCGTTTCTCTATAAGATCATCCAACAACAACATTCTCGAAGATTTCGTAATTGAGATGGGGAGTCTTCTCGGGCTACTCTATGGCAGTGCCCTCAACCTGGCATCTTTCTCGCCAGACCCGATCGTTGGGTCACCGTCGAACAACTTCAATCCCAAAGAGAGATTTGCTATCCCAATTCTTCCGATCGCTGAAAGGGTTGCGAATATTTGCGCCTATTCCCAGTACTATGTTCGCCAGGACGTTGTCCTGCCAAGGATTGCCGATGGGTTTGATCGTACCGACCGATTCTGGAGTACTGTGCAGGCTGAATGCCTTGCGATCTGCTACATTGGAAAGCGACTAAGAAGCAGAGATTTGTATTTTGATGCCGTCCGGCACATTGTTGGCCGCATCTTCAATCATACGCATTACACTTGGGATCATACATTTGATCAAAATGATCCACCAGGCCCCTCGATGGCTAGTGCATTGAGGAGTCTGGAAATGTCACAAGATGAATTTTGGGCGACATATGGTCCTCAATTCAACCGCCTTGAGATTGTCTCCAAGCGTCTGATGCGAGACTTGCCGCCATTGCAAGTAGCCCCCCGACCTTCCGGCGGAGGCCCCTACAGGAGATCGAACCATCTGGCGAAGTCAATGAGGTGGAACGATAGCCGATCTTGGAGTCCAACAGGGGTGATATGGTCATACTCACCACCTCACGTGCTCGGTGGTGCTCTCGCCCGTGATATCTGGGGCCAGCAGTTTGCGGATGCAGGATCTCGAATCATGGTCAGAGCCTACAAGATGTGGAAGACCGATAATGACGACCAGGTGAAGGAACTGAAAAATCAAACGAGGTGGCTTTGGCATCAAGCGGTTGATAACGAAGGTATTGACTTCTGGGACTCTTTTACCGAAGTGGTGACTTCTATTGTGAGAGAGTGTCGTCGTTCCATTGACTTGAACTTCCCAACGGCCGAGTTTGAGGACGCTCATGCGGCGAAAGACAGCGATGGGATCGGTTTCTGGACATGTCTTACGCTGAACCATGACGATGTGCCGTGGGAGAAGGATTTCGAAGGTGGAGGACCTGTTGCGGCGGACTTTGTTGCTGCGTCGAAGGAATGGTTGCATTTGGTCAGGATGGCGTGATGCAACTGTACTGTTCGGTAGGTGCATGGCCCAAGATTGGTTTTTGAAACTTTTGGAAAATGTATCATCGCGGCGTCTCTTGGAGGTTCTTGAAGGTAGTATGTCAACATTGCTTTCAGTAGGGTACCTTACCTCCGTGTGATAGCTGTGACGGGCCTGCTAATCATCTACATTCGAACTTGGTCTGCAAAAGCCTCTCGTGCAGCCTTTCGTAAACGAAGTTATCCCAACACGCTTGCCTTTTTTGCACAATCTGCAAGACAACTGACCGACAGTCATATCCCACACAGTAGCTTGTAACGCCGCCTGGACGTATTCTAGAAGTCTCAGCTGTCGACCAGCTAAACACTCGGCCTCTCAACGAACTGTCGTGAAAGACCTTGCAATACTTGCATTCTCACACACAAAACGCTTCATTGTCCTATCGCATGTTGATCAATAGTTTGCAAATGGAAGTTGCATTGCTGCTGTCCATAGCATATAAATCTGGATATATGGTACAAGCACTGGTATAGTTGCTAAGGACACCATTTTACAGTCCAGCCACTGGGGCGTATTATGCTGGATTGTACAGCGGTGCAAGAGTCCAGTGGCATAGGATACTTCGCATCCCAAGGACCCAGGATTCTCCGTCATGTTTGAAGACACCGACGTCGTAGTCAAGTTGTCATTCACCCGCGACAACTTACTCTCTGTTCATCACGTCCTAGAATGTTCCGGGGACTTTGCGATAGGAAGTCTCTACTAGAAACGAGATAACGAGAAAAGGCGAACGAGCCGAGCCATTGACAAGGGTACGAACTTACGGTTGAATCTATGTCGAGACTGGGACGAACGAGATCAGTATGCTGGGAGGCGGGAGTGTATGATTAGACATGGGTGAGATCATTTTGTTGTTCAGCGCATAGATAAGGATCAGTTTCGCGTGTCATAGATTCCACAAAACGCCATCCCCTATTCTTTTTGAAAGCCTCAAATCCACCGAGTGAGCATCGCCGGTGAGAATGCTGGCGATTCCAACCCGCTATCCAACGCGTTTCATACCCATAAAGTTCAAAACATCCTCCCTGTTCATGAGTCTCACTCCAGGCTTTGCCTCCTGAACATCCACTCAAGCTTTCTTGACAGCTACGGAGCGAGCGCGATACCACACATCTGGAGTCTCTCCGTCCAGGCGGTACGTTGGAACTGAAGTCATCAGATCGACAGCGCGCTCGTCCGTCCCACGCAGACYGCCCATACCTCCGGGGGCCCAAACGGGAAAAGTGTTCGGTAAAGAACGTTGCGGAACGAGGCTGGAAGGCCAGTCTTTTGGATGTCCGCGGCGGATCTCTTCAGCAACGCGCAAGAGATCTCCAAAAGTCGATGCGGTGGTGACTACGTAGGCGACAATCCGGGCGGAATGCGCTGGGTGTTTCGGTATGCGTTTTTCAGGAGGTGTATTGATGGCAACGTGCTGTGAAGCCCCACTAGCCGCCTGGACTGTCGTGGAGTGWGTCGCAGGAAATCGCTCCTGGTTCGATAGTTCCGCGCGGGAGATTTCGTATGCAATCCGCACTTTGAAACCAATAGTGCCGTTGTTGACACCAGGATCTTGAGAAAACATCCGCGTCTTGATGAATGACTGTGTGTAGTCCACAGGACGTGAAGTATCCAGATCAACGCCGATTCGCAGGAGTCGCTGAGCTGGAACGAAGACAAGATGGCCTTGGATGTGAACACTGAGACGCTCCACCACAGTCAATTGCGCGACACTTGGCATCACCTTGTGCCATAATCCGGGAAAGCAGTATGCTTGGTCTGCCAAGGTAGTTCCGTTTGGCAGTTTCCCTCCGTCCTTTGCACTGACTCTCCAAAGAGTCCGCTGGAGAATGCGTGAGAACTTGATGGTGTTGCTGATAGACTTGTTGATGCGCTGTGCAGAAGTGACCACATCCTTCATGGGTACCTCTGCAAGGATCTTCTCCACAAGCTCCGTCGTACCGAACACCACTCGGCGGGCGTCCTTCGCGGACCTCATAGCCGCCACCTTTGCGCGCGTATCAAAGCTCTCATTGATGACTTGAAGTAAGTCCCTCTTCAAAGCCATGACCTCCTGCGCACTACTCAACGATTTGCTCTCCGACTCGCGCAGGACTTGTTTAACCTGTTTGACCTCATTTTCGAGTTCTCCCATTCTGGCCATGAGTTGTTGCACGAGGTTGAGAGTCATGTCTTGGGTGCCGTCGATGCCATTGGGCTCAGTGGTGAAGACAGGCGTGGCGCATTCTTGAGGCAAGCTTGCGTCGAAGGAAGTCTGCTGCGTTGGAGACGACATGGTGCCGTCGGACTAACAGTTGTTGTGGCGTATATATTTTGCTGACTGGGTTTGCGCGTCCAAGTCAAAACTGCGGATTGAATATCCCAAGCTTCGCCCGTGAGAGTAATCGTCCTGCCAGGCGACGAATTCGATGCGATTGCGATGGCCCGATGGTGATGTCGCGGAAGATAGAAGTTGAGGAAGTTTGCATCTCCTCAGAAGTGGAGACGGAAGTTCGCAGTGGGTCATGTGCGGTGTTCCCTAGACAACACTAACTATTCACTCGTCTTCTACGCCAAGCGAGGATGACGCCACGAAAACCGCTAGCGAAGTTAGATTTCTGCTTTCCTCCATGTCGCCAGCGCCACAAGTCATAATATATAGCAGCGGAGCATATTGTGGTGAAGTCAAACGAAAAGCACAAGCGAAGAAGGGCTGTGAGAAGAAGCTGTGGACGACAGATATATCAAAGTTGGAAAGACGGGAGACTTGTTTATGATCAAAGGGAAAAGCGCCTGTACTGTTCTAGAAAGCTCACCCCCTCGCTGGTTGCCCATTTTCATAATCCATCAGTCCTGTCGATCTTTCTAACAGATTCGGGTCGACATATCCCATTACCATCGAACTGAACCGTCAATCCAAATCACCCACGATCAATCCTTGCTCGCATGCTCAATCTCGTACTCAGTCTCGGGCGCCCGGTACCATGTATGTTACGACCCACGATCGACCCTGTAGTCCGGTATCGAGGCCATCAGGTCGAACGCCACTTCATCTATTCCACGCAGAGACGTGATGCCTCCTTGTGCCCATACACTTGGTCGAGAGCTGATGGCATACGGCCAGTTCTCAGAGTGTCCTCGACGGACCTCCTCCGCCACGCGCAGAATCTCCTCAAACGTAGCAGAATACGTTTCAAGTTCTACAATAATGCGGACCTTCCTGGCAAAGGTTTTTGGTAGGTCTCGTACTGGATGCGCGTCGGACTCGGCTTTTCCGCCGATCGTGCTGTTGTTGTATCTTCGAACCGGGGAGAAGGCAGCCTTCTTGAGTTTGGCTTTCGCTTTCACTAACAAGTGTTCATTCGAGAACCAGGCTTCGTAGGTGACTGTTAACGGTATCCGAACCGRCTCGGCAGTGAGGTTCCGGCCCGGTAAGTGGAAGCGAACGTTAGCGAAAGACTGCGTGTAGTCGGTGAGCGCGTCACAAAGGTTAACACCGATGGCGGATCCCGGTTTTGACAGCGAATTTGTAGACAAGATGGCGTTGGATGTAGGTCACGGCAGCCAAGGTTTCTTCACTGTCTTCATTCAGTACCGGACGGAACATTTCATGGATAAGGCCGGGTCCAAACGACTCGGAGTCGATAGTTGCCAATGGTCGACCACTTCTGCTCGCTTTCTTCCACATTTAGCCTTGCAAGAGATCGGTGTAGTCCAAAACAGCTTTGAACTGCTTGTTCACCCTGGGGACGACGACAGTCAACTCGAACAGTGGCACATAGGTGAGAACCGTTTCGAGCAGCTCGGTTGTCTCGAGCATTGTCCGACAAGCGTCTTTCGATGCCCTCATTGCCATCAACTTGGCGCGCGTGCCGGATCCCTCGTTGCTGATGCGAATGATTTCCCTCCTCATTGCCATCAGCTCGCGCGCGCTGTCTGCCGCTTTGATTTGGGTCGCCGACACGGTTCCCTTCATCTCCTTGACCTCGTCTTTGAGGGATGACATTTCAGTCATCAGCTGGTAAACAAGGTCCTCGAGTGAATTGTCTTGAGTGCGGTCAAGACCAGAGAGTTGAGATGGAGGTGCATTCTCGCGACTGCCGGTTGGAAAGGATACAGACATTGTTGGATCGAGCGGTGCTGTCTGTAAGGGTGATATTACGTGGCTGTCGTTGTAATGTTTGGCCGCCGTTGAGATCAGGAAGGTCGAGGAGTGATGTTGACTTGCAGATTGAGATCCTCCGCGCAGATCTGCCGACTGTCTGGATGTCGTGGATTTGGTTGGCCAGGCTTGTTTCAGGAACCACAGGTCGCTCGAGGGCCTTGAATTTGTGCCGGATGTCGTTGAAGCGTGGGTTTCGACGACATCCGGCACAAATTCACTTTAAGGAGCTGGGTGCGAAAGCGGGATATGATAGTGCCCAAGAGAAGGGACAAGCAACTGAGCGCTCGCTTGTTTGTTGATTGCGAACACAATCGTCGACACAGGATCTCTTGTTGCAGACTGGAAGCGGGAGTTTACCTGAGTGAACAGGGAAGCCTTGCTGACTTTGCCCTGGCCTTTACTAAACACCAGTAGTGTACTTCAAGAAGCACATGAGGATCCGAGATTGGAGTGAGTGTTGTACCCGGAACCGCCACGTAGTCCAGGAGATTTCCGCTTGGACCGACATCATACAAGCGGTCATTGCTGCAAACGGTGAATGGGCTTGTGAGCGCTGCCCTGTAGAGATGGATTGAAGGGCAGAGTAGCTATACGGTCACCTCAGAGATGTCTCAGCATATCCAAAGTCCATCGGCAGAAGTCTGTACCTCGTGATTAGCTCCAGGGTATACACAAGGTACCGTTTAGGTCACCTCGCCCAAGTATTGAGCCAAGTCAGACCAACGCAAATTTCTCAGCCGTCACAGCATTGCCAATTCCCACGCGACTTCCATCCRGGATGTGAGAGAGGACATCACCATAACGACGCCGGGCGATCAAGCAGAGGGCGGCGCCCTTCTTGACGACGACTCCGGCTGTCCCTGCGTGGCAATGAACAAACGACTGCGAAATCGCATCTTTCAATCCGGAAGGCGAGCATTCTCAGTGGGCCTGACTTGAGCGCGGCTGCCATCGTGGCTTCTCTTGCGGCATTGGATGGCTTCCGCGAGGCATTAGCATATGAGGATATTGGCGAGCAATGGGAATGATGCCATGAGTACTCTTTTTGTTTTCGTTCTTTGTTCAGAGGCCTTCGTCCCATGTCTTTGGTGAGTGAGAGACGTTCTTGCTCTGAGCAGCTCAAGTTGAGAGCCACCTCGTGTGGCAATTGTTCATGTTGAAGAAAGAGGCTGCTCATATTGCCTTCTTCGCCTTTCGCTTTGCGGGTAACATCCCGAGCACATCGTGTTGAAACTTCTCCCATTTCGTCAATAGCTCTTCGACACCTCCTTTCTTCTTCTGCGGTGTCTGAGTGTCTCATTCCTCGTCGTAATCTTTCCATTGGATGGATAACGTGACCTCAAAGCACAGGTCGTCAATCAAGAGTGAAAGTGGTGCACTGCGTCCAAAAGTCCTCCAGATATCTGTAAGGAGTGTTCGGGATCTTGCCCGGTTCCTTTTGGCAAAATGTATCTTTGGAACAGCTTTCTGCCATCATGTCGTCAAGTTCGACGATATCAAACTCTTCATTCTCAAGACTCCTACTGTCTGCTGCAAGAAGTGACCAGATTCGCCAGTGGTCGTGAGGGATCCAAGGCTGCGATCGCAATGGCTCAGCCAGCAAAGCATGTGCCTCTTCGCCTTCGTCGAAGATTCCAACAGAGGCGAAGCTATATTGTCTAGTCAAGCGCCCAGGTCGTGCGGAATCATGTCCGTTGAAGAGGACCTCGTAAGTGCCGCCATGACGAGCAGCATTTCCAGCATCAGCGCCAAGTCGCGGAAATTTATGATTGGCACCCCTGCTGAATCACTCCGGCATCTTTGAGGCGAAGTTTTAAGTTCTCGGTTGTCGCTGGTGGAATCAACATTGAGGAAGTAGTTTGTATCTTGTCCAGGATTGATCCCAGTTCCGTCATCGCCAGGCAAGTAATTATGGTGTAGTGTTGAGAAGAACTCACGGAATATTGTACTTCGATGCATTATCCAGTGTCGATGTGTCCATTTGCTTCCAACACCTTCAATGGGTCGTGACATCGAGTCGGCGATGAGCAATCCGTTGTCGCTGATAGGAACGGGCCGGCTAGTAGTAGCCTCCGGTCCCGCGGAAGATTCCGACGTCAGAAGAAACGCAACGGCGAGAAAAGCGGTCTGGAGGCTGGATTGATAGCCTAATCGCGATCGTTGGAGCCTCGGTGTGTGCTCGCTGTCGAGGTGGGTTGGAAACAAACATTTTTCCGGCTTTGAGCAACATCCGGAAGCCTCCGATAGACCAGTGATCGCCGCGTCAAGCGTGCAAGGTTTCCGTGCTGTCTGTGCGGTCCCAGATGTTTCATACTCCTACTAAGGCATTGAACCGTGGCTTCCTGACAGAGCTTCTCCAGTATCTATCGTCGCCTCAAAAGCATATTGGATAGAGTGGGTTTCCCACATCCCGTTTCGAATCACAGAAGTATCCGCCGCTTCGTGACCTGACTCGGGCATAAAATACTCTTGCCACCGGTGATGCTCCTGTTTCGTCAGCAAGCCACCAGTGAAAGCCTTGAATCAGTAAAAAGATCTCTCACGATGCGGTGTACGTGTATGCTGTCTTTGCAAGCCCAATTCTCGAGAAGAAGATGACTGCCATTGAAGCAGAGTAAGCATTCAGAAGATGCAAGCTTCCTCCTCCCAGCTTCCTGGATTTGTCTGAGACGCTGGGGTGGAATTTGGAGAACTTCATTCCAGCCGGCTCCTCGATGAGACGTATGCGCTTGGCGAAGACCGGCAGTCTTACTAGAGTAGTGCACATCAGTTCGACGTATGCTCAATTTGGTGTTACATAATTGGTGTCCTCGCAGTGGAGAGGACCCTGCTACAGAAGTGGCCGAGCTGTATTGCATGAGATTATACCCATTTGCCGCCAAACGGTATCTCAGCTCGTTCGCCGATGAATTCCACGCGGCATATTCTTCGTCCTCTGATCCCTCCTTCCAATGTTCCCGCGTCTCGCAATGCACAGACGCTCCTTGATCCAGCTTGTTCTTCCATGGCTTGTTCGTGGCACGCACTGCTACAAGCCAGAACATAATGGCGCAAACCGTGAACCTCAGGCTACGTCGCATGGCTGGAGGAGGCCATGAAGTGAAGCTCTCTGGGAAACTTGCACTATGAGATGTATTGTACTTGCAGGACACCAAGAGAGAGAAATGATAGCCGTAGATGTTTGCGCTCCCAGCACGTTGGAAACATCAGTTCAGAAACAAACAACCAAGCCGACGACATCTGAGGCCGCGGTAGGCGTTAGGCAGTCGTCAGATGTCTGCTGGAGTATGCAGCCTGCAGACGCATCAGATGTGCGAGAACACTGTGCTGAAAGATTCCGAAGAGTCCGACCTGCTGAAGAGGCTTCTGATGCCCATCGACGCTGCCGTGACTCCCTTCCCGAAGGTCGCATGAGGTTCGCTCGGCTTCCAGCGTTGAATTGTTTGGCTGGTACACRGAAGGTGATATTGTCTTCGAGGCCGATAACTCGACAGTGCACTCTGCAGAGTACCTTGCGATCTCACTTGCCGTGGCACTGTCGCCGCTCTGGGATCGGAATCTCTCAATCTTTTCTCTCAAATCGGAAGCATTGAGGCCGACCCCGAAGACCGCGGTGCGCCTGTATGAAGTTTCTGCCTGGGAAGAGACAGAGGAGGCGGATCGGATGCGACGGGGTGGTCTGCTAGGTTGAAGTATCAGCTGTACACAATCCTCCACGCGCCCATCAGCGTCGCCCACCCGCGCCCACGGAAGGCCGCTTGAGATTTGCTTGGCATGTAGCGGTCGACTCGCTCGCTGGCGCACGGCGCATGGCGGATTGTATTCCCGTCAAAGCTACAAACAGCGGTCGCACTCCTCGCGGAGAGACCGTCCGCCACCCTGGCCTTGTCGTGGCTCTTTATTCTCTGGATCAGTCGAAAACATTGCGGCCGATGTCGGAGGTCGCGTCGCGTGTGAGATGGAGCTTCTACTTGGAGGAGAACTGAGGGTGTGAGGTCGAAGCGGCATCGTGGGAGCTACAACTTCGCTGGGGAAGAAGGTTTTTGTGCATGTCTCGCTCCTCGCGCCAGTTCTCACCGTACCTCGCCTGGTTTGTCTGACTCGGTGCTCGTGGTCTCTGCTTGAGGAAAGTCATTTCAGTGAAGCGAAGGCGATTGTAGAGGATTCCATCGCCGCGGTGCCGAAAGAATGAGTGGCACCAAGGTAGAGTATCCCTGATGTTCTTGAACTTCAGCGGTCGCCGCCAGCATCAAGTCTTAGCCGCTCAGAAGTCTTTCGGGCGCATTTCCTGGGCGCGAAAAGGCCCTCGTGCACGTTGATGTAGCGGACGACCTTTGCGACTCTGCCGGTATCCTAGAGCACACTGCTCACGTTGCTGCCTCAACGTCCTCCCTGTCGCTTTCGATGTCTGCTTTCTGCCAGGCCTCATTCCGCCGCAAGCCGATGTCGGAGGTCGCCACGCGCTTGAGCCGGTGGAGGAAGACGTTGCTCGGGCGTGATGGAGGAAGCCGTGATGGACGTATCAGCCGCAGCTTTGCTGATGAGGAGATCGGAGAGCGGGAGTATCTGGTGAGGTTGTGGCTCCATGTGTCTTGCCGCCCGCGCTCGTCGCTGCTGCCGCTTGTTTGCTCGCTCCTTCTGCGTCAGTCGATGAATTTCCTGCTGGAGGGTGAGAGAGAGGAAGAGCGCGGTCGCGATTGCGGAGCGAGGTGATGAAGCATGGCTCGTCGTCGGCTCGGCGGATTGAGCGGCGCCGGAATAGATTGTGTGTCTCTCTGCTTGTGTTTCCTACCTTGCAGCCATGCTTGTCGCGAGAAGCTGGCTGGTCAGCAGTCCGCTGAACGCCATGCGCACTCGCGACGGCGTCCTTCTCGTCAATAGTAGGGTAGATGAAGTTCATATCAGCATCGGCAGCAGCGGGCGCACTTTCGCGACATCCTACAGTTCCTGCCGCCTCGTCCTTGCCGCTCGCCACTGCCCGTCGCTTCTCGAGCACGCGACGGCAGGAAAGCAACACCGAGTGGCAATCACGACCCGCGACGGCAGGCAGGCACCGCCGACTGGCAGTCACGACAAGCGACGCATTAGACGGCAGGCAGGCACCGCCGACTGGCAGTCACGACAAGCGACGCATTCCACCAAACACGGCAGGAACGAACCGCCTCACAATAGAAAACAGCGCGGTGGCAAAGAGGAAGGAAACCATCTCAAGCAGCCGGTATTCAAACCAACAGAACTCATGAAAGTCAATGGGATATGTAGCCATACAGTATTCATCTTACTCCCCGCCAGCTACGAAGGTTCGCCGCACCGGGCATACGATCATGTTCATAGATCGCCCCAATGTCCAATGAGAAGGCCAGTATGTCAATCTTCTGTAACACCGTCCAGGACACCACCATAATGTAGAGTTGGGCCGTTGGGTATCAGTTGTCGCGACACAAAGAAGTGAAACCTCGCGGCCTATTCCATTTGCAAACTGTCGATAGAGAAAGAAGAAGAGGATTTCGGCCTGGAGTTTCGAGAAGTTTTATGCTTGCGGTTGAGCTCGGACCAGCGTGCTACAGCTCGCGCAACCGTGATACAGCGTGCGCAAGTGAGTCATGAGGGAGTGGGGGTGTGAGTTTTGTAGGGGTGGGGGTGGGGGTTGCTTGGTGGGGAGTGGGCGGAAGGGTGAGCAGGTGGGGAGGCGGCATCAGGATACTCGAGTGGCTTCCTAGGACGCTGAACTACACTGAAGGGATATTTGACAATGATATGTATGCGTCTCACGGCGGCACCATGCCTTGTTTCCATGATCCCCCTCTGTCACCTTTTGTCACCCCTCTTTCTATCATCTTCAGTCACGATGCCAATCTCCTAGACAGGCTCTTCTGCTCATCAACGGGAGCGGTGGCGTCTTTCGTATCCCGAGAGCGCCTGTCTTGTAATCGATAGAGAGTAGCGAGGTGATCAAGATCATCGGGCACAGTCTCGAATTTAGGGTTGGGGTCTATTAGGGTTGGGGTAGTGGAAAATATCTCGTCTCCGCAACAGCAACATACTCAACACCTTCTCTACTCCCATCAGCCACCTATCAATATCATGACTTCCTAACACGAAACACAGAACGGATTCGATTAGACTATCACAGGCATTGTGAAAATACTTTGGAAAAACAAGAGCTACACGATTTTGCGAGTGCTTGATTCCAGGGTGTTTCTCATCGGATTCAAGACCTTAATGATGATCTTAGAGCWATGAACTGCTCAGGTGATGTGAGCTCATCGCGAAGGCTGATCCTAGCAGAAAAGAAGAACGTAGCTTTCCCCGTGAGGGGCATGTTGTCCTGCTGCTACGGCAGACTCCGAAAAGAGATAGGATCCTAAGGGAAGGCCTTCCGGGGGTCTTTCAGGTAATTTGCTCCTCGCCTATGTCTATATCACCATGATATCAGTAAAGTGTATCTCGCCAATACCCCAACACCGGTGCAGCATTCAAACAAATTTCCCCGATGCAACGTGCAGTTTAAAAAAGTGTGAAAAGAAATATTCCCCTTTCTGTAGTACGCCAATGGGATGCTTCCCAAGCGAACGGCAAAGATGCCGCATTGGCCGCATTGCTTCCCACACAATCTATCCCGGAGATGCCCTGCCAGAAATTCGGCTGTGGCCGAATTCAAGAAGGTACTGCACGGACCATCTCGACTTCCACGAGGAAAGAAACGATCGCAAACACTACACTTTCGATCAGCTTTTCCCACACCGACAAAACGAACTACACAATGGCGCACCAGCCCAAAATGCCGTCTGTCAGCAACGCTGGCGCAGATGGCGACGCTGGAAAGCAGCAAAATCAGTCAATTGCGGCCAACAATTCGAACAATGGGCACAACACCGTGGATTTGGGCGACAAGGCTGCAGATGATGGCGCTTCGATCCTTGACAGTATGTCACAAAAGAAAGCACCTTGGGACGCAGAGCAGCCGGTGAGTCGCTTCCTATCTTTCGAAATGGCCACAAAGCTGACATTGAATCAGCACCTTCAGAACATCGCCGACCTGAAGAAACACTTCGCCAATGAAGAGTCTGCTATTGCCGAGCAGCTATATTCGATCGAAGAAAGCCGCATCGAGGTTCGCWATCACATAAGATTCTTCCAAGCTCAGATGTTCGGCCTAGCTAGTCGTCAGAGCGAGATGGAACTTAAATTGAAGGAGCTTATGCGTAACGTTGCTGAGAAGATCGACGCAGAGGAGGAAGAGATCATGACCATCTTCAAACAGGAAGTCCTCTGAATTTGTAGAGGTCGTTTTCGGTGAGGCGGAGCAGGATAGCAGGCAATATGCACCTGGATAACTGCGACAAATGCAATACCTTCAACTGTGGATATAATTCACGTCATTCCCAGCCATGCTAGGAATAATGTTTCGTACCATCGGTCTAGTGAGAGATACCACAGCCTCAAACACAACCTCAACTAACATGGCCGAAGGCTACCTAGTTAAGTGAGGGCTGCGGGCATGGTCAGAGCTTTCGGTATGAGAAATTATCAACAAGAGCAGGGCCCCGAACTGCTCTCTCGATTGATTAACGGCCACTCTACTAGTAGCAGGGATATTAACAGGCTTTAAATCATCGAGCTTGTAGAGAACGAGGTCTTAGGATACTATAGACATAACTAAGGATGCCTTAGCATAGCGAATAATCCTTATATCGACAGCTCTGGCCATGGTACCTGCCGCTGGAGTCAATGATCCAAGTGAATGTTCCCATGTGAAGCGTCAAGTGTGAATAACAACCTTGACGTAGCTTCCTGAGAAAGGAAGGCCTGAATCCCTCATGACACACCAGAACGCTGTACGAGCCAACACTAGCACGGCTGCGAACAGAGCTGTCGATATGAGAAATTATCGAGAGGAGCAGCTCCCTGAAGGGCTCCCTCGATTGAATGACTGGCTACTCTGCCCGTGATCAGGATTCTAGCAGTCCTAAATTTATCGACACTGTAGAGAGCGAGGGCTTAAGATATCGTAGAGATAAATCAGGATGCCTTGTTCAGATGGAAATCTTCCATATCGATAGCTCTGGCTACGAAGAATATCACCCTGAGCTTCGTGATTGAGCAGTTCTCTCTCTGCAGAGCTGTCGATGTGAGAGAATCACCAAAAAAGAAATAGCGCCGTCAACTGCCCTCTCCGTTTGAATAACGGGGCACTCTGCTAGTTGTCAGGATCCTAGTAGTCCTAGATTCATCGACACTGCAGAGAGCGAGGGCGTGGGATATGGTGGAGTGGGATGAGGATTTCTGATTCCGATGAAAATCTTTCATATCGACAGCTTACGCTGCGAAGAATACCGACCTGGACTTCGCGCTTGAGCGGCTTTTTCTCTGTAGAGCTGTCCCCTCTCCGTTGAATAACGGGGCACTCTGCTAGTGACAAAGGTTCTGGTAGCTCTAGAATCGTCGTATTTGCGGAGAGCGAGGCATAAGAACGTCATGAAGACAAAATAGAAGTGTCTTATCTCGATGAAAAATCCTCATATCGACAACTCTGTTTCTCTGTGGCAAGTTACGATCAAATCCTCAACAACGATTTCGTCTGGCACCCAAGGGAACCCAGAGGATAGTCACTACGTCCTCGTGATGGGAACGACGAATGGTGCAGAAGACCTCCAGCGGCAAATTATCCAACGCCGTTGATAGTCCCGAACAGTCTCATCCAGAGCTCTCCAAAAGCTACACGCCCCTCTTTGCAAAGCGGACGAAGTGTTTAAGCTCAGCTTTCCAAGCAAGGAAACCCCGGGAACTCCGAGCAGAATCTCTTTACCCTACACGACGTGGCAGCATTGATGGTCCACAATACGACCAAATGGCCTAGAAGAAGCGAACACGAGATAAATGGCGTTCATGCAGAAAACGTGGCGTTCCTGAAGCGAAAAGCGGGGTGCAGGAGTGGCGTTCTACACCTGACCCTTCCCAGTCGAGAATGTCGAGTCGGAGATCGCCTGCTCTTGCAAAGTGTTCTTGGCGTACACTTCACCTTCGAGCTGCTACTAAAGGCTGCAGGATCGCTTGATTAACCTGACTTCCACGCGCTACACAAACTTAGCTCCCCGGAAGGATACTACGCCGCCATCTTGGAAGGATTGGAGTAGCGCACACTTCTCTCCTGGTACGTCGACATAGCAGACGTCCACGAAAGTATTTCAAATCATCCCAGCTCTCATACAAACGATCCATTAAGAAAACGGAAGACATCGCCGAGCCCGACATAGAAGACTTGAGCGAATCAGATGTTCCTTGCTGAGTCAAGCCGGCACGGATCGCATATCAAGCTCAGAGCTCCAGGCCTTATCCCACCAATTCCACAGTGGCAGGACTGAGGGAGATCTTCAAGCGAGCGTCCGCTGGCGCTCGGCTCCTTTCCGAACCTTGACGAGATCACATGTTTCATTGACCTGGAGCTGCTGTTCCTTCTGCGACTATAGGCAGCTACACATGGCTCATGTCCCTTGCATCGTCTACGGCAGCACTTGAGGATCTAGACCAGTTTTTACCAAGCGAGCTACTGACCTGCACGGAACTTGCATGTCCCGCATCTGCCAGTAGGAACGAAGTAAGCGTCTTTTGCTCTGTGCCTCTCCCGTCACTTGAATAAGGACATTGGCCGCCATTTCTATACCCAGCAGATTAGCACGCTGCCAAGCCAGCCCGCTCGTGGAATCAAGAGCGATACATTCCGCAGCGGAGAAAACCCTCCACAGCTCCTACTGAAACCTTTATCAAACTACCTACCGAGCAAGCCAGCAGGGGAAAGCTCCACGCCGCGGATCCTTGTGCTCGTACCTCCTGCTTACAAAATTGCGATGCAGCTGGTCAAAGAAAGTGGCTTCCCCTCACATACATACATAGAAGAACTTGTCGAACGGCGTGGAGGCGAGCTTTGCACATGTCCTTGCTTCCAAGCATGAGAATATCAGAGATCCTGGTCTCCACTCTATGTAGCTTCGCACTAGCTCTACATCTCCGAGGAACTCAGTGAGAGGGACATGTCTACCAATCGCAACGCACAGCTCTCTGGAAACTTCCTCGTCAACCGATGGCGCCTGGAACTAGTGCATCACTGAGGGAGGACTTTATCGCTGACAACACAACGCCCAGGCCTGGGGATATTGCACAGAGGTAGAATCTGCCATTCCTATTCATGCTCTTGATACAAATGCGCTTAAAACGTACATGAGTTTTAAGCTTTGTAACAACAGCAGAGCAAAGCAGGGGCTGCTCAATGCCCCTCTTGGACCGTTGCTTATTCAAAACATGCGCTACATTGCTGAAGAGACACGCCGAGGGTAAGTATAGGCAGATTGGTGGCCTTTCGACTTCGCTATGGAACATCCGGCTATGTAAGTGTTGACGACCCTGGACCAGTAGTGAGCATCGTGCATGCACGTATCGCCTATAGCTTGAGCTCCTCCTTTACCACCAGCAGAGATCTCGCCAATCCCTGTTGTCCCAAACACTCCCCAACGAAACCTCCTCGGCAGTAAATCAAGCACATGCCAGCCTTCCTCGAAACAGTCCATAAAAGCCCTCTCTCCTCCACCTCATCAATCCTCCTCATCAACTCTTCATCCTCTCCAAACACTAAGGAATTACCAACACCAACAACAACAACAACAACCTCCACCACCCCCTAAAAATGCAATTCCACCATCTCCCCCTCCTAGCTCTAATCTCCCTCACCCTCGCCACCCCACTCACAGAACCCAGCGACGTCTTCGCCACAGAACTCGGGTTCTCCCCAGCCGACTACCTCCTGGAAGCCCGGAACCCCAGCGCCGTCTTGGCCGAGCGAGCCGTGTCTTGCTATGCGCAAGGAGGTCCGAGACCTGCTTATTGTTACCGGAGTGCGTGTCCTAGCACGATGAGGAGTGTGTTTTATGATGGCAGGTGCTCGAGTACTGTTTATGGGAGTACGGTGAGGTGTTGTATTTATAAGTGAGAGGGTGCGGAGAGGGGGTTGGATGTCGAGGATGGGATGAGGTAGGGGGTATGAGGGGCGGTGGAATGCGGGGATGATGGGTGGATTCGGGAACGGAGGGTATCGATATGGATAGGATGAAGGGGATGGAATGGCGTTGTTTCGTGGTGCTGATCGGGTGTTCAGTTGAGGAGGAACGCTGGGCTTGCGGAAAGATGTTCAAGGGATGTCGGCGAGTGAGGATGCCATCACTGTCGCTTTAGTAAGAAGATAGGATGAGGAATACCAGAAGCGAGATCGGAGCTTTAGCTGGTATCTACTCCTTTCCTCCACTTCCTGAATCTGTGCGGGTGTCTGTCTCTAGGTCTCATCCCCGCCTTGTGCCCGTAACGAGTGCTATGTAACACTCCATCGCCGAAGATGGAAGCCGTTAGGATAGCACGAGCGAGGAATGGTCAGGTATGGAAAAAACGTCAGAATGGTCATGGATTGGTCTTCAACGCTCTGTGTTTCAACGTCGCCGATGAGAGGTATCTTTGCATCGAGTTATATTATCATGGGATCTGCAAATGTTCCATGGAACACCTCATATCAGGACTTACATACCGATTGCATTTGCGATGCTACGCACCATTGCAAACAGTGCTGGTTGAAAGAAGCTGGCAAGACACACTGTGACCGCAACCTTGATAGTATCATCAAGGGGTCCCTGACATTCCGTCCCTAGCCAAACAGATCCCCAATCTTGCAAGTGCACGGCACCAGACCATTCTCGCCGGAAAGAGGCAGTAAGCTGGAGGAGGGGCTGCGTTAAAGAAGTTAAGAGATTCATCAAAGCACCAAGATTGATAGAATACATTGCCTCGCCAGAGAGAGAAGTTTGTAAGGTCTGACGCTTTGGCAGGATGTTTCCTGCAAGGAGGGCCGATTTCTCGTCGGTACTCTGCAAGTCGAGAGACCACCGCGGAGCTCCGCTCGCTGGCGTGTAGCTTATAGTTCTTAACATCATCATGAGGGACAAGAGACCTTTCAGCAAGGAGGGAAGAGTTAAAGTCCGGTGAGCGTTCTCGATAATCATGCCAAAATAGATGTAGCATAGCGGAAGATGTTAGGTATCGGCTTGGTGGAAACCACTTTTGCTCGTGCTGAGACTGCTTTCCATCAATTAGATCGTTAGATCGTGGGGTCGGTAGGAGCCCGTGGTGTCGTTGTTCAGACCACTTTACCAGAGGCTTCTCTGTCATCGTCGTCGACCCAACATCCCCGAAACAGCTGGAAGAATCCGCTGCGTTCTCTAGCGCTGAGGAGCGGAGCTTTGCGGGCCAATCAGGAAAATGATCGTTGGTGTATGAAGCCAGTCCCTGTGCTGTATATCTACAAAACCATAGTTCTAGCGGCACTTGCAGGTCACTGAGACGGGAGTCTTTACCATGCAGAGCCGCGTTTGTAATAATGAGCCTTGCTTCTTCTAAGCAAATTGCGGTCTTCTTTTGCAACCTGCGTTTCTCTGCTGATGGGGACGATTGCATGGTGGCTGTTGAAAGAGCAGGGGCGGGATATATCCAATGTTTGTCAAGGCCKAAGGTTTCCAGATGCGACTTGTTCTGGTGCTCTGTTCAAGACGTCTTGGTCGGTACAGCTTAGGCCTTCCCCTTCAATCGGAGTGTCTGATCAAATGCTGAAAAGTTGAGTAAAGCTGTAGTGAGGCCCGGTCAGATCAACTATTTCCATGACTAGATCTTTCACTAGCGAGGTACTTGCAAATGGGCAGTGCATCTCCCAACCGCTGCTCCGGACTTGTCATCTTGTCACGAAGGCTGTTGCTGCTTCAGCAATGAATACAGTCTTGCAAGACACCTATGAGAGCCTTGAAGTCCCCTCTTGAAGCCACCTCCTAGTTGCACGTGATTACCCCAGGAAACAGAGGGACAGCATTGATAGTGGCGGGTGGACAATTGACAGATCGCGGCCTATGGTCGCGTAGAAGGACAATGTGCTTGGTCCGGGCGAGCCATGAACGACAGCAAGACCTGTACCCAACGTAGTGTTGGTGATATGGACCGCTCTTCTTGACCGAATGGTTTTTTACCTATATTCTCGCCCCATCGGTCTGCTGCGTACCCAGCCGGGAAGATACGCTTCCTGCACATCGAAGCCTTTGCCCAGGCCAGCCACGCTCAGCAACCTGGCCGTCATGTCAAGCTGGGAAGCGTCGTCTTAAGCTCGACGCAAACTCCCTTCCCGGTCTAGACTATCGTCGAGTGTCCGTCGGTGTCTTACAATCGGAACGCCTGCCGATGAAGCCCGCTCGCGCGCTTCAAACGCTGGCGTTGCACAATGTCTTTTCCAGCCGCCGCACGGCAAGGTAAGGCGATGACGGTGGCCTGGGCAGGAGGTGAATTGGTAATTCAGGATGTGAAAGTGCCCATGCTTGCTCTTGAGGAACTGTCGCAGTTTGGTGTAGACCGTCCGGAAATGTTGTGACAAGCTTGCTGCCGCGATGGCAAATCAGTGATTGTACTCCACGCGCCTGAATTTGTGGCGACGGATCAACGATACTTTTTTCCACAGCCTTCGCCAAATATTCACGAATGCTGATTTTTGGTGAGAGGATGGAAGTAGTTCAGCAGCCATTCGAAGTGATTTGAAATGTAGTGCAGCGAGAGAAAGTGTGCTTGAGAATTCTTGGTCGCTGGCGCAAAGTCTGTGAGAAGCGTCGACTTTGCGCAACGAGAACGCATCGCGATGGATCAAGATGGCTTACCGAGATGATGACCCGTCAGCGTCTCAGTGCAATAGGTCAAGGGTCGCGACTGTAGGCCCAGAGGTATTTCCTTCGATAGCATTCATTTGCATGGCATCGAATGCAGATTTCCGGCAGGGTAATCGAAATGTCAGAGCGGTTGCTCAGCGCAGTTGCAACGCGATGTATCTCGATCAGCCATCGTGGTCGTCAAAGGGAACAAGGGAGCAAAATCAGCTGCTACTACAAAGCGAAAGAAACACGTTGAATGAAACCTCATGAAGGCCACTGAATGAATGGACTACAGCAGACATCAACACGTACAGCAACAAACAACAACCAATAACCCCATCAACAAACCCTCCCGCATCAAAACCCCCCTCCCGCAAATCCCCTCCCGCAAAAAAACCCCTCACCTTCCCGCCCCGAAATCCGCCCGTAAAAGCACGCAAAGGGTACTTAATAGATTTGAAATTCCAGTTTCCCTTAAGGTTGGGTAGCTCAGTGGTTAGAGCGCTTAGACCCTAGTACGGTGTAATGCGAGGCAGGGGGTGGGGGAGGGCCTGGATTTACCCTAGGTAATCTGAGAGACTGGAGTTCGATTCTCTGTCCGACTGAATTTTTTTGGCTGTTGAGTCAATAATTGTCAGGGGAATGAGAGGATCATGCTTGTGGTTTTGATGGGGGGAGAAGGGGGTTGTGGATTGCGCTGCGTGGGTAAGTTCTTTTTGTATGGTTTGTTTTCGCCCCTTTAGTATTGCGTTGAGGAATTGCTTGGCGAGAACCCTCTTGACTTTGAGCTACTTGAACACCGAAGGCTATATACAGATGATGTATATGGCAGAAAGGTAGTGAGGCGGACCGTGGTACATGTAACTTGTTTGAAGGAATGACAAGGTAGCCTGACAACAGGTGAATCAACGCTGTTCCAATTGCTTCTGCAGACACTCTACGTCTCGCTGTGAGTGTGCAAATCCTTGCCAGATTCCCCTGGACTCTGAACACGGACATGCATAACAACGAGTAGTCTTCCCATTTGAGGAAAGTTCGAGGCACGCAAGAGCACAATCAACGCGTTCCCAGCTGTACAGTATCATTTCAATTGCGTGTGATGTAGTAGCGTCTCTCAATCTCCACTGCTTGCTTTGTGACGCGTCGAAAGTACTCTACGGGATTGCCAAAAGCGACCCTCTCCAGGAGGGAGATCTGTGCCCACTTCTCGGTAAACATTTCTCATTGAAGCTGACTCAATGGCTCAACTACTGAAGACCAAATCTTTGAGAGTATGGAGGGGAACCGATGGGTATCGAAAGTAAAGCGCAAACCGTAATTCATTCTAGGCCCATGCCATCGAAGATGGAACTCCTTTACTCCTACGATGTGCAGTCACAAGGTGAATGACAGCATCAACATGAAAGCTCCCGGGTTCGATATGAAGCGGATGATGGGAGGGATGGCCTGAGTTGAACTCCGCCCTTCCTTGGGCATTGCGGTTCTTCTTTGTTGGACGAGCACAGTGATGAGCACTCCGTCCAGGACCCGATGCTCGCTGCACAGGCATTGTGGGATGTCCTTGTTGTTGCCGATGGTCTCGTTCAGTCATTTGGCAATTGAAGCTTCACAAGCACCACCTTCGTCGTCAAATCAGTAGCTTTTCAGGCCAGACTCAACTGTGACATCAACGATTGAAGAGGGCAAGGGAAATTGTACAAGACGCGTCGGCGGGAGAAGAAAGATGTCGAGTTGGACAAACACCAGTCTTGGTCAAAGCCATTCTCCTCTACTGTTGCAAGATGGTACAACATGCCGGCTGAGACTAGCAAACGTTTCAGAAGTGAGCAGGGAGGATATAGGATCTGCCAGTCCATCAGGCGTTGATTTCACCGAGCAGCACTGTCCACACTGGCAAAGACGTCATTTTCATTGTTGGCAGGTGTGAGCTGGGCGATAGCAATCAGATTCGTCTGTAGTGAAACCACATCTGCCAGCAGTCTCTCTTACAGTCCTTCTCACTTGAAACACCGAGCAATCCTATATCAGCATACAGGGAGGTATACCAAGTTGAGTGATCGCTAAAGAAAGCTCACAAGACTTCATCCTCCACACTCTCGTCACTATCCATGCCCTCATCTCCATCGTTCCACCCCTCACCATCCGCCTCCGCCTGCGTCTTCACCACCCAGTCATACTGCGTCACCTCTGCATTCCAAGTAGTCACTGACTCCAGATCTTTCTCGCGCTCGGCTTGCTCCATGATCCTCCTGATGGGATTCGAACGAGCATCGGGCCGCACGACGTACAGAGGATCCGCAGCAGCGGCAGCAGCAGCACGCCAGGAATCAATGCCGTATACATCGCCGCCAGGACCCCGTGGAGCAGGTGGCTGCGGGAAGATCTTTTCCATCAATGCTGGGGTGATCCAAGGCTTCTTGTCCTCTTCCACAGGTTTCCTCATGTCGGCAGACTTCTTCACGTTCGCGGACTTCTTCATGCTCGAGGACTTCTTCATGCTCGTAGACCTCTTCACGTTCGTGGAGTCCTTCACGACCGCAGACTCCTTCGTATCCGCTGGCTCGGCAGCTGTGGGCGGTGAACACTCGCCGCAGGACCATTCTATGCCCGGTCAGTAAAAGCTTCCCAGATCAGTCGGAAACACACACTGTTCGGATCTTCTGGACTGCCGGCGCATTCTGTGTGGAAGAATCTACGCGGGCATCTCATGTATCTGCAGCGCACTACTGGCCAACTGGGATGCGACTCGCCGCAGAAGCAGTCGATGCCATAGTCGATGGGCTCCGGTGGCCCCGCTGTCGTCTTCTCAGGTGGGCGGAGTACCACGGGCTCTTCTTGGTTGTTTGGCTGCGCGCTGGCCTTAAGGCGCTTGGCAGGCCGATCGGCAGGGGGCGCGGCAGGGCGCTTGGAAGGGCGCATGGCTAGGGCAGTGGATTCTTCGTGACTTCGAGACATTTTCTCGTCGTTGTTATGTCTGGGTGTGCAGTGGAGCTTCAAAGATGAGCGGAAAAGACGACGCATTCATGTCCAAGCTTTGCTGCTGTTAAGTTTCTCGGCTTTGAGCCCCGAGGATATTGAAATACATCGATGCTGCATCACCACCTTTCGAAATCGAAGCACCGACTCGACTTGCACATCAACAACAACATCGGCTTCTGCTGTACGCAACCTTTCCTCGTTAGTATCCCATGACAAGGCGGCAGCAGATGCACGAGACCAGCTATGCGCGGCGACATACTAACAGCATCGCTCACAGATCCGCGCACGGCATCCGCGCAAACTCAACAGCAACATCTTGATCTCGAGGTCAGCTGTACACGCGCACCATCCAAGACTTCCTGTATCAGCGGCAAGATGGCGCACGCGTCGTCGAAGAAACCCGCGACAGAGACGGCCGCTAAAAAGGCTCGGAGCATTGCGTCAAAGGTGCTTCGTTACCAGGAATATGGCCGAGCGCTGCTAACGACCGACGCCTGGCGCGCAAAGATGGCWGATGCCATCCAGTTTAAATTGCCGGCAGAAGTTCAGAACAACGTCTTCGAGCACCTCGCTGTGGCCTTGCTACCGGATGCCATGGGCTTCGACAAGATTCGACATGTGCCGGATGCTAAAAACCGGTTCAAGATCTCTGAACAGATCCGTGTCCGCTCCACGCTCAAGGCCGCGACCAACCTCCTCCTTAGCGGCATCTCGAAGATGGGGACTTAAGACCTACCCAGCCCTGGCCGTCGTTTCCCCCCGGCTAGCAAGCGCACGGTATCTAGTGACACTAGCGAACTATACCCCATCTTCCGCGCGCAGATTGAGGAAGCGATTCTCAAGAACATAACCATCCTACACAACGAAAGCTTCCCTTACAAGCTTGAACCAAATCGTTTTCCATACCCCCGCCACCTGCGTCCCCACAAACACCACATCAGATGTCTGCAAATCAACATCACTATCAGCAATCACCGCCTATCAGGCGACATCCACCGAGCGATCCTCTACAGCGCACAAGATGGTATTCCCTCCATTACCAACTATCTTCCCAACCTTAAGCATCTCTCTCTTCATCTTGTTGAGCGCGGGGGTGATATACACCGGCCAATTTCCACTGTTCGGAAGTACCCGAAACGTGAGGGTCGACCAGGTCCTCCTTACACGTCGTTTCACGATGAGATGGTGATTTTAGTTGATCGACTGAGAAGTGTACCTGGCTTGGTGAACCGTCGTGTGTCCTACATCGTGGACCGCGACTCCGCCAATGCATATGATCTCAAGATAGATTACAAGCGGTCTTTGGTTGCCGTCTCGACCGAGACTGCTGTTTTTGAGATCATGGGAACTGTATATGGGAAGTTTGATGTTTAAGGACTTGGCAAGGCGGGAGATGGAATGAGTGGCATTAGCTGTTGCTCGCGTGGTCACGAAAGGCCTTGCAACAAGGAGGAAATTCTGGGACTGATGAAATGGGGACTGAAGCTTGACCTATGCTGAAGAATTGGCGCGTGTGAGAAACTGTGTCTCATGAAATAGGACGATAGATACGATGGAAATGAACAAGCCACATCGAACAAATCTCTTCTACCCGACGCTTGAGCCTCTGACTACTCATCGATGCACTCGCTGGGAGAAGACGGCGAGTGTGCACAGTGTCCGGCCTACAGGCGCAGAGAAATTCAATGCTGGGTACAGCTGCACATCAGTATATTCGCTCCATGTCTCGGAAGGCATGTGTGTCAATGACAGATCCATGGCAATGACGTTGCTTTCTACGCCAAAATGCGTAAAATCATATCGTCGACCGACTCCACAAGCGACTTAATGACAAGGTCACGCTCTATCAAATTGTTTCTTATCACCTACAGGAGAATCCATGCCAATCTTACTTGCACGGACTACGATATCTTGAAAATGGCATATCGTTTATCCCGGTGTCAGACCTGTCAATGGCAGTTACATTCAGCGAGCATATGTCCTGCATCTAACAAGATTTACATCCACGCGGCGGTCGTCGATCGTCAAACTCACGGCGGGCTCCTCGACCACGGTGATCTATGTATTGAGTGGCGTGCATCAATGACGGTGTATGAGAGCTACACCTTGACAGAAAAACCTTGCACGGAGTAGAAATTGACAAGGAACAAAGCCATGTAGTTAATGCACATGGCCTCTCATTACTGCGATGAACAATCTATCCGGCATCAACAGGCAGAGATGGGACTTTGCACAGGGAGAATCTTCTTGGCTGATCGGAGAATTGGTGATTCACGTGGGGCGATACTGTTATCAGTCACTCGACATCATTTCTTTTTCCTGCCATCTGTCATGGATGGTTCATTGGAGTTCTTTCCTTGAAACCATTGCTTTTTCAAATGTCACCTTGAGTAGACCATGCTTGTCAATCTCAGTTCATTTCCTTTGTGTCGTTAACTTCAGACTTTCCGAGCGCTACTCCCACCGGTCTGGTCATGATGGCGGCAGAATAAAAGCATTCCTTTGATGCACTACGATTCCCTCTATCTCGCTTTTCGTAATGAATCTTCTCAAACCGTTCCTTGACGTCGCACTCGCTGTACCAATTCACGCTGCACATCGCTCAGTTACACATATCCCACTCCTCGGCATCTTCCTCCTCAACCTGCTCCTCAAGCTCCTCAGACTGGCCGAGCGTTGACTCCAACTCACGAGAGAGATGGTCCAACCTCTTCTCACGCTGTGAGATTGCAGCGACGCGCTCAATCAGGTCACGCTTCTGGTGACTGATAGTCACTTCCTTGTCGTGGATGATGCGCTCGAGTTTCGCGACTTGACGCTCGCGAGCCTTCAGCTCTTCTTGCTTGCTGAGCAGCTCCATAGACTCGTGTTGCTTTGGCGGGGAAGAAGAAGCCGTGAGCTGCTCGATAGAGCTGGCCATGGACAAGATAGAGGACGAGGTAGCAACCGGGAGGTGGGCCGGCTGCGCGGAAGTCGAGACGTGATTTTCGCTGTGCTCGAAATTCTCTTCAACGATCTCCACCTTCTTGATACGGTGCACTGTAAAGCGCACCGAATCCGCATAGTTGGCGTAGGCCGACTCATGATTATAGCGCTTGGACGGTCTGTCTTCTGTGCCATGTAGATCAACGCGTCGGAGAATGATGAAGTTGCCACCCTCGCTGTCGATAGACTCGAGGGTACCTTCGTACCTGTTCGATTTTAGCAAGACGTCGCGCGACGAGAAGTGTTGGAGCCTCACCGGATGTTTGAGTCGAGGATGATTGAGATGCGCGTTCCGAGCGGAGGCATTTCGATCTTGACAGCCTGTCCGCAGTACTCGTCTTGAAGAGGCATTGTGAATGTTGGCATAAGGGTGTGGTGATGTTTCGTTTTGACAAAGGTTGAAGTAGGAGAAGTTTGTCAAACGCGTCGGGCGTTGGAGGGGTGGAGAAGTATAAACTTTGTAGATTAGGTAAGATTTTCCTGAGAACTGGAGGAATATCTTTCGATCTTTATACTCTTCGACACTTTCTGTTTGCTAAGCTATCCGATGAACAGGGAACTTGGAATACACTAGATAGTRCCGTGCTATATACAATTTTTAACAATCCAGGTTCCAGAAGTGGTTGGCAACTGACAGACCACCCGGGCAAAATCAGGGGTAAGATGTCTGCCTGAGGCCTCAACATCATTATTCGTTGGCAACACCCGGCGCGCGATAGCCTTGCCAATTACCTCGACATTTCAAACCTCTCGTCACCTATTCTCTGGATCTGCCACTGTTTTTGATCAGTGTTGGCCTACCTGGTTGGAAGCAAGACCTTCTCTAACGCTGCCATACCGTCTGAACGCGCGATCGAGACTGAAACCCCGGGTCTCGTACTCTTGACGCGCACTTCAGCGCTGCGGTGTGCACGAACGGCTCTCAAGAGCTCCTAAAGGGACCATTCCCATCACCAAGTCCGTTAAAATGGCCACACCCTACAGCGATGACAGCACGTACGCGGCCGCAAACAAGCAACCTTTGCGCCCGAGCCTTACGATCGTCATCCAACTTGCCATCCTCTTTAAGGAGACGCGAGAGCAACATCTCTACGATGCCAACTACGCCAACGACTACCTCGAAGCGTAGGCGCGTAGGGAAGCCCAAGCGCGATGCAAATTCTGCGGCAAGGAGTGCGCCTACGCCACTAGAAACTGGACAGTCACATTCAGCTGGAAACATCCGTCCAGAGATGTGAGCGGTGGGCATCAGGCAATGGCCGAAGCATCCCTATCCCTTGATGAGAATGACAGCATCTTCTCAAGTCTACGACCTTCCTCCCCGGAGACAATGGAGCTGTAAGATGGATTCCTCCAGGTCCTGGACGTCAGCGCTTCGTGAGATAGAATGGCGAAATCTCTGGTCTTCTGAATCCCCTCGGCCCGCGTCTTGGCCATTCGACGATCGACGAGTATGGCTTTGAGTCTCTCCTCTACGCGCCRAGCACTGCACGACTCAGCACTGTCTATCCATCGAAAAGCAGTCTCCACACACTTTTCAACCCGCAAAGAATGTTGCCGTCATGTATCAGGCTTGCGGGAGGCAAATGGATATGCTTCGGGGCCTGAACAGCATCACGCACAAGATATCTGTTCCCACAGCCAGCGAGCAGGTCGATGATCTGAGGCTTGACGATCGGGTGAAGAACGCGCACGATGAGCCTCAGATGGAGAACGCGTCCAACGCCTTTCCCACCGTCTACAGCATCAGGGTGAATTCACCGGTCGCTGGATCTTCAAATCAGGATGTATCGATGAACAACCGAGAATGGGATGTCCATAGCGTAGAATGCGCCGCGGCGGAACCTCTACAAGACACCACCACCGCTAATACAACGCCACAGAGCTCCGAAACTACAGACCAGCAAGCCTTCGACAGAGACGATGACATCAACATGTCTTAGCTCTTCACCGAGGCGGAAGACAGCACCCGTGATGTGGAATGGTTCATCACACAGCTACAAATCACACAGAAGCCCGAAGCATTCCCTCGTATACTCAAACGCGTCGATTCCAGCCATCCGCTGATCTTCACGGACCGCGGCATCCAATTCACACAACAAGCCGCATCTCCCCATCCGAAGAAAATCATCCCTTGGATCTGAATCATGACCAAAATGGTGCAACGCTCATACGATCTACCAGACGAAAAGATCTTCTGCAAGAGAAAGTCCGATGGCGAGTGGCGTTCGCCTAACTTCACGACGAGGAATTTCTCGAAAATTTTGYGGTGTAGGAAAAGTGTTATTAAGTACTATATGCGCAGCTGTGAGGCGGGCGAAGTTGGACATGCGAAGCACGAGGCTAAGCTTTGGGAGGCCGAGGATTCTATTGAACTTCACTTGCCGTAACTTGGGCCCTTGGCGCTGTATGTTGCGGAGTTGGCGATTGAGGATGATGATGAGTCGAATATTGCGATGTTGATGGAGGGGAATTTGATCGCTGGCAAGTATGGGAAGCTTTGGAGGGATGAGTAAATTCAGAAGATCWTAGCGAATGAGGTTTGAGTGGCGTCCTCTTTGGCTGGGGTGCCATGGCAGCAGCATTTCATGGCGAAACATTGGGTTGATTGGGGTTCACGACGGAAAAGGAGTGGTCTTGCGGCGCGAATGGATCAGCCCGGTGGCTTGCCAAAAGGGGCTTCCTTTCTTTCTCACGTGGGCAGTTCGACAGACCATGCAATTTGCGTGTGAAATACCACGAGAAAGAGTCCTCCCATGCACCAACTCTCACCTCCAGGCCGTGGTTGCAATTTGTGAGCTCATTCCCCGGCAGTGAGGGCTCCCGATCATCATATCGATCGCTCGATGTGCAGACAGGTTTTTCCAAAGGTGGCCAAACTCCTGTTCATCACAGTTTGATATCGCATTGACAGCACTATGGACCAGTTCCGACACCTTCCTGGCGCGCCCTTCAGAGCCTGCTGGAAGCGGCCATTAGTAAAGATGACGAGGCAGCAGACGGAATTTGCAGCACTCAAGAACAACATAAGCGCAATTGGCATGTATTGAGGTAGTATCACGAACATACAAGGGCTACCTCAACGTCTCGGCTACTGAGTACAACGCCAACCATACATAACATTACCCGAATCGCGTTGTGGGTTAGGCCATTAGAGGCGACCGCGCAAACTCTTCGGAGTCGATGCATAGTATTCAGGAGAGAGATGTAGACAGACTTCATAGATCTCGACCACTCTTCAACACGGTCATGGCGAAGTTTACAAGTGACACCCATCATGCTCCTTTCAACATGCTCCTTGTGGCCCGGTCTCAGGCCAAACCTCACAGGTCCAGGTCAAACTCTTGCTCCCCTTCGACTTTCGAAGCCTCAACGAGGAGCTCCTATGTGTCAACCACTGGACACTTTCTCCTATTCATCTTGGCTGCGTGTGACGTTTCGTAAAGCAATATTTCGAGGCCGTGAAAAGTCAGCAAGGCGTGCGGAAGTGTGCGTAATAGCAACATACCCGTGGAATTCGTACTCCGGACTTCCAAATTCAATAACGCGACAGCTCCCATCGATCATTGATGACGAGGCTGGCATTGTGAACGTTCTTCAGCGACTCGCAAAAAAAAAAAAAAAACACACATGGCTGCCGCCGGGGACTGAGTTCATGTTTGAGCTCCACTGCCCCGTAGTCTCGGTAAATCCCAGATCATCAAATATCGGCAGTTCTCTTTGCTTTACTTCGGCCAGAGTTTGGAAGCCATTTCCAAGCCGTGTTTGTTCGGTTTTTAGATTCTTTGTTGCGTGTCGCGACATGATGATTCAAGAGCCAGTTCGAAAATGCGTCGGCTATATCGTAGTAGTCGCGTGTGACCATTGGGCTCGTTGCAAAATTTGCATTCCACAGCCTCGTCGTCGTCTTCCATATCGTTCGCCTCGAGATAATCACGAACCTCTAGCGAATTGAAAGTAGTGCTGAGTGCAGCCATTCTAGTGCCATGGAGTTCTTCGATCAGCTCCTCGCTCGGATCCTCTGCCTCTTGACACAGCGTGTCGTCTTTTGCACGAGCATTCATTATGTCTTCCTTCCGTCTTCTAAACGCTTGATGCAGCCCACGACGTCTTTTACCGAACGACATTCACTTGCTTTATGAGGAATTCGTTCATGGCGTCTTCTCGACTGTAACCGGCCATGATCCGCATTGCCGGACACTAAGCAACCAGGTCGTTGACATCTTTCACATAATTGTGCTTACCTTCGAGACCATATGGGACATTGTGGTTCTCGTTCAAAAACTGAGCCAAGTACATCCAACCTTGAGGTTTAACCCCGGAGGAGGTCACCTTCATGATAGGGGTTCCCGGCAGGGATCGCCGTATCGAAATTCAAGCCAACCAGCTTGCCAATCTGCCATTCATGCGATATGGCCCCCTCGTGCTCGAGATTCTTGTTCTTATCGATCACGCTCTAAGGCCGGTGCGGTGGATTTGTTTCTTAGGTCGGAATCATTGGCTTCTAGTCGCTTATCTGGATCTTGACCCAGTAAGCGATTATCAAGCCGACTCTGACTACATTTGGACGCTCATCGTGGCCTGTCGGACTGTTATGTACTGATGGCTTTTAAGAGTGTCTTCGGAACTGTCAGCGTACGTCTCTAATGCAGCTGATCATTGCGGGCTCAGCGAACGCAGTCAGGACACTCGTGTAGTCGATGACATGCAAAGCGATTCCCATACTCTGAGACGTAAGACAGATACCTGGATGAGCTTTGAATTCTTTCGCAAAGTCAGGCAAGCCGTGCGTAGCTGTAAGAAGTGCGGTACTTGCGTTCCGGCGTCCTACGCTTATCGATCGACAAGTTTGAGTCGTTGTAGAGCGTAGGCGGCCTGGCTGCTTGAAAATGACAGAACTCGTCGAGCGCCTGTAGTTTTGAAAAGAGATTCCTCATATCTTACCTAGAGACAGGTTGTATCGCCTTCTCTATGGTCATTTTCTTGAAATTCGAGGTCACTCCCTGTGCCAGAGCTAGATCTGCGTAATCTTTTCGTGGTTTTCTGGATGCAAGAGGTATCCGAGAGCCTTTCGAAGAGGTGGTATGTGCGGCATCTCATCGCATTTATTCCAATTGATGCTCCGGAAAGCAAATTTCTCCGGCTGCAATTACAGTATTAGTTCTACCCAGCACGAGCAAGGTAAGTTCCGGAAGATGCCCCCTTTCAGCCAGTCACAGCCTTGAGCCGATCGCTCCCCACGCAAGAGCGCTCAAAAGCCCTGGTTGCCGGATCCCCATGCTCAATTTGCCAGCCGCTCATGAGGCGTGGTAGCACAGAGATATTGGAAAGACATGGAGCCTGTCCGTTTCATCTTCTTGTTCTCGCGCCTTGCCTCTCTCGAGGGTTGATGCCAGTGTCAAGGTCGGTAAACGGCATCATACCAGTGCCTAGATTGTTACATCCAGTGGCAGGATGACGAACTCGTCTTCACAATACCCATTCCAGGCCTTGCGTTCGGAGAGCTTTCCACTGCGGATGAGCACATTCGTGCCATTGTTTTCGGGCTTGTACTCAAGGCCCATCACTTGGAACACTGCGTCGCCCTTAGTGAACGCAAGACAGCTGCAGAGATCTTGGATGTGCGCCGCGGAGTTGCTTTGATGCCAGGTGATTTTCCGGGGAAATTGGCGATTAAGATGGATGTGGGAAATTCGTTGAGTGGCTGATAGCCACTGGTTCCTCCTCGACGTCAAGGAAGATCGTCCGCTTCGTGAGCAGCATGGCCTGATTTGCCGCCTGCGTTGCTTTGAAGTGCAAAAAAGGAAACAGCGCAGTCGTATCCTTGATGAGAGTAGGCTCGCCGATGTGTGGTGTCTAAAGCAGTTGCCAAACGTCCTCCTTTCTCTGCCAAATGAGTGATGGGTACACTAGCTCGATGTCTGGATGCCTCGATTCTGTGATATCGTTCAAGTTTGCATTTGATGAGGAAATCCTTACGGGGTGGCCTGGGTTTCATGGCATGGGTTTCGCCAAAAAGACCACCAAACACTCCCAGATCACTTACTCTGGAGCTTCCCGCGTGGTTTTGATATTTTTGCTTCGCACCTCGCCATTCAGAAGACCACTTCGTCATCAAAGGACGTAATAGTGTACGCGTGCAAATCCGAGCGCTGCTTCTTACAGAACTGGAGTCTCCAGCACAGGTTTTGCGAACTCGCGATGGAGGATGATTTTGCCAGAGACGAAGATCCTACTTCGGCTCCAGCATCTTCTGAGAAGAAGAGGAAAACTTCATGTCGGCTCCATACTCGTCCTGATACTGTCGAATCTTCTTAATGTCGGCCATCCTCCTCTGAATTTCCTCCTTCTCATCTTGGGACAACGGTAAGCCGGGCCATGTAAGAAGCCATACCAAGATTTGGACGGATGTTCGTAGGGCTCAAGGTAGGACATATGCCTTCGTCAGGTTTGGAAACCTCTCATAAACAAAGCGAAGCAGCAGACGAGTGTATCTGTGCCGAAGAAAGACTCTACTGTAACAGATGGCTGGAGGTGGACATCCGGAACAGAGATGGAAGACAACCCAAGCCCGGATCGTCACCACACCGGCTCGTCTCTTATAGGAGTGACCTGCGTCTCCTTCGGAGGTGAACGGCGAAAGACGCCAGCAGCACTGCTCTACTTGGGACTTCGTGGATCTTCCAGCTGCTCTGATCCCTACCCAAGATGGATTCCAAACCTAGCAATTGCCGGTGGTTCAGGAAAGACCCATGATCGGCACTGTCTGGCTGGAGGCGCTCAGTACTAACACGAACTGTTGCAAGCATATTTGCAAGAGAATGATTCTGTTCTAAGGTGATCAGCAGGCCTTTTTCGTTCCGTTGGCGAGATTTGGGCATCAGCCGGGTTCTTCGGAGGTCCAGCTGAGTGTATGTGCGGTATGCTTTACCCGTATCATCCCGGGATTCGTCGATTCATTGGACCTTTCGATAAAGATTTCAAAACCTTTTGACTTGTATGGACCGAGGATGAGCGTTGGGCCTGAAGCAGGCATCTTACCATTCAGAATCGTTAGGCAAGAGAAGGATGAGCTACTCCATCGGATTGAGTTGCACTCGTACTCAACACCCTTGACGTCTATTCATCCTGATGCGACTGCCTGGCGACTCCTAGGCCGACAAGCCCGCTGGCATATTGTGGTCCCGCACGCCGAGAAACTTAAGAGATGGGAATGCAAGGAGCTCTTCGGTAAATGAGGAATAGCAACTCGATAAATCCAGACCAGCATTATTCAGTCTTCCTGTCCGGTTGAGCGGTAGAATATGATCTGTTAACACCCATACTGATGCGAGGCTGGTAAGTATTGTAGCTGTGATTATATCGATGACGCCGTTGTAGAAGCCTGTTCCTAGTCGCGCGTACACATGTGTCGGAGATCCCATCACCGGCGTTCTCACGTCTCCCTCGGTAGATCTCTTCGGTGAGGTGTCGGGGATCGAGTGTTCAATGGTATGTTGGAAAATTGCTGCCTTGAACCGCTGTGATCGGTGGAATGGTGCGTTCCACAGAGCTGTCGATATGAGGATTATTCATCGGGGTAAGACATCCTCAGTCATGTCAGCAACGTCCCAAGGCCTCACTCTCTGCAAGCTCGACAATTTTAGGCCTGTTAGAACCCTTGACAGTAGCAGGGTGGCTTATCAATTAATCGAGAGAGCATTTCAGAGCGCTGGTCTTTTCGATGACTTCTCATATTGCCAGCTCTGGCGTTCCATAAAGGCTGTGCCACATGCGAAGTTGTGGTTGAAGAGTTCACATTGCTCGGCGATGGGAAGATACTTGGACCGGTTGAATGATTATCCTAGCGCGTAAGCGCGAGCAACGCACAAAGTCCGCGATAGGACGCGCCGGATAGAGAGTAGCTTCTGGGACGAGTTCCGAATCTACATAGACAACGATCTGAAGCTATGCAAAGCGATTGGAGCCATATACCGAGAGAGGAGCCAGAGGTGAGGCAGTCGAGGACGAGCGCCATAAAATTGGAAAGTTGAACACTAGGATCGCAAGATGAAAACGCGTTACAAGGAGACGAATCCAGAGATGTCGACATGAGGATTCTTCATCGAGGCTAAACACCCTCAATCGTCTTTACGACGACTTGAGATCTTGCTCTCTGCACAATATACAACTCTAGGGCTGCTAGAACCATCACTACCAGCAGAGTAGTTCGTTACACAATGGAGACGGCAGTTCAAGGCGCTGTTTGATTGACAATTCTAAAGAAACCACCATCCTCCGCTGCTTGCATCATTTTACTGCCTGAGCTCATTACTTAATCACATGCTACTCCTCCAACGCCAGCATGACTTGAGCCTCAAGATCTGCGTCGGGTTGAAAGTACGGCAAGAAAACCCAGAGCACATCCAACACTTCCTTGCGACCCATATCTTCCTCAAGCCTCTCCATGGCGAGCAGGCTGGTATCCGTCCAAACCCCCGTGGAAAGCTCTCTGGGTATCCCGTACTCTCCCCTCGACTCGATTACATCTTCTGGAGGGGGGTATCGATCGACGCAAGTCCGAAGGACACGCCAACAGCGACGGGCCCTCCGCTCGAAAGACAATCTCTGGGAGATGTTGTGGAATAGGTGAGATTGAAATCCCTTCATGTACTTCCTGAGGATTCCAACTTCCTCGTAGATGGGGCGCGTCGATTGGATTTGCCACTGAACGTTGAAATGGTTCTGAGTCTGCTGTGGCGAAGCTGACATAATGGTCGTAGAGAGCGCTCGTAGAGCTGTTGTGGTCCTCGTCCCGGCTGGATTATGGCGCATGTGGAATCGTTCCGGGATCTGGATGAAGCGTTCCACCGTAACTTCAACCCTACTGCATCGGCTTAGCCATGTCTCGAGACATTGTTGATGTAGAGGTCGGACAAAGCGCTGACAGCCGCGGAATTCAACGATGGAGGTGCGCTCGAAAGAGCCGATAGCGCGTAGACGAGTGCGTCGTGAGACCTTACAGAGGCCGAACAAAATTTTCCACGGCTCTGGGTTCGGAGTGTAAAGTGGCTGAAGGTGGATGTAGCTATGGCGGTGCCCTTCCTCGATGTATACGACATAGTGCTCTGGGACCGCCTTCTGGAGAACTTGCTCGACGAGCTCCATCGGGAGTGTGCGCCAGACGACGGACACGGGAAGGTTGCCGGCGCCTGGAATCGTTGCGCCGCGCGCGGACATACTGGCGGATGAATGACTCGCCGGTCGAGTCTGAGAGGCAACGCTTGATGTTGTCGTGACGAAAGTGATGTTGAGGAGTCAGACGCGCATCTCGCGTCGGATGTATGTTGTGAAAGTTCGGGCCGTAGCGGGCGCTAAAGAGAGGAAACCACTCCGTGTCGGAGCACTATTAAGAGATGCTAAAGCAGAGTATACTGGTAATGCGTTGCAAACGATGCGGAAGACCGTTCGTCAGGCGAATGAGTCAAGGAAAGAATATACCAATTATCGCGTCATTTTGTAACAGGCCCAGGAAGGTAGGATCCCCGTTGAGGGGAACGTCAGCTGAGAAATTTTTGTTGAGATGGACGGAAGGACCATCCTGCAGCTACATATAATGTTTTGCGAAAGAAGAAGGAACTCGCATCACAATAGTCTCCATCATCATCAAACACGCACACCTAAGATGACTTCTTCGTGCTCTTGTCTGCTACCGGATTCAAGAGGGTTTGACCAGGCTTGCTTCGCCAAGGAGCACTTTCTCCCGCATGCTAGACTCTATCTCTGCATGTCTTGTCGGACTAGCCCGCGATCCGCTGCACCGTATCTTGTTCACCTCCCCAAGCGTGGGAATAGCTGAGCCGACCGCCATCGAGTCCAGCTCTCCTAGATCGAGCAATGCCTTTTGCAGACCTAGCGTTCTTATACCTTTTATGACAGAGAGCAGATCAGACTCCCCTCTGGCAAAGGGGCCATCTTGGCTTATAACAGAGCTCCGTCCATCGTAGCAGAGACTCATATTGGTTTGATCGAGCGAAGAACGCGAGATTTCGTAGGGTGAGGAAGACCACCTTGAAAACAAAAACCGACTTCAACGAGATCGACGCAGATGCTGGTGCCATTGGGACTCTCATTCTGTTCAAGTCCTCAAGAACAGCGACATGATCTCAGCTATCAAATCTCGCCCACGTGGTTGTACGTGGGCCTCTCGGCCTCTTGCTTGGATGTCAAACTCTTGACGCCCGTAGGTCGGCAAGTGTTGTCAACAGAGTCATCCCTTGAAATCCCTGCGCTGGACTAGGTGGAGCTTTGCATAGGGAGCGCAGACAGTGCATTCTGGAAGATGGGCTTGGAAGCCTGGCCTGGGCTCGATGCTTCCAGAACGGGAGACTGGCGGCGATGGTGCGGGTATCGAAGATCGGCATGTACAAGTCTTTGGCATCGACCTCAACCGAGACGGTGAAAGCCATGGTGTCGGCCAGCAGTTGGTCGGAACCCCATTCAGCACGACAGGATGGTGGTTTTGGCATTGTTGGCCAGGGCGGTGCCCAAGGAGGATTGTCAATCATGCTTGTACTCTGCTGTTGTCCCATGAGCGTCACTCTGTTTACTGGCACCTTCTCCACCAAAGTTGCTTCGAAAATACCGCCAATACCAACATTTTGCGCCACGTCAATTTGCGCGAGCCTTTGACGGCGGATGACGTGGACGAATGGCCCAAATCATCAGGATGGACTAGCGACTGTGGCATTGTCTCGTACGATCAAAGCACGACAATTTGTTGGATAGTTGTTTCGAAAGGACAGAAACGAGGATACCTACCTCCAGGGCTTCATACAGTGCAAATCAGGGTCCGATCGGAATCGCGCCAGGAAATGCACTCCACGGCCAGACTTTTGCGCTTCACAACACCTCGATTGATTCGTAGGCCAGGAACACTTTCGCTCACACTATTCGACTCATCTTGAGATCATAAGAGGCCTGTACAGGTTTCTTTGAATACATTCAATAAAACGGCCAGGCAGGGCTTTTAAAAGAGAAGACAAAGCCGTACTTATGGACGACTTTGAGCATCGTCATGAAGATTCCTTCCTGCTTTACGACGGGTTAGAGAGGAGTTGACATTGAATGAAGCTCAGTCACCTGTAAAAATCTTACAATGAAGCTCCAGTAAAGCATAGACGCGAAGGCAAGAATTTTGTTTGGGATATGTATCTTCTGCAAGCCTGAAGACAGACACTGTTAGACAGTCCAACCAAATCGATCAGCTCAATGCTGTTGTGATGATGCCTCGCGAATGTCGAGAGGAAATGACACGCTCAAGGCAGCTCAATCATGAACACGTGCTATGATTTGCTGATCTCGCTCCCTACATCCCCCAAGTTTCATGACCCGACCGCCCTTCCTGCTTGCACCGTGGCTTGCTACCATTGCAGAGATGCTATAGAGAGGCACGGTCGTCGCACTGGTGGTCCTAAGCGTAGCACCATCCGCCTTCTTCCCGCTACACCTGCGACGTGTAGTATGCGTCGTACGCCACAAGGAACGTTTCTTCAAAGTCCTCTGCGTTGCAATCTTGCTTGGGAAGGTTTGGCACCTGAAGCGTAGCTCTGCGTAGCTTCAGTCCCCGCAAAGTCCTCAATACCTCCAGAGTTGCTTTCTTCGCGATCATATGATGATTCGAAGTCTCCCAAAAGCCTAGTGGTGTGAGGTAGGGCGCCTGGAAGAACAGGGAAGACAATCTAGGGTACAACTGGTTGATTTTGGGGATCAGCTTTAGGCATCGCTCAAGTATTGTCGGCAACCAGTATGAATCGCGGGCATAAAGGTGGGGCACGAATGAGACGACGAGACGTCGCACATGCTGTTTCAGACCGTCGAATGATATGCAGAATCGATGAGTCGTCAAGCTGAGGGAGTTTCGTCGCCCAACGCAGGCGAAGAACACGGCTGTGGTTACGGTGTCTTCTTCCAGTAGCGTCGAAATGGCAGCGGTGAAGAGTGCCTTGGACGCGCGGGCTGGATCGATGAGGCCTTTCATGGGAGGGCAGAATTTCTGTTGTCCGAAGATGTAATCGATGATGTTCATGTCGTATATTTCCGAAGAGCTGATCTGCTCGATTGAAACGACATAGGACAGGATCTTCCTCTGTAGCTCGTTCGGAAGGGTGGTAAGACTCGCTGGCTCGTATGCTGTTCGACCATTAGTATGCTTGGATAACAAGGTGAGGCTCGGTGGTCATACTCATGTCGCGCATCTCATGACTCAAAGCAACCTCGTGGGCGAGTAGCTTCGACAAGACTTCCATTGTTCTCAGGCCTGTAGCCTCAATCTCATTTTCCGTTGCAGCTTTCAGCAATTTGCGTTTGTGAATCAAGGCCAGGCGCGTGGATGGGCCGGCGAGGTAGGTCTGCGCGAGATGCGGCGCCTCATGCTCGGGCTTCCAACATCCGCCGTGGCACCAATTGCAGTCGAACTTCATTGCGAAGATGGTGTTGGTGTTTGTGTTGTAGAAGATGTTGAAGACGAAAGGGAACTCGAGGTAGATGTCCCGCTTCGTAGCCGCCAGCGCGACGGATTGGACCCTTCACTGCGACCCTAGACGCGGTGGTCCGACCTCGGGAGAGTCCCGAACCCGTTCACACGGCGAACCCTCGACAAAATCTCAGACACCAATACCGAAGTATGAGTGGGGCCCTACTCGTAGCAGTCACCGGGTTCCCAACCAACTGAGCCCAGAAGATGGATTTGACATGCACACATAGTAGAAGTGCGGATCACTGTCTCTGCTCAAACCAGCAGCCCACAAAGTCAAGAAGGAAAAGGCGATAAATCTGGCCGAGGCCACCATCTCAGTCGGAAGCGCGCTGTCAGCGAGTGACGGCAACTTCCAAGAGATCATCACCACTGTGAAGCCATCATGGTTATACAAAAAGCCCACCGCTGCCCGGAGCTGTTGACACGAGGATCATTCATAGTGACAAGATACCATTGATAGTACCTACAACTTCCCGAGACCTCGCTCTCTGCATGCTTGACAACCACAGGCCCGATATATTTCTGACCACTAGCAGTGTAGTTCGTCAATCGATCGATAGAGCAGGTCAGGCCGCTGGTCTTGTGGATGATTGATTACATCGACAAGAGAACACACTTCAATCCTGACAGATTGGATGCACTTCCTCCCACGTCGGCGGACCAATGACTTTGCGAATGGCCTGAGCCCTGTCGCGCCAGCTGCTGAAGCCTTCCTCCGCTTGCAATGGTCCGAAGTACTTCTCGTAGGTCGCCAATGCAGTATCCTCGAAGTCCTCAGCGCGGCAGTAGACCTTAAAGGTAATCTCATTGTCGAAGACCGTGTTGTAATCCGGCCACCAGTCAAGGTCAAGAACGACCTTCTTGATGGGTAGGGCGTGAAGCTTGGAGGCTATCTGAACAATGGTGTTCTTCGTAGTCTCGTGTTCGTTCGACATTGTAGACTCGCCTCCATTCCACTCGCGGTGGATGGGCATGAGGATCCATGGAACGCGCAAATGCAACGTCCGCAATCCAGGGCACACCTTCACAACGTTCGATATCGCGTCCATGGTTTCGCTGAGAAGCTGCGCATGAGACTCCTCCTCAAACCGCATTGGCTCAGAGTACTCCAGACTCATGTGTCTGATTTTGATCAGATAGCCTGCAGTAGGAGGAGCGATGTGTTGACTGAGGAACACGTCTGAGTAACACTTGGAACCGTAATAACCTGAAGTCATCCAATCCGGCGCGTCTCCGATCTCGAAGCGTATGATGTCTTCTTCGAGCAGTGTGGCGAGCGCAGCCCGGAAGAGGGCCTGCGATGCCCTCGCTGCGTTGATCTTGCCGTCCTGGCGGCCCCAACCTAGAATGGGTATACTATAGCCGAAGATTTCTGGGTGGATGGCCGCACGGTGTGGGAAGATCTCATATTCGCCCGGGTCGCAGTCAAGGGCGACTACGTAGGACATGATATGCTGAAGAATCTCATCGGGGATCGTGGTGAGACATGCCGGCTGATAGTCTGTGTCGGGCGTCAGTGTGAAGTTTTCTTTCCGGCCGATGGCATACTTTGCTCACCGTAGACCTCTAACTCTGGCGTGAGAGAGATTCCTTCTTCAAGCAAATGACGGGCCAACTCAGAGCCGGTGAGGTTGGCGGGCGGCACAATGTTCTGCTCGACTGCAGTTTTCAGCAGCTGGCGGGTGTGCACGACGATGCGGCGCGCAGAAGGTCCGGCATTGAAGACCTGCGCCGCGTGTTGTGCCTCGTGCTCGGCGATCTCGCAGTGGCTAGTAGCGCACCTGAAGCACGGACAGCACCAATTGCAACMGGGACTCATGACGAAGAGATTGAGTGCCGAAGTACGGTTCATGAGTGACGGCAGGTTACGGTGGAGAGGTGGAGAGGTGGACAGTTGTTGTGGAGGTGGACAGCATCCACAATAACCGCGCTAGTTGTGTAGCGTATCGGGACCGGCCGCCTATTCGATCACCTGTGTGTTCAAACATTGCATGTGGGAATACATGTGAGTATAGCAGTGAAAGCACATTTGAAGCATAAGACTCAATGCCACGGGCTCGTACGAGGGTATCCAGGCCCGCTCTGTGCCCCATGGATGCTCCAGGCTTTGCTTTTATGCCAGTACACCATTCAGTGACGTGTATATTCCCTGCTCATCTTCAATTGGTATAGAAGTTGTTCAGCCCTGCTAATGCAGAGTAAAGCCTCGATGAGGATGTGAAGATCGATGAAAAACCAGATACTTTGTAGATTATGCTGGCGGTGAAGAACAACGGAATTCCTCCTTCGGTTTGCACTGTTTTTCATGACCGTACCAAAGCCTTCATCAAACCTGCCAAATAGCTCTAGGTGTAAGCAATCGGCCGAAGTCATTCATTCATTGTTCGGTAGCTAAGACGGGATTGTGGCCAGAGCTGGCGATATGACAATTATTCATCGGGACAAGACATCCCCATACATCCTTACAATGTCCTAAGGCATCGCTCTCTGCGATATCGATGAATCTAGGACTGCTAGAATCCTAACAACTAGCAGAGTATCCTGTAAACTTATTGGAGAGCAGCTCAGGGAGCTGCTGTTAATGACAAATCCTAACATCGACAGCTCTGATTGTGGCTACTATCTCTACTTGCTTTGAATCTACTTTGGGGGAAGGTACGATGCAGCCCTCTCGCGCCAGGTGTTGAAGCTCTCCTCCGGGTTCAATGGTGCGAAGTATTTGTCGTATGTCGCCATGAACGCAGCCTCATAATCTTCCGCGGAGCAATCAACCTTGAAAGACATCTCGCGGGTCAGGCACGGGTAGTCTAGATCAAGAGTGGCGCTCGCTATCGGCAAGGCATGGAGCTCGGATGCGACAGATAGGATGTCTTCCTTTGTGATCTCATGATCCTCATCTGATGTGGGTTCATCGTTGAACCACGCGTCGTGGAGCCGCGCGAGAGGCCAAGACAGTCGCAGCTTGAGAGTCTTCAGGTTTGGGCAGATTGTCAACACATTTGCAAGTGGGATGAGGGTGCTGGTAAGGTAGTGCCCGCGGTGACCTTCATCGAAGAAGCCGAAATCCGTGTATTCAAGACTCGCGTGCTGGATCTTCTTGACATAACCTGCTCGAGGCATGGTGATGTTTCCTGTGAGGAGCATTTCTCTGGCGGGATCTGGTCCCCRCCAATCCGAACAATCTCCAATCTCGAACCGAATGATGTCGTGCTGAAGCAGAGTCGAAAGTGCGGCCTCGTGTAAAGCTAGCGAAGCTCGTGCTGGATTGATACTGCCTGGCCATTCAATTTGATACGCTGTCCGAGAGGAATTGCCGAAGATGCCCGGTAAAACAGCTGTGTAGTCTGGGTAAGGATACTGGGGCGCGGTACAGTAGGTGATGAGAACCACGTAAGACATGATCTTTCGCAGGATCTCCGTGGGCATCGATTCCAGGCCTGGGGGTTGGTGACCTGCGCGCGATTGTTAGCCTCGAGTTCTTCATTTCACGCCAGCTATACCCACTCGTGTCTCTGAGCTCTGGCGTGAGAGACACTCCATTGTCAATCAAGATTCCGATAAGCTCGGTGCCTGTCGGACTATTACCAGCCGAAACACCGTATGCTGCAGCGACGGCGAGTAGCTGACGATGGCGCACGAGCGCCACACGCTTAGAGGGACCCGGCTGGAAGTTCTCCGCCGGGTGGTCTTTCTGATGATCGGCCACGTAGCAGGAGAGATTGACGCCGTGCTCCGTGAATGGTGCGCACCAATTGCAGAAGGTCTTCATTGCGTGGTAGGAGAATGGTGATGTCGTGTCGATGCAGGGTTTCGTAAGTCGAGAGTGAGAAAAAGTCCATTCCTAGCATGCTTAAGGTTACCCAGAGCTGTCGATATGAGGATTACCCAGCGGGACAAGGAATACTCATTCATTCCCGCTATGATCTAAGGCATCGCTCTCTACAGGCTCGACGACTCCAGACCTGCTAGAATCCTAATGAATAGCAGAGTAGCTCGTCAATCAAGCGAGCGAGGGAATAGTTTGGAGCGCTGCTCTTGTCGCTAATTTCTCATATCGACAGCTCTAAGGTTACCGGACCGCTCCTCCGATCTCTGGAATACATACTCGGCCGCCGCATGTCCAGATACTCGCTGAGCCACAATTATCAGAGCTGTCGATATGAGGATTATTCATCGGCACAAGACATCCCTATTTATTTATCCCTACAATGTCACTAGGCCTCGCTCTCTACAGGTTTAACGATTATAGGCCTGCCAGAATCCTAATCACCAGCAGAGTAGCCCGTAAACCGATCGAGGGAGCAGTTGGGGCGCTACTCTTGTTGATGATTTCTCATATCGACAGCTCTGACAATTATATCATCACCTAGTCATGCGAATCCAAGAGAAGATGGTGCTTCGCATCATGGCTGGGAGCTCTGCCCGCACGGCAGATGTGTATGTATCAACATGATCCTGAACAGGTTTATGGATCTCCTGACAAGAACTGTTGCTGCACAAAGAGAGCGGGTACTGTGTAAGCAGGCTGGTGAAAGATCGCGGCTTTGACAATGAACAGCTACCTGCACTGATTCAAGATGTTCTTCCCAGGCGCAAACATATCCAAATATATCCTTTGCCCTTGAGTTTTGGCGATTGTCCAGGGCTATCTCTTCCCAAATGTACTCGTCTTTGAGGTACGGCTAAGCACGCGTTAGGAAGGGACGGCAGATCGATTATAAATGCTTTATGCCGCGTCACCGTAGAGGACATGTCAGTTGGGCATGTCTTGGAAAGACTCTCCAGACGCAAAGCCAAGGGCAACCTGCAGGGATCACTTCCTAGCAATACCTCCGGCTCGGCGGACTGTCAAGTTGGAATAGATCTATTCCAGTACAATGCTTTGGGGAGATCTCAAGGCATGACAGGCGCTACATCGATACGATACAATGGGAACGACTGCGTTGAGGCTGTCAAAGAAATTGCCGTGGGTTGACGAACGCTTCCCCGACAGAGTCTCTTGCTACAGAGTGGTGTAAAGAAGGCGGCCAAGAGATGCGGGCTTTGCGTGAGAATGATGTCGTGGGAGAAGGATCGAGGATGTGCATGGAGTCTCTGTATCTCTCGATCACTGCCTGTAAGCTGTCGGAATCTTTGATTGATGGCAACATCGCAAGGTAAAGGAAGGACTCCGAGGCCTTTTGCAGCGAACTCCTGATTAGCAGCTTCTCGGTGATAATGATCACAAGGGGGATCAGAATGGATGGAGAATCGGTACCTGTGACGAGAGAAGAGTGACCAATGATCTCCACCTCACGCATGTAATTAAGTAGGGCAGATAGCTCACTGGCGAATGCGCTCTGCAGCCGAACGTGCCATATGAGCTCAAGCTTGTAGGCGTCATGTCTAATACGAGGAACCCTGATGGACAGAGTCGAGCGTAGCTCAGTGCGCCCTTTTCCGTGAACGAGCGTGTAGTCGTATGGTACTGGCATCTTCGTCTTGAAGCGAACGTAGAATCTTGGCGCAGAGAGCAATCTTGTTGCAGCGCCGTACCCAATCGTAAGGCGGGGAATAGGCGGGGACTTGGGAAAGCGCACTCGATATGGCAGGCGCGGTGACCGATGCCTCGTTCCTGAGAATGTTCAATGCGCGCTTGCGACTCCCACTCGAGATCTGAGTGAGAGTAGAGACGTCCTTCCATGTGGGTGATAAATCGAGCAATTGTATCGATCGTGGTTACTCCTGGATTCAAGCTCGAGCCGAAGCTCGCGAGGAAAAGCTTTGTCGAGGATGGTGTCAATCAGCTCCATMGGAAGTTTCCTCCATATCACCGACATGGATATTCTCCCAATCGAGCCGGGTGTAGTCGCACCGCGCGCATACATGACATATATGGTTGTGATCTCGTGTTATTGWGGTGCGACTGTAACGAGGTCAGTACAATCATGCGGATGAAAGTCATCCAGCGCCAGACAATAAGCCAGTCAGTCGCAGAGGAAATTCCGGGAGACGTACCGGTAAGGTGGAGTTGTGATACCAGTAGCGCGCACTGAAGATTATGGACCAAGTCGACGGAGGAAGTTGTTCTGAGGTATTGGAAGGGTCAACTTTGATTGAAGCGCCACCGGTACGAGCGAGTGTGTTGTTGCCGGGATGGATGAGCAGGGACGTCGAAAGAGTGGTGTGTCGGGTGATTTGTTCATGGAGCTAATGGAAGAAGTGCAGTCGTTGAATCTTCAATAACTCATGATGATACACCACAGGTCCAAATCCTTGGAAGTTGTTATCAGGCAAGAGTTTCTTCGCGTTCCGTAACCCAGCTTGCCGGCACGTCTAAGGATGAGGTGCAGCAACCTTAAAGCTTAAACTTCGAGCTGGGTCTAGGGTTGAGGTTGGGGTAGGCGTCGATATGCATCGGGCTCCATATTTTCATTCAAACATTGACTATCTGCTGCATGCCGATGAGAAGAGCCATAGCTCCCATCGATGACACAATAGAACAGCTGCAAGGGGCTCGGGAAATGATTCTGTCTTGTAGCGTCGCTTCCACATCTACGGGCTCAGAGCACGGCACTATCATTCCTGCATCCAACAAATGAGGTGGTCATATCCGGATCTGGTCACAGTCTCTCGATCTCGGTAGATGTATGCAAGTACTATCCCCGCTGGCCAAAGAAAGTCAGAGAGAGACCATGCGCCATTGAGTGCACCTGCGGAACATCCGACGATGAGCGCCCAATACCCAAACCCTAACCCTAGTAGCACTGCGTTAGCTGGATTCGTCGCAGGACGGCAGACACTCCTCGACTCACATATGCAACGTCATTGTAGTCCCAGGACCGATGGGCCCGGACATGGCGAGAACATCAGTTCCTGATACCAAGAGCTACGAGCGCTGCACCAGAACTTTCCACCACACCTTCATCTTTACATTACGGCCTCTCTCTGAGTCCCGGATGGAACTTGTGGAAGGACGATCGAGCCTCGCCTGCAGAAACTCGCGACAGTATTATCGGTAGCCAAAGTCCCACCTGGAGCACATCTCAGCCGAGTGTCCACACCGACAACTCGATTCTTCTTTACGTCTATGCCAACGACATCTTTGGCAGTGCTCGATTCAGACAATCAGCAAAGTGCCGCAAGTACTTCTGAACAGGAGCGAGAATCCAGGAACAAGGCACCAGAACAATACACGGCAAGAAGCAGCCAAAGCATGACTTATTGACTGGAGCGCCTCCGGCCATCAAGAACACCATTCACAGCCAGACATCGCCAAAGATGACGTGCCTGCGAAGCACAGCAGCAGGGAAACCACAAGATTGGACTGCAGTCGCGGTGAGACTTTGCATAGTATGACAACAGAGCTCGATGAGAAAGCGCCGCTGAGCGTCCAGCCAAGAAGCAAGACTTTCAGACGCAAGAAAAAAGTGGCACAAGGTCGCCTGAAACGTATCCGCCGCCCATCGCTTCAGATCAAGTCCAGAAATCGCTACAGATCTCGAAATGCCACGAGAAACAACGAACAGAAACCAGCGCAAGCGACGAAAACCAGTGTGCTTGTTGGTGTGGTTAGCTTAGTAAGTGGTTATTGGTGGTTAGGTTACCGGTTGGTATAGTTAGCAATTGAAGCGCTGTTAGTAGGAGTTAGTATAAGGGTTATTAGTTACCGGTAACTAACCGGATAGGGCTCCGATTAGCTATATTACCTCCGGAGGTCCGCATCCTTAATAATCCGGTCGTCTTAAGTAAGTTCATCTATACTATTAATTCATCGTTAATTTAATGCCATTCGGTAGCTGGCTAATCCTTAGTAAGGGAGTTACTAATAAGGTTATCCTTAATCCATTAAGTAAGGGCTATAGCAAACTAAACCTACCGAACTACGTAACTATCCGAGGGAAGCGCTACCTCCGCTAGCTTACCGCCGCTAATAATAAGGACCTAAGGAAGCGTAGGAG